TTATTGAATTTCTATTTATTTATTCTAAATTATTTTATTTTTATTATTTAAAAACAACTATTATTATAACAACAATGCATTGTCTAGCAATTATATTAATAAATATTTTTAATAAATTTTTCAACATAGTATATATTAGTTTTTAAAATTGACTATTATTTCTATAAAGGCCTATAAACTTATAGCTCTTATCAAAAATATTACTAATCCTTAGACAACTGTAAAACTTTGTTAATCTATCACTTGATGACCAAAATTTTGGTTTACATTATAAATCAGTCTAAATAATTATAAGCCATCACAGCATTAATAAAGTCAATTGTATAATACAAGCAATACAGTACATTGTATTATAGAAAGTCAAAATTAAAAACCTTGCATTTTTCCAACCCTGTACTATACTATACAGTAGTGTCCATAAATGGTTTCGGTTTTTATCAAAATACCAACAAAAAACAGTTTCGGTTCGGTTTTTATATTAATATTTCATTTTGGGTTAAAACGCAAATGTATTATTAAGTTATATATAATGTTTGTTTAAATAATTTTCAACAATATTTAGCATCAATTCATGGTTTGTTAATAATTTTTAGTGTATAATAGTTTTTAATTTTTTTAAATACTTACTGATCAATCAATTAATTTTAACAAAATGTTGTTTATTATATAAAATTTTAATGTAAAATATATATAAATTCTAATAATAATTTTTTTTCTTTTTGGTCTCATATTATATTTTGGTTCGGTTCGTAAAATTGACTTAATTTGCTTTATATGTCTACTTTAAAGTACAATAATATAGCATTGAATATACAGTACTTTTGTGCTCTCTATTAGTAATCTATTGTTGATAGTGTTGATAACTATCCCGGTTGAACCGGGACACTGTTTGAATAAGCATCAGGGTTTTAAAATAATAAATGCCTGACCTGGCAATGCCCAAATAGGTGCAATAAATTATTTTATTTGCCATTTTTAATTGTTAAAAAGTAACTAATTATATAAATAAGGTAATTTAGTACTTTTACTCTCTCAATTAAATATACAATTAATAGACTAAATTTCAATGAGATTACCGTATAATTAAAGGTATACAAAACAAGCAAACAAACAAATATAGTGATAAACAATGTTTTTTAATTAATTAATAATATATAATTAAAATAATATGTGTCATCACCTGAAAATAGATGCCCAGGGCTTGTCAGAGACAGGACAGGCATTTACCGAAATGGATATCTATTGTTTTTGTCTCCCAATTACTTTCCCTGATCAGCATATCTGTACCAAACATTTATTTATCAATTAAAATATTCAGGTTTTTAAGATAAAGTTTGTGATCATTTTAAAAATAATACAAATTCATTAAATTTATTTATAAAATTTTTATCGAATTTTTAAAAATGCATTAAATTTTTTATTTCAAATAATATAAATTAGCTCTTTTGACATATTTTTAACAATAATTATAAATTATTTTAAATCTGTTATAACATAATAAGAATATATTTAAAAATAAGTATTATTATTATGAATAAAATATTATTTTATAATTAAGTCCTGATATTCACTCGTTATTTAAATTATATTTTTATTTGGCTATAATTAAAATAAGTTGAATGAGTTGGCAACACTACTATAGCACTCGTATTAGTACTGTATATGCGTTGAATGTAAGTGTATGTAATATATTGCGTATATACAGTATACATATACAATATATACAATATATATATATATATATATATATATATATATATATATATGACAATCTAAAAAAACTGTGTTTTATTTGACATAAGCCCTAATTTTCAGTATTTGAAACTAGAATTTCAGTGAATTGTTAATATAAATCGCGAGAAAATTTCCCCGAAATTTGTTACAACAAATGCGAGAAATATTTTTTACATTTGAATTGAGAGAAAAATTCGGTCAAAGATATGACTTTGACATTAAAGGCATTGAGAAAAATACAACACAATTATGGCAAATGTTGTTTAATACTTGTTATTATTATTTAACAAAATAATATGTTTATATACAAAAATATTAACGTGTTTTTAACTTTTTATCGAAATTTTTGCAAAAAACAACAACAAGTTTATACAACAAGTAAATACATTAAACACGAAAAATTATTTTAATTAAAACTAAAAAACAATTTCTCTCTGCAGATAAAGCTATGGATAATTTCATACAATCGATTCATACTTATCTAATAATTACTATAAATTATATTTAACATTATTGTAAATAGTTTTAAATATTATACAATATTTTTTTTAAAGAAATTGTTTACCATTTAGTTAATATTTAAAAAAGAAACAAATATATTGTAATTATTTGACTAATATACTGTATATATATTTGTATTAATTACTAATTAATTACTGATAAATAGGAATTATTTTTTTATTGTTATAAATCAGTTATATTTGTTAAATAAAAATTACTGTAAACAAGAGTTATGTTTTTTGAGGCAATGTATTGGCTTTTTAATCTATTTATAGAGTAGTACCAGTTATAGTTAGTATTACTAGTTTGGTTGGTCTAATGGTACAGTATATACTACAGTATAAATTTTAATATATATATATATATTTACTGTATACATATAATACAGTACAGTACATACAACTTGTTATATTTATAGACACCAATGCTTGTTATTACATCACACAATGATTAAAATTTACTTTTATTTTAATGATTTTGAATACATAATACATGGTATAAAATTATATATATATATATTAACTAGTTTGTTATACTATAACCAAGATCATATTACCATGTTATATTACCAAGATCAACTTGTTTTGTCAATACAAAGTATTTTTATTATATGATTTTAATGTACACAATATTTTTTGGCTAATGTATATACAGTATGTTCAAAAAGAAATGTATAGCATAGTCAAGGCTTATGGGAAGTGTTATCAAAATTGATGTCAATTTTTAACAGAATATTCACTCCATTTATGACCTGATTTGAAGACAATTTACAAAATACCAACAAATCTTAAAAATAGTCTTCTATTATAGAGATAGAAGATTATCGCTGATATATCTCTGATATTATATATAAATAAATATATATTTTGATTTTAATTTATTTAAAATTTAATAAAAATGATATCCAAAAGTTATCATTAAAATAAATTATATAATAAAATAACATATAAAATGTTGTTTAAGCAATCTGTGAAACTAAATACTTTTTAACAATTATTTCAATATATAGTAATATAAAAGAAATCATTTTATAAGTCAATAAAGAATTAGTATTTTCAATAAATTATTGCCAAATAGGAGAGTGTGTGGGGAGTGGGGACAGGCTTTTCATATGACTATTGTGTAGTCACTGTAGTGTTAGTGCTTTATAGGCATTAATGCCATACATCAGAGAAAATTATATTGAAATGAAAGCACAAATAAAATTAAAAAGTATAGATTATAGAGGATAGACATACAGTTAGTTATATGTGATGTAAATTTGCATCATTATTATGCAATATACTGTTCAAGTAGTGTCTCAAATGTATTTATAATCACTTTTGATAGTGTGTTTAATTAATTGTTTTGTTAGTTTCATAATATTTTTATTTATTTTTATATAAAATTATTATATTTACTGATAAATTAAATAACTAATAATATAAGGTTTTGATTAAAATGAATATTTACTAAAATATTGCTTTAATTTGAATTTTTTTTATAATTTTTGAATTTTAAAATTTGAATTTATGCTTGTGTTAGTTATATTAAAATTAAATTAACGAAGTAAACTAAAATAATAATCATTATAACAATTTACTAATAATTGATAGTTTATTTTGACTAAAATATTTAACTTATCATATCATAAGCACAAATGTAATAAACTGATAATACAAATTGAAAGCAATCACGCATACATCACTTTTATGTAGTTATACATATATATTGTAGTTGAAATGTAAATGTTAATAAAATGTTTTGTTAAATTATTAAATTGTAATATAATTTTAATAAAAATCAATTTATTTTTTACTATTTTATTTATCCAACTTTTAGTATAATCATTAGTAATAATTTCTAAATGGTATATATGTTTATAATTATATACATATAAATGTATAAAAATATCAAATATACAGTATATATAAAATTTTTATACAGTTTATTATAAAGCAAAGTTAGTTAGTTTGAAAAAGAGGTTTCATATACACAATACTTGGAATGAGAGAGAGAGAGAGAGAGAGAGAGAGAGAGAGAGAGAGAGAGTCATAAATCAAATGAAAATATATTAAAAACAAGTTTTGTTTTATCTTTAATAATATTTGTTATATCCATACATCTATACAGAAGAACTTTGCTATTTATTTTGAACCCTAAATTCACCAAAAAATTCACTTATATTTAAAAATAATTTCTCTTTATTTATATGTATATAATATAATATAGTATTGATATTTGAAAATACGTATTGTTTTAATCATTTGTTCAAATCAAATGTCAATTTTAAGTTGTTTTGTTTAAAAAACATTATTTTTATACATTATTCTCAAATTTTAAATCAATTGTCTTTAAATTAATATTCATTTGTGTGTTAACATCACATTTTAAAATTAATAATTATAGATATATGTAAATAATGTATGTTTTCAATGCCAAATTATACTTTTATTGCCATTAAAATCTATTTACATAATAAAAAAATATGAAAACATTATAAGCAATAAATTTTAACCGTAACTCTTTAGTATCGTTTCATTTTAATTAAATGTAAAACTTAATAAACAAATATCAAATGTTTTATAATTTCCGATATCTTTTAGATATAAAATAAGCTAACAATGAGTGAATACATTTTAAAAATATTATATTAAATGATAAATGATTTTTATATATAATATAAAACAATTCAATTACAGACAATTAATCACAGAATCAATCAATAGATTGAAGTAATTCTTTGGATAAAACTATTAATTTAATTCAATATCAAATTAAAAATATTCTTCAAATTGAAAAAACGTTAATTAATTTGCGGCAGACATTGACCACCAGTACGTTAACACAGTGGACAACTGCATACTATCATTCAATGTACATATAGTATAACTCTTTGCATAACCGGTGAAGAGGAAGGCCGACTACATTAAAGTAATCGCCGCGAATGGACTCGACAAGTGTGGCGCCAATACCTTGTATACCATAAGCACCTGCTTTGTCCATCGGTTCCCCAGAATTCACGTATAATTTTATCATTTGGTCGCTCATTTCGGTCATAAAAACATCGGTTGACTCATGAAAAGTTGTCACAACATAGTTCTCATTGTCTTCATTGTCATCATTTGCATCACCACTGGTTGACGGTTGAGATGGAGTCAAAGTGCTGCCACTGCCGCCACCCGTTTGAGTGCTATGTGTGACCAAAGCCACTCCTGTATATACTGTATGCTTATTGGCCGACAATCGCGACAACATATGGATGGCGTCGTCTTTATCTTTTGGTTTCTCAAAGATGTGATCGTCGAGTGTGACCACTGTATCGCTGCCAATAACGAGATCTGCTTTGTGGTCATTGTTGGCCAATTGCTTCCAGACGTCAATAGCCTTTTGTTTGGCGTTTTCCTTCACGTATTCAATGGGATGACTGAATGACTCTTTCGGTAAATTTTCGGCAAAATTAGACGAAATGGCCTCAAACTCGATGCCAATGCCCGACAAAATCTGTTTGCGGCGTTCAGAGCTCGAGGCCAACACCACTCGTTGTCGCTGAAGAATATGTCTGATTGGTTCCAACATTTGACTGTCAATTGTTTGTACAAAAACTGTCGGATCAGTGGATCAGTTGTCTTGAGGTAAGAGACGAGTCGTTTCACTCATAAAACAAATGTTGTTTTGTTTGGAAACCAATACTATGTATGTATTGAGTCATACATTGTTGGGGCCATTGATTGTCTAATATTCATATAATTCATAACCCATTCAACATGTATTGATAAATCCAATGCAAACACACATTTAAAGGGCCATACGTTTAGTTATACAATAAATAACGTTATATTTTGCTAATTAAGTGTTACTAATAGTGGTATGATTTGAGTGAAATCTCAATGAAAATCAATTGTTTGCCACACTATTAGCCCCGGAGTTACAGTCAGATCCAAACCACTAGTGCTTAACATAATTGTTTGGCTATACTATAGTTATTATATAAGTTTATGTGTGCTCTCTATCTGCCAGTACTCTGATTGCTGGCAAAACTTGTTTCCCGAGATGTCATACAATAAATATGAACAACAAATTCAAACAATTATCGCATATTTTTGAGGCAAAACACTGAACACTTGTTCCCAAATAAACAATAAATATATTTATATTAAAAATATTTACACAAAAAATTACACATTATTTTCACTAATTTAGAAAATAAATAAATTATATCAATATTTCTGCAATATTTGGATTATTGACATACAGTACTGTATATCACTATTTTATATATTGATTATCTATCTAAATGATAATATTCATATAATACGGTATATCATATAATATAATTAATATTATTTTAACAAAATGTAGTTATGATTGTGTTATCAGTTATTTAGACATTAAAATAATTGTATGATTGGTATCCAAAACTATAATGCATTGACTAATACATGTAATAACTCTATCATTGATTTATATTATTATGCAATCCTTGCAATTCTTGTATTATTTCTCATATAATAATCTTATAGTACTGTAGTGTTTATGATAAATAGTTTGTATTAATAGTGTGTATTTGTGTGTTGTATGTATGTATGTGTTTGTATGTGTTTGTATGTGAAAGAGAGAGAGAGAGAGAGAGAGAGAGAGAGAGAGAGAGAGAGAGAGAGAGAGAGAGAGAGAGAGAGAGAGAGAGATGTAGCGCAGTGTCGGACCATCGATGAGGTGAACGCCCGAAGACTTGCCTCACATCTCGTTTATATCGTATATATGATACGATATATATATATAGCATATACTGTATAGTAAACTAATGATGAAAAATGTGCTACAATTGACTGCAAAAATATTATAGTTTTTTATTGAATATATACTTTTAGTAGAAAATATATACAAGTATTTTGCCAACAGTTCAATCACATACACAATAATCAACAAATCAATTGTAACTATTAACTAAATAAGTAGATTTAAATAAATAAATATTTTAAATAAGCGAAATGTTTACAAAACAATTGTTTTAATTAAATTAGTTTAAATTTATTTTATAATTAAAGATTTTTAAAATTAATAAATTATTATTAGTTTATAAAACAAACATTGAATAATTCAGTTAAAATATATAATTAGTTTGAAATGTAAATAATTTAATTTTAATTAAATATAATTTATATTTATAATTTAATATATAATTATACAAATATTGTACTTATTATATAAACCGGTAGTAAATATTAACAAATATATTAATTGATATAAATTAACTAAATATAAATAAACAATTTTATTATATATTTTTAATTAAATATAACAAAATTTTATTTAAAAGCCTAATTTTAAATTTAAATTTCTAATCAAATGTTATAAATTTAATAAATAATTCAAAAATTTTACTATTTGAAAAATATAAATAATTTTACTATAAGATTAACTAATAAACTTGTATTTTACAATAATAAATATTATATTTGTAATTTTGTGATTTACTAATTTTAAATAATGAATATCTTGTATAAAATAAATATTAATTGTAAATTTAATAATGTAAATAAATATGTAATTACTTTAACTTATAAACTAAACAAAAAATTATATCATATAATAATATTATTACATAAAATCTAAATATTGATGCTCTGAGTCGATAATAAGCAACAAAAAAATTATAAAACTATATCATCTCGTCTTCACATTTAATAAAAGCTTATATTTTAGTTCACTATTTTATCGATTGGTTTCGTTACACAATGTGTTTAGCAATATATTGTAAATCATGTCAACAAATAGTGGCACATCATAAAAATCAGTGACTAATATGTATTAATAAGTGATATATAACTATATAAAAATGCTAATTTATTGTAATACATAATATAATAATTATTTGTTTAAATTAACAAACTAATTATGTAATAAGATTATTTATTTGAACAAAAAATTAATTATTATTTATTATTAAAATGTACACCTACAGTAGTTAACTAATAGTTAATTTTAAAATTAATTTATATTTTTTCATAAATTAAAAATAACATTTAATAATTATTTATTATCAAAATATTTTAACTTGCTTTAATAAAATAAAATAAAATAAAAAATAAAATAAAATAAAATAAAATAAAATAAAAAATAAAATAAAATTTTGTTTATCAATTTTATTAAAAAAATATAATGCAAAAATTATTTAAAATATTTGTGTAAACTTTTTAAAACATCAAATATTACAATAAAAATTTATATACAAATTCATTGCTACATCAGATATATGTCTTATAATTTATAAAGAATATAAATATTTTTCATATAAATATTTTACAACTTCACAAAAAAATTATAAAATATTGTAAATTATAACAATAATACACTAAATACAGTAATACTTATATTTAAAATTATAAATGATGAATCTTGTATAACATTAAAAGTAAGCTAATGTATATATATTTTTATATTTAATTGACTTTTATCTATGTTGTGCAAATTAGGCATCTAGAATACCAAAAAATTAAGAAATTTTACCATGTCTAAATATGACATTAAATTATAAACAATTTTAGAAAAAATAGAAAAAATTAATATATTTTTTGAAGAAATTATCAAAATATGTATTTAAATTTTTGTCAATAATAATAGAAAAAATACTAGCTAAATTATCTAACAATATTTTATAAAATACTTAACAACTTAAATAAATAATATATATAAAATTGTAATGATTATTATTTAGTTAATGTGATTAATTGTTAAAAATGACTAATTAATGTATTTTTCAAAAACATTTATTATACTTCAATTAATGGCAAGAATTATAAATACTGTATATATACTGTATATGCAAATATATTACAAGAATTGAAGTCCCATTGCATTTACAATGAATGCTTTATACAACATATACTATACATATTTTTCAAAAACTATTTATTTGCAAATAAACTTCATTTCCTTTATTGTAAAGACAGACAATAAAAAAATTAAGAAATAATTTTTAAAAAATAAAATTTGATTTAATATAAATGCATTACATAAACATTTAGGCAAACTCTGTCTTATTTTTATCTTTGAATTGTTTTAATAGTTTTTCTATGGCCTAACAAATAGACTATATATTGTGTATTCATTATTTGTCAGAATTAGCCATTTATTTGACAAAAACCTATTCAAAAAAAAAAAAAAAAAAATAGTGGCAAATAGTCAATAAAATAAGGATAAAATTTTTTGTGAAAATTGATGCATTTTTAATAAAAAAAATTAAATACTGTATAAATCCAAATTTATTTCATTTTATTAATATTATAATACAATTGTAGTGTATATACAGTATTATGTTAGCGTATGTATAAAATGGGAAAATGAGAAAAAAAACTAAAAACTGTGAAAAACAGGAATGGCTTATATGTTGTGGACCTTGGCTTCAAACACACTATCAGACACTACCATTCTTATCCTCTGTTTATTTTGGGGGAGAAATGTGTCTCATATATACAATATATACGATATATATATATTGATATATACAGTCACCCGAATGGTAGACACAGTGCAGGCACTGGGCGTTAAGCATATGAGATGTATTGCCAGATAGAGAGGCGCACATACCTTATGAGTACCTCACATATCATATGTAAGTTAACATAAATTCAATCGACTATTATATAAAATATTGAATATAAAAGAGAATTCAATTTTCGTTTTGGTTATCCAAACACATGAACCTAATGTAAGAATTACAAGAATTATGACATTTGTAACCCTTTTATTGAGTGGTTTATTGTTACATATAATGCACTCAACGCTTAAATAATAATATTATTGCATTCAATCAATAATTGTAATATTATTTTGTTCTCAACGCTATCGATTGTAATGAAATAATTCAATTATTTTCATTTATAAATTTATAAATTTATTGTTACAATAATTATTATTAAATTAATAAAAATCAAATTAATAAAATCAAATACAACTGTATGTTAAAAAAAATTAAATAAAAACGGGTTGAATAAATATTTTGGGTTATAATATCTATAAATCTATAAATAGCATTTTATTATACTATAGTTGTATGCTTAAAATAACAATGCTTTGGTCATTGAGGGACATATACTGGTCAACATAGGCAGCGATGAAAGAGAGAGAGAGAGAGAGAGAGAGAGAGAGAGATCATTACATCTGCAGATGTTTTGCCTGACATGTGATTCGCAGGTTTTCGTAGCAAAACCTAAATCATAGGTATGAATGGCAGAACACAAACACATCACAAGTCCAGAAAAAAAGGTGATCTCTTCCAATGTGTGTTGCAATAGAAAGAGTAGAGTCAAGTAAAGTACTGCAAATAGGGAATGGCGTTCAAGTCATACAAACCTGTGGTTCAGTTCATTGACATTACTATTACAGTAGTTAATTGTATTGTAGACTTATATGATACTCTAAGTTATATATATATATATATTAGTTATACAAAAAACAAAAAATAAACAAAATTTTATTAAAAAATTATATTTAAATAAATCAATTTAAAAATTAATATGAATAGCCGCCATGATATGATAAACTGTATGTATACGTAAAACAATTGTTTAAAAATAAATATATAATATATTTTAACGGCAAGAATTTGAGACACATATTAAAGCGACGACAACTCAATCATTATTTTATTTAAGTCTCTTTACTTCAAAAAATTATTTTCACTAATTTTCACTCTGTGTTAGTTGTGTTATATATGCTAAATAAATATAGAGTTATATATATATATAGTGTTTATTAAAATTATGTATAAATATTATTTATAAATACTTGCCTTTCGATGAAATTTTTGAAATTATTCTCATATTATATACAGTTACTGTTTATATACTTGTGTAATAAGCATATAAAAATAAAAAGTTTTTAGCGGATTAATACTTTTATATATAGTATATTGTAGTATATATAGTGTTAAATGACTTGAATTACATTTTATTTAAAATACATTTTTTGGGAATTTATCTAAAAAACTTCAGTATTTAAGAATTATTAACTTTTAAATAATATAATAATTTAATAACAGAAATAACTAATTTTGATTGTTAACTATATTGTCGCAGTCATTTTAATAAATATATCAACAAAAAAATATAAATAACATAATATAACTTAGTTTTAGTTTTTTAAAATTGTTTTTAAACAAGATTTGACAAAAAAATATTTAAAATGTAAGCACACGAGTAGCTGTCATGTGTTGTCTATTGAAATAATAACAGTGTTTTGATGATAGTTAGTAAAAATATATGCATTTTTGTGTCATATGAACACAAATCCGTATCTATTTATAGACTTTTTATTACATTGTGAACCACTTGTTTTGAAGTTTCGTGAAATATTGTATTTTTAGTATATTTAACGTTATGTAAAAAACTTTTTGGTTATTAAAATTGCAACATTAGAGGGAGTCAGAGATTCAGATCTTGCGCTCAAACTTTTCATATAAACTAACAGTTTATTTGAATATTTTGAAGAATTTTGGCAAATAATATAAAAATTGGAGGCAAAACTTTTACTTAAATAGATACTGATATTATATATACGGTATATAAGAGTTAATAAATGAAATAAATACTTAGTTTAAGTGAAAGGATTGCCATAAACTATAAGTTTAGAAAATAAAACTAATTATAGAATTGTTTCCTAAAATATATGATTAATAGTCTAAAAGCAATGAAATGTTTTAACTTTTTTTAAAGCCATTCTTTAATTAATTTTGCAAATATGCTAATTGATTGGTTTGCCATAAAAAGATACACGAGTTATGATACAAAACAAAATAAATAAATAAACATTAAAAAACAAAAGAAAACGACGAGTGAAGAGTTGAATAGAAGTTTTTTGAAAACCTAAACTCAAAATTATAAGAAATAAAACCAAAAAAATTCAAATATGTATTAATAAATAAGTTATAAATGCTTAGTATTTAATAAATTTTCAAACTTTAGCGCTATTTTCAAACCTAAATTTTGTTTGAAGTAAAGTTGAATTACTTATTTTTAATGTTAACTTAATTCAAAAAACATTGATAATTTAATTAATTTGACGTTTGTTATTACAGTATATTAATTTGTAATTCATATTTATTAAATATTATTTTATCAGATAATATTCATATCTATTGTGTATAAAAATCATAAGTTGAATACTAATATAAACTGTTGTTTTACGCTGTTTATAATTTTTTTGTTAAATAAAAAATATAATTTAATTAAATAACTAACAAAATGGTTTCACACGAAAGCTTCTGTATAATTATCAAAAAAAAATATTTTAAATAATGCTATGTTTTTAATTATATTATAATAATAATTAAAATATAATAGTACAACACAAATGAAATTAATTTTTACGAATATTTAAAGAATACAAAATGTAAGCAAAAGCACAAAAAATATTTGTTATTATAAATTGAAGGCTTAAACAAATTAAATAAAAATATAATTTACTTACTTTTTTGGTTATATATTACAGTATTTTATAGTATTTGTCTGTTGTATTGAATATTGTTTTTATTCCGATTTCTTGTAATCAACAGATGATGACATCAAATGCAGACTTTGATCTTTGGGCTCACATTTTCAAACAAATATTTTCAGTATATATATACGATATATGTTATACAGTATATAAAGTAGTTTATAGATTTGAATATAAATTATTGCATTGAAGTAGTGGTGTTGTTGAGACAAAAAACAAACTCAAGAATTTTATATATCAATCCATAGAAAATTCCAAATATATTATATTTAATATATATATTATATACCCTAAAAATAATGTTTTCTCAATGTTTAGTTCAATTGTCATAAATAAATAAAAACAAACTATTATTTTAATCAACAAATGATTTCAAACTGAATTTAGTTTATAATACAAACGAATTAAAGAATTTTTAAATATTGAAAACAAGTTTACAAACAACAACAACAAAATAATGTTGAATTGACATTAAAATATGTAATAAAAAATAATAAAATAATAATTATGTGTTAGTGATAAAAATAACACTAATATAATAATAATATAAATAATAATAACAATCAAAGTCAATATGTGTTTGTGTTTTTTAATCAATAGTCAGATATGGATAAGTTTTTCAACAAAAAATTCAAATAAAAAACTTTATATATTGAGAGCAACTACTGGTCATTGAATGCGAGGCGAGAAAAAGGTTTTCCAAAGATGTAAAACTTATGGAGAGGGAGAGGGAGGGAGGGATAGACAGAGAGACAGACAGATATATATATATATATGTGATGTCTTAGTGGTGGCGGTGGTTGTGGTCGTTGTCATATAGATTGTGGGCAATACTGTATTGAAGAGCTCAATGTATTGGCACTCATTGCTGAAGGCTATGCAAGAAATACATATCAAGTATTTTGGATGTGTATTAAAAAGTTAAGCTTTTGGTTGAATGAGAGAGAGGTTCACAAATGGGGAGGGATTTCGATGCAATCGAAGGGAAGGAATGGGGAAATGCTATGAAAACAAGTTTTGTTGGCTTCGGGGCAATGGACGGCTCCTAACGTCACCATTTGAGGATCACTAACGTACCAATAGATACTACCACTACTACCACCACTAACTACTACTACTACTACTACTTCTAGTGTCCAATATGTTTGTATTAACTAACAAATAAACTAATTCTTTCAAAACAATATTTTTATATTATATTTAATACTGTTTTATGTTATATAATAATATTTACTCTATGTTTCTCATTTTTATTATCAAATAATTAATTTCTATATTTTCTTAAATTCTAGTTTATTGTAAAAATAATAATTTCATTATACATACTGTATGATTATACTGTATATAAAAATAGAAAAAGTGTTAGCAATAACAATCACATGTTTCTAATACTGTATACAGCCTTACATTTAGTTATTAAAAGCTTTAATTTACTATATTTAATGCTATCATATTATATATTAAAGTACTGTATATACCGCGTATAACTTATGTTAAAATATATATAAATTGTTTTGTAAACTTCATTGAGATATGTTTAATTCAATAACATAAATAATCTAAATTATTATTTATATTTTTCTAAAAAGTTTATTTATTTATATATTTGTTAAACTGATACAAGCCTATAAATTATATAATAGTAATTATTGTATTTCCTCAATTATAAAATTATATATACTGTATATTACAATATATAATCAAAAGGAGAAGAATATGTATTACTATATTAACCCTTTATATTGTTTTTATTATTTAATTTATTAATAAAAATTTTTGTGTTAAAATTTAATACCAATACATAACTAACTCTCTTTGATTTGAAAGCAGTGCAAAAAGTTCAGACACGAGGGAGAGGGAGGGCGAGACATATATAGTACTTATATTAAGTCATATATGATATACTAGACTAACATTAAAAGACTTGGTGTAAGTTTTTTTAGTTTAACGCAAACTTTTTTACAAATAAAAAATGTCAAACCATTTACGGTATTATTAATATTCAGTTGTGTGTCGATAGTCATTAATGAATAATGTTTTATAATAATAATAATATGATTAGAATTAATAAAATTTTGTAATTATTATTATTATAGAAAATTTTCAACAAATAAAATCAAATGACCTCAACATTGTAAATATCATTTAACTATTTAAAATCATTTTATTTATTGTAAACTATAAGTACAGTATCTATCATTAGTTGTTTAACAAACTATAACTAAACGTAAATTACTGTATTATTGATGCATTTTTTAAATGTTGATATAATTTTTTAAAAATTCAAATAATTTCGTCATTTTTAGTCTATAATAAATAAACTTATGATAAAAATTTATTTATATCGTATTGTGATTGTATTTTATTGAAACAATTATAGAAAATCATACAATTTTATTAAATATACTAAATAATGTTAACAAATATTTATTTAAATAAAAATTAATTTACAAAATAAGATGAATTGTGTCACTAGAATCTCTCGGACAGTCGTGCGGCCAATTGTCTCATACTTCCGTATACTTTAGAAGGAGGACTACCGAGAATTAAATTACAAATAGCTGTCCGCGCGGCCCGAGTATTCTGATATGAACCTAATATATGAATCTTAGTGTCGGCCAATACAATGCGGGTTCGGGTCACGTTTTCAATGGTAAACTTAGTTCGGCCACCTTTGCCGGCTATGCGGCCAATGGCTCGCGACAAGTGATCACCTTTTAATGGCTTTACTGTAATAAGAAATCACATATTAGGCATACAATCTTATATTAGAAATCAATTATCAATGCCTACCATCGCGTATCTCAAATGATTCAATGAATAGTTCGTCCAAACGAACCAAAGCTAATGCGTCCTCGACTTCAAAGCCTAAGATAAATGCTTTGACAAAATCAGCCGCTTTTTGAATGGCGCCGATATCTTGTGTATCTTTACATGTCTTTAAAACATAAAATATACCCAAAAATTAATCACAAATACTATATATTACTATATATTTAATACTAACTCTAATTTCGACGACACGACTCTTCAGATTGAATCTGATCTGTAATTTCAAGTGTTGAACAATTGGAGTAAAAATCTTCATCCAATTCTCTTTCAATGGTGTGTATCGATTGGAGGGAACAGCTATTTTGCGTAATTCAAGAGTACCAGACTATTGACAATTAATTAGACGATTACAACCAAACACAACAACAATAAGATGAGAGCTTAGGATAAAACATACCACAAGTTTGTCTTCAGTGATGGGCTTGAAATCGGGAACAGTTTTTCTGGTCACCTCTTGAGTATCAATTTGTATGTCTTCAGACAATTCGACGTCCATTTGTTCGGCTCTTCTCTTAAGTGACTTTTGTGAGTTCACTTCTGTAAAACTTTGATCCGTTTGATCCATAATTGTCGACAAATAAATATCAATAAATCAATTGAAACACTAAAATAAAATGTGGACACAATTCACGTGTTTTATTAAATGTCTATCAATTGACAACATATTGAATGCCATCTATTGGTATAACAGTTACGATAAACAATGAATACATGTATTGAAATGCATTCAATTGAATGGCAATTGAAATAAACAGAAAAATATAGTAAACTTTACAAACATTTTATTGGTTTTAAAGTGTTGTCCAAACAAATGATATAATATTTTATCATATGTTTGACAATCACTGTCTGATTGTGATATACCATCACTGATGGATCCATTCAAACCACGGCTAATATTAAGTGGTATTCATTGTATGAGTTGAGTCATGCGCTGGCAATACATTTCAAGACAATATACTAATTAATCCAAAGGTCTTGAAAGCCATAAATAGACTAAAAGTTTGATAAGTTATTCAAGTCTTGCTTTTTATGTCTATATTTATCTTTAACTTCAATAACAAAATAAAAATATCAGACTTTGTGTGATATATTGATCGGTCTTTGCTTGATATGAATGTCAATGGAAGTGAAGACAAAAGAAAACAGCTCTCAGATGTCATCTGAAGATTGCAATCAATGTCACAACGAGTGGTCTCAAGAATCGTCTAACGGATCAAATGATGACAAAACAAAAAATGACAGTAATTTTGAGATCTCATCCAACGCTTGTACTAAGTATTGGAATTACTTTACTAAAGATTTGGAAGAAGAGGACATTGTAATGATATCGTTGTATAACAACGTCGATAATGTCCTACAATCGGGTCCCAAGTATAACAAATATTATCTATTGTTATTAACAAGTGATATATATCCTCAATATCTTATATATTTAAAATATAGATGTGGTTTAGTGGCACTATTGATGTGTCAGTCATTGGTATTAAATCATAACTCATACCTAACTCAAGAAGATTTGTTTGAATCGGCAAAACAAATGGGTTTCAGCAAAACGGGTGAAATGTTTTCGGGTTTGTATTAATTTTAAAAACAATACTAAAATTATTTAAATAAATGTAAATAAATTTATTTACAAACAGTAAACTACTAGTCTTATTACTTACCGTATTATAAATTTATAAAAATAAAAACTAACTATATATGATAGGCAATATTTTTATCATATAATACAGTATATAAAGATAGACTCTAATAGTTTATTTAAATTAAACTAATGATTAGCTTTTATGGTTAAAAATACTCACAAATTTATAACTTGAGACTAATTTTATGAATCAAATGCTATTCTCTGAAATAAATAAATTTGAAAATAAATTATATAAATATTGCTATTACCGGTAATTGTCTAAAATATAACTTACAAAATGTTTGATTTTAGTTGAAAATATGGCGAAACTAACGCATAGGCTATTATCAGTAGAGACTGAGATCAAAGTCAACTTAAATGAGAGGATCAATGAATTAGTGTCACATTTAGCAAAAGGATTGCCAGTTCTGGTACCTTATGATTCCGATGCCAACCACGAGCCGACTCTTTTGGGCGGTCAGAGAGCGCACTGGGCTATCATACTAGGCTTTTGCATAATTGTTAATAAAAGTAATATAAATAACATTGATTTATGTGGTATTAGAGACCAATACAATCACCAATTATATCATTTAAAACCTAAGCACTTATTAACGAAATGTGTTTTGGATATCATTGATAATAGAAAGTATAAAAAAATTTTGGTTTATGCAAAACAAGGGAAAAGTAAATATTTGCATATTTGGAGTTTTAATCGTTTGTGTCAAAGTAATTGTAATTTAGTTAAAACTAGTCTTAAACTAAATAAATCTGATATTGTATTACCAGAAAATGGTGGTATAATTAAAGGTTTAAATAATCAATGTTTGTTTGTAACAAAAAATGCTATTGTTGATAGTAGACAATAGTACTATACTATAAATAATTAGATATTTCTAAATAAATTTTTTTGATAATTGATTTGTTGTATATGTTTTTTTAAACAATAATTCATGTAAAATATAATTTATGAGATAAAATGTGAGTTTGTTTGATGAGAGTGTGTTATATGATATAAGTCATATCTATAACACATCTAAACCACATTTTCTCAAATAAAGATATCATTAAATTAGAATTAAAAATATATATATAATAATAGGATTAATGTCATGAAAATGTTTGACACCAATTCATTCATCATATATTGGCTCAAACTCTTTATCACCAATGGATTCTTCATTAGTTTGCATCTTAACGTCGCTGGCATTGTCTATAATACTACCATTGAGCGAGTGTTCACCAGTGTTGGCATTTATAGACTCACTTAAGAGTTGAGTCTTATTTAGGTCGTCTGAAATATGATTGCTATTAATGTTAGTTTCATTAACTGATAGTTTCTCATCATTTTGGTCATCATTTTTGTGCTCATCTGTGTTGTTCTCCTTTGCGTTGGATTCATCGTTGACCACGTCTTCCATTTCTTCATCGATGACATCATTTTGCTCTTCCTTTTTGTAGAGTTCATCAATTTCTGCCAATTCTTTTTGAACTTTAGCCCGTTTTTCGGCGACAATCACTGTTTATTAATAATGAATTACATAATTAATTATCGCTAATATAAACAATAAACTGTCTGATAAAGTGTAAGATCTCATACATCTATATTTGTCTTTAGATTCCTGTAATCTCTTTTCAGTTTCTGGCGTTTGTTTTGCGGGCAAATAAAAAATATTTGGTTTGGTTTTTGTTTGGATGTAATTAGACAGATGTTGATGTGAACGCTCCCATTCTCGATGCTGTTAATCAATAATAAATACATCAATTTTATGATATCATTAATTTGACTTTAATTTATGATAAAGTAATACACAATTAACATACAATTTCCACTCTTTCCATCTTATGTTCAATACGTCTGATTTGGGCTTCTTTTTCACGTCTGATTAGAAACAATTCTCGTCTTTCTTTCTTTAAGGCAATCTTTTCTTGTTCTGCCTTTTCATCCAATTTCTTCTCAATTTCCACTCTTTTCATTGTTTGCTATTTTAAGACAATATATACACATTAGTCGTAAACCATTTTAGATAAAACACAATTATCACAAACCGTATCCCTTTTACTGGATTCTTCATTTTGAAACTTTTGAAGAGTACCTAAAATCATACCAAACATACGCTTATTTCGGGCCAAACTCTTATCCTTTTTCTGTTCTTCTAAGGCTTGAGTTCGTGGTTTCACTTCACGAGTGGGCGCCACAACTGATGACTGGACAGTCGGCTTACGGATCGGTTCGTCGAAGTCATTGCTCGACTCTCTCTCACTAATACGTGATCTAATAATACAAATCAATAAATTTATCGATTATTAAGATATGATATGAAATAACAAATGCCTTTCAAATACCGGTTCATATTATTGCCGTAAAACCGTCTCTTTCTTTGCGGTTCATATGACTGTTCGTCGACGACTGAGTTAGACTTCGAGTAATTACTGGCCAACGATGCTGTCGACCGATTCGGTCGATCGACTGATCGTTCTTTGACTACTTTAGTCATGAAATTACTGTTGCTATCCATCAAACAAACAATAAACCATCAGATGATAACATTAAATAACAATTAGTCTCTTAAATACATACTTGGGTTCCCTTCCGGTCACTCTTTTGATGGATTCGTCCACATCTTTAAGGCTTTTCTTGGCCTCCAAGAACTCAGTCTCGAGATTTGCAAACACATTGAATACTTTGGCTGTCATTGTTGTTGTTGTTATTGTTATTGTCCAACAAATGTCTTATAATTAACCACAATAAGCCTAATCGATGAATGTCTTCATGAGTGAAGTAAGTGATCGGTTATCAAATGATTTCAATTGAAATGACAATCAAATTAAAACTATAAATCAAATGCAAATCAATTTCAATGCCTTTTAATTGTTTGCAATGTTTTGTGTGTTTATTAAACCAAACAACACATGAATAACGTGTTTGAAGTATCGAAACCATTGCCCATATGTTTGTGTGTTTGCATTGCATTTGCATTGCATTGACTATCAATACGAGTGAACCCTTAGAGTCGCATATATTGAGTGATAAATATATGAATACGTTTGACATAACTGTGAGTCGGATGCGATGATCACCTCATTTGATCCCATCATTACATCTTCATTGATATCCAATTGATTTTATAAGCATTTCATGTCTTAAAATAAGCACCAAATTGTGTTCAATACAGTGGCCAACAAAACAACTCCATATATGGTTTGACTAATCCATTGAATCTATTATTGAATGGTATCTTAAAAATACAATATTGTATCCAAATTGATGGTCAAAATTAGCCACCGATTGATATCCAAGTTATGATTGTTTGCATATAATTGATGACAAGTTTGGTTTAGAAGACATAATGAACAGTTCATCCGATGATTTAGGACTACGGATAGCTTTGTGTGATTTAATTGAAAGACTGAAGAGATGCGAACAGAAGTGCTCTTATTTGGAAAGATGTAGACATGAGCTCATCAAAGAAGTGGTTAGATTGAGGTCACAGAATCAACTGATGGCCACACATCTCGATAGTATTCATTTTATTAATAACAACAATCAATTATTGGTCGGTCCCGTTGATGACCTCAAGATTGATTGTAAGGATAGAAGTGCTGACGAAGACTATGATTTGAATGGAAGTGATTGTGATAAAGAAGAAAATTGGCAGCAAATTACTATCCGTTTGTTGCATAACTTGAAACGAGAAATATCGGCCAATGATGACAATCAATTGATTAGATTTGATGAACAAGATCTGCGGCTAAATGGCGACGAAACTATTGATACAATTTCCACAAATGATATGCTAAACACTGTCACAACTAATGATACTATATTAACCATAAATGACTCGTTGAGTCCAATTGACGATAAAAAGATCCAAAATAAAAGCAATTATGATATGAATGACAAACAATTGAAAAAACTTGTGATTTCAATGAATGAGATGACAAATGATAGTAATTTAAGCCCACATTTGAGTGTTCAACACATTGATAGCTCTTTAATGAGTTCAAAAAGTGATCACAAATTAAAAAATGCAGCAAAAAATTTTAATAATAGTAATAATAATAATATTAATCATCTAATGAATAGTACAACTCATGAGATGAATAGCTTAGATATGAAGGCAACTACAAACAGCTCTTCATTTATGTCAACCAACAACGATATGGATACTAATAATAATAATAATAATGAATCCATAAAAGCATTTCTCAGTACTATATCTGTTGTCAAACAAGAATTAAATGATGTCTTAATGACACTGAACTCACAAAATGAGAGACTGACCCGATTGAAGGCAAAACAATTAAGAAATTATTTTAATCGACAAATTCATTTGGATTTGACAAACACTCAACAACAACAACAACAACAGTCCTCCAGAACTGATGGCAACAGTAATACATCAAAACGGCAACCGATTAATAATAATCGTCAGAAACAATGATAACTTTTGTTTGTTTTTTATACATAGTTTTTATTTAAAAAAAGAGTAATAATTTATTTTAAATGAATGCATATATTTTATATAAATTTTATTTTACTTATCTATTATATACAGCATATAAATCTATATATATCTGTAATTCATAAACGAACAAATATTAGAGATTGTTATTAATATATATTTATATATACAATTGATTTGAATCATGATTACGAAATTTATAATTTACATTATTAATAATGAAAGTTTCACAAATTTTATAAATCATTAGTGTTTAAGTGTAAATATTAAAGAAAGTTTTCGATATTTTATAATAATTTTATTTGTTACTTAATAATCACTATTTTATAATTTTAAATTGTTTTTAAATATAAATATTCATAGAAATAAATAAAAGTTCTATTAAACAATTTGAATGTTTTCATATGATTTTATAAATGACACGAATTTATTGAACAATTTGTATAATTTTAAATAAATTATATAAATAATAATACAAAATAAATATATTTATTCGTTTAGATATTAATATGAATCCATTAACTAATATCTAAAAAATAATTGCTTTCAACAAAAACATATTAAAATTCTATTTTGTGTAGTGTTTAGTATAAATCATAAAAATATTTAAAGTAATCTTTTTTTGTTAAAATTATTTGTCTCACTTTACTAAATATTTATATACTATTATTAATAAAATAATAAAATATAACAAAATGACAAATTTGATAATATTTCAATATATAATATTTTAATACTATATATTTTTAATATGATACAAATATATAACTTATTTAATTTTTAATATGTTTATAATGAATTTAAAAATTATGAATATTAATTCAAATTTTATCCTATATTTATATACATGTCTAAATATATTTAATTAACAAAATTAGAATATTAATAATAAATTATTATAAATAATCTTTTTTAAACTGAACATCAAATTTTTATTTGAAAACTACTCTATATAATAAATAACAAAAATAGAAATTTTTAATAACTCGGAGTTTATTTGAGTTTTATTTTATTTATTTAAAACGATTTTATTGGTTTTATAATATAAATAGAAATAATTTGAAAGTCTAATTATGTTAATATTATTTAAATTTTATAGGTTTTCATTTTAATATTATAAACTTACAAAATATAAGAATTATTGATTAACATAAACGTAAGTATATTATCTAAATCATACACAAAATCAATATAAATAGACTTGATTTTTTATATGTTATTCAAACATAATTATTGTTTATAAACTATACTGAATATTTATTTATATCTATAATAACAGTAATAATTGTAATCAGATTTGGTTTGTTATAATGTTTAGTTGTAAAAAATATAAACGTATATTCTTAGAAATAACAGAATAAAAAAATCAATAAAACTAATGTATGAATTAAACATAATTTGTTTTCAATGACTAATCTCTTTCAAATTCTTTGTATTAAATAATTTATTATCTTATTTAATGTTAATAATATAGTATTGTATTACTATAATTAATAACAATATAAATGCATAACAATTTATATTAAGAAAGAAAGCAAATACTGTTTATTAATAAAATTTTGTCCTAAAAATTGTTTAATTTTTCATACTTAAAGTCATAATATTTTTAAAGTGATGACATTATCGATCTTTAGGAACATTCATAAAAAGGGATTAAAAAGTACTTGTTTTGTAAAAAAACATTACATTGAATTAAAAAAGTTGTTTTCTTATAAAAATAAAACATTTATAAATAAATGTATTTTCCAAAACATTATTTTAATTTGTCAAACGAAATAACTTAAATATTAAGCGAAACAATAAATAAATAAATAGATAAATAAATCATTAAAATAGATTGATTTGGTCTAATTTATAAGTGATTTATAACTCTAAAAATAAATCTCGTTTATAAATCTATATTTTAATATATTTGTATTTAATTTACTGAATTTACGAATACTTACACTAAATAAATATATAACCTCATTAATTACGATATATACTGTACATATATATTTTTAACAAAAAAAATTATTTATTAAACATCAATGACATATATATTATTTTAAAATTATTTTTAAATATTAGAAATTTGTTTATATAAACAATAATATAATGAAGGAATGTTAACACTAATTACTATTAATAAAAGTTAAAAGTATTAACAAATATTAAATTAATTTGATAAATGCTATTATTTTCAGCAAACGTTAGTTAAGTAAAATCTAAAACAATTCAAATAAAAATTAATTTATTACTGTAAGTACAGCATATAATATATTAGTTTTTAAATTATTGAATCTAATACTTAAATATATTATTGCGAAAAAATCTATTTATAACAATAACAAGAATAGAAAATTTACTATTAATTTAACATTTATTGTTATTAGTGATAAAAGATTATACTGAAATTTGTAAAAAACTGATTAAATTTAACTTTAAATGAAAAAGTCAATGCAATATTTAAAATATAATAATCATTTTATTAAATAAATATATTTCTAAATATTATATATATTTTAAATATCAAAACAAATATTGAAAAATTGCAACACAATATTTTTTTAATCTGACTAACAATAAATGTTTGTTAGTTTTAATATAATAATTATAGTATTATTAGTATTTTATATTAAATCTTTATAGCTAAAATGATTTATTTGTATTTATTTTTATAAAATATATTATATAAACTTTTTATTTTATTTATGTATGTAATAATGTTATTAGTTGTCTAGTATTTTATAAATATATTTAATAATAATTGTTTTTCTAAGTTATATTATTTATTATAAAAATAATTTTATTTTTATTATTTCAAAAGTTATATTTAGTGAAAATTTAGCCAAACATTAGTATAATAATTGTTACTTAATCTTACTAATAGACTGTACTTACACAATCATATTGTTAATGAATTAAAGCAATATTAATAATATAATAAATAGTAATAATACTGTAAATCAATGCAGAGTTTAACTTAGTGCTAAAAAATAAAAAAAATTATTTCAGCAAATTAGCAAATTATGTCACAAAATCATGTGGTTTACATGACTCGTAGTCAACGTAATATTACAACAAACACACAAACAAACAAACAAACAAAAGTATACATGGTTATTTTTTAATTATAGCATAAATAGTAGAAAAAATGATAAAAGAATTATATATATATATATATAACTATAATTATATGTAATTCATTATAAACTATAGCGTTGTGTTTGGTTTGTAGATAATAAACAGGAACTCCTACGCAGACAAGTGTAGAAAAATTGTCATAAACCCGATCCGTACGAGTAATGAATGAAAAGTACAGAATATTCTGTGTTTAGTACTAGAAGTGGCACAAGAATTGCGGGCATTGAGAGTGTGTGTGCACTCTATTAGAGCACACATAACATAACTGTGCGGCACTCGTATGACATGTGATCCACTTGTAAAGCGCAGGTCGGCTTAACTTTCACTAAAACTGGTGGAAAACAGTGAGAGATAAAAAATTATCAGTTATTTTATCAGTAAATTCACTGTCAAAAGCAAAACTTCATTCATAAATAAACTCGACTTCTCTGTCAAATAATTATAATAAAAACTCATTTATAGTACAGTATATTACAACTCATTATTAACAATGATATCTTATTATCAAATGATATCATTGCTATATATTTTTTCTTATTAATTGTGTCACACAATTCTCTATTTTCACATATATTTGATGTGACATTGTCTCGTTTCTTATTAAAAAACAAAAATTATATATATATATATATGTTTTAAAAGTTAATAATATAGTTTTTTATATTTAATATTAAAAATTATTATATTCTAAGAATTTATATGAGACTATTATAACTTGTTTTCTTAATAACAATCAATTAAATAATTATATTTAAATTTATAAAAGTAAATTATTGAAAAAAATATTTTTATTAAGGATATATATATATATATATATATATAACTTTGTAGTAATTTTTGTGTGGCATTATTACATTGTGTTGAAAAATAATCCAAATAAATGTTTGATCAAATAAATATCTAATGTATTGTACATCAAATATGTGCCACAAATATATAAATTGAATCTATTTTTTTTGTCTATTTTTGTTGGTTTTCTAAATCAACTCTATTTTTTAACTGTATGTTTACTACAGTGTATTTATATTGTTTATAAATATATAGTTTATATACATAAGCGATAAGTAATGTGAAAATCGCGTTACAAAACATAAGAAATGATATAATTATAACTTTGTTGGCAACAATTCATCGTCAGTTAATAATACCGTATATATATCTGTCCTCAACAACAATGTTATACATGCTTTCTGTTTGATCTCTATATTATTAATTATATATATTTAATTAAAGTAAAACAACTTTACATTTTATCACTCTTTCAGAAATTTTAACGGCATTTTAAAATTTATTGAATAAAACAATTTAATAAAAATAATTTTTTAAAAAATAGTTGTATAGTAATGAATGAAACAAAAAATCTTGAATATATCGCCACTATTTTGGGACCACAGAGATCATTGTCTCTTTCGTGGTTAATACCGCTAACAGTTGTTTATATAATAATATTAATATTCGGTGTATTGGGGAATGTGGTCACAATACTAGTTATACTACGATTCCGATACATGCAAACAATTACAAACTTATATTTGTGTAATTTGGCCATCACTGATCTCATTACATTGATATGCGGTAAGCTATTAACTTAGAGTTTCATTTAGTTTGTTATGTAATCATATATACATTATATTTATATTTAATGATTGGTTCACCAAAAATGATTTGCTTATATCATTTAATAATTCAATTGTAGTGTTATTATATATTTATTTATTAAAACTAAAAGAGTGTAATTAAGTTATGATTATGTTATAGTATACTGTAATCAGTAAAATTTTACTGGTAATCAATCATTAATTATAATTAATTTTTACTAGTTATAACAATGTTTTAGTGATACTTTTATATATTTACCACATTAAACTATTATTTTCACTTTTTTCATTTATTTATATTTTTTTACATTACTATTACATTTAATTTCCTTCAAAAAAAACACATAGGATTTCATAAAATGTTTTTAATTAAATTTATTTTACTAAAACCAACATTTATAAGCACTAGTAGTTGTTTTTATTTGTTAGTAAAATTACAACAAATCAAAAAATAAGAAATACATTAAAAATGAATATATATATTCATTTATATCAACTATTTTTTTGCTAATGACTACTATTACCGCTAACTTGATGTTCAGGGTTTTTACATTAAATGAATTGCTATTTTTGAGATAAAAATACTTATTTTATAGTGATATTCAAAAGTGGATTCACAGTGATAGTGATCAGTAGTGATGCTTATCATTAAGTTAATCTATAAAAACAACATTTTTAACTTAATATATCGACATTGATATCAATCCTATAGAGTATTCACTATATATCACACCATTTATTATTATATCATTTAACTATCCATAGATGTATGTTAGTTACAATAAATAGTATATACATGACTGGTATAGACTGTCTATAATTTATATAATACATCACTAAAGAAATGCATTTTCAGATCAAGCAATAGATTACCAAACACTACACTAAACCAAAAAGTATTGTCAAAATTTATGTCTTTCAATGTAAAGCCAATAGCAATATATGTCTTAAAGGCTGTATAACTACAGTACTGTTACTTTCATTGAGGCATAAGTGACCCAAATGTAGCACATCTTTGATCACAACATAAAAACATGTTTTACTAAGAATTTTCTGTATCTATAATATTGATATACAAATGCATTCTTACATAAAATTGACAAAAAATGATATATATTTTTAAAGTGCTTTAAAATATTTTCCAAAAATATTGTTTTGGATTTTAAACAATCACTAGTTTTCTAAAACTAATTGTTATTATTGTTTTTTTAATGCCTTCATTTTTATAATCATTTTATATTTTAAGCATAAATTTAACACAATTATTCAAATTTAATAAAACACTGAGACCAGCAATTTTAATGGTTCACTCATCTGTAAACTTTTTTCTTATATCATTGAATAAAATAAAATAATTTTATATGAAAAAACATTTATTATAACTTTTATGTAAAAATATAAAACATATATTCATTATATTATATTTTATATATTTTGTAAAATATCTTTAAATAGTTTTTTTTAAATAAATCAGACAAATTAGACTTTTGGAAATTGAGTTGTATATAAAAAAGAGTTATTATAACTATTGTTTATATAACTATTGCTCAGGTATGCCATTAGAATTGTATACACTATGGCACCAGTATCCGTTTTCATTGGGAGTAACCATATGTCGACTTAAATCACTAGTTCCTGAAAGTACAGCCAACGCATCTGTTTTAACATTAGGTAAGTGCCATCACTAAAGAAAACAAAAATTGAATTATAAATTACAGGAAAAAATTATTTGTTAATGTTTTGCGTCAATGATATCGGTGTTAAATAAATGTCTCAATGGATTACTTTGTGTGTATTGATTGACAATATATAGTAACCTTTACTTTGGAGCGATATATGGCTATCTGTGGTTCGCCTAAAGTACCGAATTCGCAGTCATTGTTCAACACTAAGGATGAAATGTCTCGCATTAAGAGAATAGCCATCAGAAACATTGTCATCATTTGGATCTTCTCGTTGATCGGTGCCATACCATTGTCATTGTTCACACAAATCAATTATCTGTTTGTCGACTCTAAGCCCTTGTATGAAAGCGCGTGGTGTGGACTGCCTTTTAATCAGCCAAACCTTCACTGGGAGACTATAATGTTGTCGTCAACCATAATATTTTTTCTCATCCCATTGACTATTATATCGCTTCTCTATTACCGAATCGCCAGAAAACTGAAAAGAGCCACAAAACTGGATCCACTGAATCATCCGGATCTACATTTGGCAGATCACAGAACATCCCGTAAGATAATGCAGTCGCGAAAGATTGTCATCAGAATGTTGGGTATGATTTAGATTTGCTTTAGAAATACCTTTTATTTTTTATCAACACATTAATAGTGTTTAGCTCACAGTCGGGTATAAGCATTAACTCTAATTTTATTAGTTTCTCTGTCATTCATATTACCAGAAAAAGTGATAAAAATAAAAATGTTTTCTATGTCTTATACCACAAATCTCTCTCTCTCTCTCTCTCTCTCTCCAAATGTCGACTTATTTCTATAATATAGTAAAAGCTAATAATGTAATAATACAGAATAATACAATTTTTAGCCATAGATTTAGGCATAAAACAAAACCAAAAGTAATTGAGGATTAAAATGATGACTCAGTTGATCACACTTTAACTCTGGTTTCCCATTTCTAACTGCTTTTGATATTATATTTTCATTTTAATAACAAATTATAATTTCTATATTTTTATATATAATCGCTTCTAATATTTCTAATCAATTCTGTAAATATTGAGACTTAATCTTGTTTTTTGTTTACCATTTCATTATTATTCAAATCTTATTATTTTTATTATAATATCATATTATTATTAATAAACACTATTATCATGTTATTGTTTTTTAAGCAATTTTTTCTCGGCAGCGTTCAAAACGTATTATATAACATAAATGACAAATAGAGTATAATAATTTTATATTATATATCAATATTTATACAGTATATAAATTATATATAAGTATGTAAGTGTTATAAATCCAGTACAAGTATTAACTGTATATACTATTTATATTATAAATAAAATAACAAATTAAAGAAAAAAATAACTTCTAAATAATTCTAAATAAATGTATGATAATACTGTATCTATATATAAAATACTATTTTAATCTTAAAAACTGGTTATTGTGAACTAATTATGCTAGATATTTTTTTATAAATTGTTACAAATTATAATTTAATATGTTATTATATATTATCTGTTATAAATTAAGATATTGGATGTTTGAATTACTATATAATTGCAAATCAAATATATCATTGATTTGATAATTATAATTAACATGGTAAATGTAAAATGATTTAGAGTTTAATATAATTCAACTATTAATGAACATAAAAATAGTTATTTGTTGACTTTATTTTAATTAATGTTTAATATACATATTTATTTATACAATACTTTTATATTAATTATCTTTTATTGAAATTTAAGTTAATTAATATTTACATTTAATAGTACATATAAAGAACTGAGAATTGAATTTATCAAACTTTATATTATGATATTACTGATAAATCCTTTGAAAACAATTAATTATTATTTTTAATTTTAAAAATTAATTAGTTTGGTAACTGGGAGGCAACACATTTAATAATTAATAACTTTAGTATAATCGTATTAATAATTCATTTTAATATTATATTATTCATGATTACTCATTGATTAGTTAAATTATATCAATAAATTATAACGAAACAATTTTTATGTTATGATAGAAAATTTGTTCATTAAAAATTAATTAAAATTATATAACTTATTTACTAATTGTTAGATAACAATGATTTTAGTGGCACTTATCATACAGTAATTTTCATCCCTTTAATTATATAAACATTGGTCCTCAATATATTCATCCCTTTAATTATATAAACATTGGTCCTCAATATAAAAAAATATTATATACATTAAGTTTTTTCTACAAAGTAATTAATAAAATTAACTTAAAAATTTATTCATTTCAATTTACAATTTACTATAGAGTATCAAATATTGAACATGTTTTTATTTTTACAAAAAAAATATTTTAACTATTTATAGTTATGTGGAATATTAATACAGAGTTGTATAATATTTATACTATAATTTAAAATAGGCGTTAGACAACTATAAAATTTAAATTATTTTTACATATCGTAATCATTAAGAAAAATAATATTTTATTCATATTTATTAAATGATTAAATCAGATTTTATTAAGTCGATTATTACAGATAGTTGTAATAATACTGTAGTATTACCGGTAAATATTAATTATTTAGTTTGACATTAATTTTTTAAATGAATACTTAGAAGAATTTAACATGGTATTATATTTAATAATTATAATCATCATTAATTGTTTTAAACTAATTTATATGTAAAAATGTCTTTAAAATTATTATATTATTAATTAATTTTAGTTTAATGTTTTCTATTGTGCAATAAAAATACAATTTCTCTGTTTAACTTTAAAAATTAAAATATTACATTCAGTAAAATAATTGTAAGATTGAAATTTACTACTTTAAATTATAAAATACATTATTTTAATTATTTCATACAAATATATTTAAGGGTTAAGCATTGTTTTGGATCTTAGAAGGTATGGGTAAAAATGAAAAAATCTTTGGGGTATAGAATGGGTGTAACTTTTTATTACATTTTCAAAATCCCAAAATCCCAAAAATTCTATAAATACTTTATTTTAATGACATTTTTTAAATAAAATAATATTATTTTGGCTTAATTTTAACGTAGTTTAAACTATTTTACAAATTTTTATTAAATAATTCAATTTAAATATTTTAATTTTTATAAGAGGGGGTCAACTTCACATTGTTTTTAAGCGACAATTTTTTTGATATATACACTTATTTAAAAAATTTATAAATTAAATTATATCCTGTTTTTATCAAAATATTTATTTGAAATATATAAATATTTTTCAATTATAAGATTAAAAAGTTTTAAAACAAAGTTTCTCACAAAATATTTGAAAATATGGATCAAAATACAAATATAATTTTTGAAATAAATCTCATATAAGCCACATATTGTTTGAGTGAATGGATTTTTTTACATTAAATGTTATTTGGATTTTTGTCAATATTTGTATTTTGAAATCATAAATAAAACATTCAAAACATATTTGCTAACTGTTAATAAAAATGAGATTTTTTGGTCAACAAATTAGGAAATAATATGGATTTTAATAAAAATATGTAAAATAAATCTAACTTTTAAAGTATAAACTTAAATAAAATTAAATAATATATCAGTGAATATAAAATTATTTTTTTATTTATCTAATGGAGTGTATTATAAAAGAACTGAAATGTAAAAATATATATTTCATATAAAAATTATTTTTGAAATTTTTTAGACAACTAATTTTTTTGACAATTTATAATTATTTAATTTTTAAACTAAGTGTCAAATACAAATATTAATGCTAATAAGTTATATAATAAGGTATAGACTGTAAATGAAAAGTTAAATATATGTATTATAAACAAAAACTATTGTCATTTTTAGTGCATTTAATTTATTTAAAATGTAGACATATTATAACATGCATTATTGGTTATAGTAACCTATTATTATGTATTGTTTGTGTATGAATATCATATAAATAAATTTACATTTATATAGTAAAAATTGACATTCTATTAGTTATGCAAACATTTATAATCTAATACAAAAAAATACGAGTTTATGAGTAATTTAATAAATTTTTAAAAGGCTTAAGGTTATAAAAATTTAAATTATCTAAATTTCAAAGTTTAATTTAGTTAATTATAATTCAATGAGATTAACTAAACTTGTTTTTAATTTATAAATTTTTTAAATAAATTATATTAAATAAGTATGTTTTTGTTAAATTTTTAATTAATAATAAAAAATTGACATTGTTCATAGTTTTTAATGAAGTTTACATACAAAGAAAAAATTACTAATAAGTATAAGTTAGAAACTATTTTTTCATTATTAGAAAATTTATATTTACCCAACGCTAATATTATAACGCTATTGTGTAATATATTCTGTATAAATAGTAACACAATTTTTAAATCAATCCATTTATCGATTTTATTAAATTTTTATAATATAACAAAATAGACAAATTGTTTTCAAATTTCAGACACGCATTCAAACCATTCAATACAATCAGTCATTCATTTTTTATTAGCCATTCATTGATGTCTTAATACAATTAACTTTAATGTTGATTATTGTATGTTTTATATTAAAACAAACAATTTCAAGCTAACTATCCCTTCTGTGGTTTACTTTATTTATAAAGTATAACTTTTTCAAGTTGTCAATTGTCATACTGTTTAAACTGTGTTTTATTAAAAAATAGTTTAAAAATAGGAAATTAATTTTAAAACGTGTCGATCAATTTTATTATGATATCCAAGTTTTATATCCACATATAAAATATTTTAGTATTATTATTATTACCACTATATATTAACCATTTATATATTATTACAATATTTTTATTATATTATCATATTTTTATCATAATACTTAAAATTTATTTTATTTTTTGAATACTAAAATCATCATGTTATATTTATAAATGCTATAAAAACCAATTGATATCAATACTGAATAATAGTGATTATACCAATTATAGTAAATGTGTGTCAGATGAAGCTTATAATCATTGAATGTATTTTAGTGACCAATAATTGCTATTCTTGTCTAACATTTATTTTTATATTACTTTATATACCGTATCTAAAGTTGTATTTTGTCTAACATTACCATCTGTTTCCTTATCTATAGTTTGCATTGTCATTGTATTTTCATTATGTTGGTGTCCATTTCACGCCCAGAGACTACTGTTCCTCTATATTAGCCTTTACTCGACCTGGACTAACACATTACGCCAAGTCAACCAGGTCTTATTTCTATTAGCAGGTAATTAACGCTATAAATTTGTTTATTAAATGTTTAGTTTGTATAATAATCACTGGATTCTAGCATTGAATATTTAATTATATTGAATATTTACATTATATTTATTATTTGTTGTAAATAAATTGCAACATTAAAAATCCTAAAATCACATCACAACTGAAAAACTAATATAAAGTTAAAAAATAATTTCAAAGTTCAATAGTTAAAGCATTTCTTATTTAATGATAGGTTGTCTCTATTATCTGAACAGTTCGTTGAATCCATTGGTAAGTAAATACAAATACTTGAGTTACAATTTGAAATAAGATTATTAATTTTATCACTGAGTGCTTAGCACTGAATCCATAAAATAATTGAATTTTATATTATTTCTTTCTCAAAAAAAAAACAAAACAAAAAAGATATATTCAGTATTATCGACCAGATTTAGGGCCGCATTTATCCTATACGTCAACGGTTGCTGTGCTGTCAACACAAGTCAAACGCCGAGTGCCACAAATAGTCGGGTCCGCAATAAGGCCAGCGGTAGTAAAAGTAATAGTAATAATAACAATTCGGTGGTCGGCGGCGGAGGACAACCCATGACTCAGACAGTAGCCAAACATTGTGATAACAATGGTGTGTCAACAAAAGTACACTGGTCAAAAAATCCAGCTTTCCTTGATAAATAACTATTTTTAAAATTTAATGTTTATATTATTTAAAATAATTTAATATTTTGTTTAAAATATATTTTAAATACTGTATAAATCTCACGTCTTATGATAAATATAATCAAATTTATAAAATATTCAAATGTAATATCAATAATAAATTTTTCTAATTTTTGTGATATTTAATGTTAAATTTATAAGAATAAATATATAATTTTACGCATTCATTATTTTTAAATATTGTTGATATTACAAATGTAAATTTACTATTTGTTTACTAGTTATGTGTGTTATATTAGATTTATTGTACAATAAACTACTATTTTATCTATTATAAGTTATTATAATAAACTATATTACTGTTAACTAAAGTACTTTAAAATTATGTAACATATAAACTGTATTTTTATATAAAAAAATAAAAATTTTAAATTGTATATACTCTATAAATTGGTAAAATATAATCAGTAAATTTAATATAAAAATAATTTAATATCATAATTCATTTAACTAAAATGAATTTTATTGAAACATCATTAAATAAATTGATGTTTTATAGTATTAAGGTATTTATATAACAATAATATAAAATACTATAAAATTATTGATTTATATTCTTTAATTGTTTGAAATAGATAATAAAATTATATGTTAAAATTTAATTTTAAAAAAAATTAATATAATAAAAAAGCATAAAATTGATTATTTGACTTAATAAAAAACTAATGTAATGTAATTTATATGAGTATATAAATCAAATTATTTGTATGAATATATTTAAAATATTTGCAATAAATTTCGAACCAATTATAAAATATATAAGAATTTTAATAAAATTTTTCTTATTTTTATTAAATTTACAATAATATTAACAATATATCCTATTTATTAATTTAAAAATTCAAATAATTTTAGATATAAAAAACTAAATGTGAGAAAATGTCACAAAAATGCAATATAAAATCATTAAAAATATTCTATTATTAAATTTTTATTAAGTATAAATATAAATTGTAGAAAATTTTAAGTTTTACATATTAGACATAAAAATTTAAATCATTATTAAAAATAATCAAAACAGTATAAAATAATTTTTGTTTTGTCAAATAATTGTAATTTTTATATAATATATTAATGACAAATGATTTTACATTTTTACATTCAGTTAATTAAAAAACAAGTTTATAATAATAATAATATATATATATAAATACATTTGTAAAATATTCAAATAATTATATAAATTACTTATTATATATTGCTATATATAGTAAAATGTAAAATTGATAACAAAATATTTTATAAAATTTAATAATATCTAAAACTTTGCCCTCAATTTTTCAAATTGAATAAACAAACAAAAACTCTAATTTCAGAAAAAAATATATACTGTATTAGAAAAATTAAGTTAACTTTTAAGTTGTCATTATTTATTTTGATATATTATTGTTGACGTTCAAAAATAGTGTTCAACAATTCAATTATATTAAATGTTTACACATTATAAGTTAACTCATCGTTTAACAAAAAAAAACAATAAATCAAATGTAGAATATTCTTTTAAAAAATTAGTTATAAATATATTCTCAAAATATAAAAAAACAATTTACTATTTTAATTATTTAAGGCCTCATATTTCACATAAATAGATTACGAGGCAATTCATGTTTATCTGGATAACTGGTTTGTGTCCCCGTCTTTAATACCGATCGGGTCGCTATAAAACACGACCGTTTCATTTGCTCCTCAATGCCAAGTGATGGATGGCATACCATATAGTAAGCCAATGCTCCCATAAATGCATCTCCCGCTCCCTATATTATATAGTATAACAATACTGTATTTATGCAAATATAAAATATATAACTATGACCATGAAATTTGTATTAAAATTCAATACAATTATACTAATGGTTAGTTATTTTGTACCAAAAAAATAAAGTTGTGAAATAAATAATAATAATATTATGCAAACTTCGTGCGTAAACTTTATTATTATTATTCATATGATTTTTTCATATGACTATTAAGTTTAATGAAAATAATGTATGCGTCGATATAATACTTGCGATTTAATAAATATTAGCTTAAAATGTAATATATTTTTTTCATGACAAATTGTTACATAAATATATAAAATGTATATATAATATACTGTAGTTTGTATAAAACATCGTTGATATAATCTATTTGTAATGTCTAAAGATTATAATAGCTAATTACTTTGGTACACGTATTTCATAACTATTTTGTGCAAATTAATCTAATACGGGAATTAAAACCTTTTTTTCAAAAAATTAAGAGTATTTTCATTTAAATTACTAAACTATTGTAAAATTGTAATAATGACTTACCAAATAATATAACTACTTATATTTATATTATTAGTTTTATATTATATACAGACTATATTATTTAATCAATAAGAAGAGAGCTTTTATTATTTATATTATAAATTATAAATAACTAAAAACAAAAAAACATAAAACAATTCAATCAGACAAAAAAAAGTACAATAAAATAAGATTAGTTACTAAATTAACAAACAATAATATAAACTTAGACTAAATAAATAGTTAATGATTTGGGAATAATTTAATAGCTAATTGTCTAAAAACAGATTCTTGCCATTTAAGCGCTAAATTAATAAATCTCAATAAATTAGTTAATATTTGTTTGTAAAAAAATAACTATGGATTTATAATTTTAAATATTAATTAAATACTTGTATATCATATTTTCTACAAATAATAATAATCAGTAAGAAATCGTTAAACAGTTATAGATATTTTTAATAATACAACAAATCGACCCTTGACTTTAGGATAAAATAGCAAAAAAATAATATACAATATCGACCATTAAATTTAATATATAAAAATCATATCGTTGTCTCTTAATCGCAATGTCTGACATTTTATTATTATAAATGGTTTGTTAAATTCATAGTGTATTATATACAAGTATAATATGAAATCACATCCTATTTAATGGTTTTGTTTTATCTTTTTATTATTACATCACAATCTTTCATAACAGGTCTTCATTTCTAATAATAAATATAACATTTTTTTGTCAAATAAATTGTTTTGTGATTAATTGAACCCTTTTATGATTGTTTTTACTGCTGTCTAATAAAAACAGTTTTACTTTATATAGACTTTTATGTATATTTTATGAGGTGTGTTAAGGTTGTCATAAAATTACCAAAAATAAAAATAACAAAACAAATAGCATTACGTACTGTAGTATCCACTGGCGTCACCTTTTCCTGAATGGGCACATATATATCACTATTGGTGTCCATGTAAATGGCACCGTTAGTTCCCATAGTCAGTATGACAGCACCGCATCCAAGCTTTAATAGTTCACGACATGATTTTCTTCCGTCATCTACACTCTCAATGTTAATACCAGTCATTATCATGGCTTCGGTTTCATTGACACAAAATGTGTCAAATAATTGATACATTTCTGGCAATGGATTGTTGGGAAAAGGAGGCGCACCATTGACTAGGGTTCTCACTGTTTAAACATAAATATTTAACATATAATATGTAATAAAATTATTGTATAAATAAAAAAATTCTTATTAAACTTATTATTAAAAAAAGTGAGACTCAAATCAATAAATCAATCGATTTATTGTACTATATAGTGGTTAGAAACTATTTAAGCATAAAAAATATAATAAAAATAAATTTTCACCAATTTATTAGATATTACACATTTTTCATAAATAATAAATAAAAAAGAAAATTAAATTATATAAACAAAATCAAAATGCACGGTAGTATAAAAATTATGTTGTGATATTTGGTATTAAAATAATGCTAAATTCACAAAAATTGAATTTAAAAATTATTTATATAATGTAGAAAAACGTGAATTGTTAAAAAATAAATTTAGTTTTATTATTTGTTAATCATAAAAATTTCATTAAATAAACCGTAAAACTCATTAAAGAATCACAATAAAAATCAATATTTGTTATCAAATTATTCATTTAATAGATATAAATAAACCATCAAATAACAGACAAAAATATTTATGTTAATTAATTCATAGAAGTTTATTAGATTTTATTTAAAAACTGTAAATATTTAAAATCAAACTATTATTATATTTGCTTAAATTATTTCCATGTATTATGTAATCAATTATGTATAACTGAATTGTATATTAGTTAAATTATAATTCTATTAACATAACAAAATTAGTTTGCTATTTAAATAATAGTTTATAATAAGTAAATATCAAATGTGAAAACATAAAAAATCATTAAATATTTACCTCCTTTTTTGCGAGCAATTTTCAGTAATGTTAACAATGTTTCGGGAAGACATTCAAATGTGGCCATAAATAGTTGACAATTGTTGAACAATTGATCCTCAATGGCAATGATCTCATCAGGTGTTAACTGATTGGTAGGACCAGGGACATATACTATAGTGTTTTGACCTAATTTTAAATACAATCATATATTATAATTATAATATAGTTATACGGTATTCAATAAAAAGTCAAATACAAACCACTGTCTGCAACACAAATAGCAGCCGTTGCGGTAAATATGTCTTTAGTTAGTAAAACATTGTCTGTAAAATAAATTATAAATTAATTTTAATGATCTAAATATAATAATTTGTTTAATCATTTTTACCGATATTAATGTTAAATCTTTTATAATTATCGAGAAGTTCGCGTCCAAATATATCGTCTCCAATCTGTTTAGAGTTAATATCAATTATAATGTTTTTTTAAACATTTATTTAAAGTATTGTAAATATATTGTAATAAAAAAATATTGCCTTTGCAAGCATTGAAGCTGATAGTCCCAGTTTGGCACTCATAACACAGGCATTGGACGCCTTTCCACCGCATCCTTTATGAAACCCTTTACCACTTACTGTCTCTCCTGGAGCTGGAAATCGTTGAGTATAACTGTTTTAATAGTAATGTAATTAATAAATTAATTTCAATTACGCAACGTTTAATAATAAATTATAATGTGTTATTTTTTAAATAAATATTATACACATAAAACACATTTTAATTAAGAAATTAATTTTTAGCTAAATAAATTATATTTAAAAAATTAACGGTATATTTAAAACATTGATGACTTACGTTATGAGATCAACAACTGCCGCACCAAAGAAAAGGGTCGACTGTTTGCTCATTATTTAATCCGATTTGTTTGAATCAATTTCAATATAATATAATCTATAAACATATATTCAAAATGTAATTAACAAAAAATAATTAACATTTGGCCAGAAATAGAAAAAGGTTAATTGATACTAAAATTAACTAAATAATCAATCAGAATAGCTATTTAATTAATATTAAAAGCTTATTTAACTCAAAAAAGTGTATCAAATAAATTCAAGGATTAAAAATAATAACAAAAATCATTATAAATGTCAAAAATACAATTGCCTTCAAAATACATGTAAACAGATTATAAGTTAGAAATCAAAAATAATAATAAAATAATAAAAATAATAATAAAAGGTTGAAATCCCTGTTATGGCTTATAACAAATAATTATAACAAGTTTCAAATTTCACTGAAAAAAATCAATGTTAGTTTTTTAATACCGCTTACATTATAGTTTTTACACTAAAGTTTTAATTTAAAGTTTTAAGTGTAGCTTTAAAAAAATAAATGTATAATTAAATAAAATTTATAAAAATAATCTATAAAATGTTAGGATATTTGTTATGATATCATAAAAATCAGAGTAAAGCAAGGTTTTAGATTTTAGGGGGTATAGGGTGGGGTAAAACGAAAAAAATCTTGGGGTATAGAGTGGGTGTATTTTTATTGCATTTTTTAACGATAATTTTTTCAAAATTAAAAAAATCTAGAGGGGATCAAGAGATAATTCCAAAAATATCCCCTAATTCTCGAAAATTCCCATCAAATGGGAGGAAATTCCTAGGTATGTACGATATATTACCAATAAATTACTTAAATAAAAAAATATTTCCTTAAATTCATAAAAACTTTAATTAAAATTATAAAAGTAAAAATAAATCTGATATAGTAAATTTACATTATAATTTATTATTATTATATTAATTATCTTAAAATATTATTCTAATTATAACATAATTACATTTTTTTTAAACAAATAAATCATTTTGTTTTTCTGATAATATTTAAACTCAACTAAATCTTAAATTGATATTTATTTTGACTAAAATTTTAAAAATAAATAGTAAATTAATATTTAAAATATAAAAATTATCATACAATAGAATAGATATAATTATCTTAAAATATACTTGTAATTAACTACTTTATTGGACAAATAATTCATTTTTAGATTTTTAATTACATTATATTATTATTATAATAATATTATATTTGGCTTAATTTCAGCATAAAGTAAACTATTTTACTGAATTTTAGTAAATAATTTAATTTTAATGTTAACAGTTAATAATTCTTAGTTATAAAATAATTATATAAAATAAAATAATTAAAAATCATGAAAATGTTGACATCAAACAACGTTATGACACTGTTATATATGCTGTACTGATTGTCGTTTTAGAATAACATTAATTTATGTATTTTCAAACGTCAAAATTTGTTGAAATCACCCAATATTTGAATGTCTTTTTTATTTTCATATAATCATCAAAATATTATATATATCTAAATGGAAAAGTTATAATTTTTATATTAATGGTACTAACATTTATTCAATTAAATTATTCAGTAAAATATTAATCAAATCTCTAGCCAATAAACAATAGTATTTAACCATTTTATTTACGATTAAAATATATTCATTTTTATATTCATTAAAAAAGATTAGACTAACAAAAGAAATCTTTATACATAATAATAAAAAACTTGACATTTATTTGCAATGTTTTTTAAGACTATTTTAGATTTATTTCAATTTAAACATTGCATTCATTATATGATCATTATATTTATTACAAGTCGTATATTTCACAATCTCTAAAGATTTTTCGTAAATTTTTTAAATTATTTTTTTTATATATTTTAAAAAATGATTTTTTAAATACTTTAATATTATAGTTTTATCTTCTTAAAATGAAAATAAATACGAAATTATGATAAATATACTAATATACCGTATATTAAAATAAAATATGACTAAAATAAACTTGGTCATATTAAATTCGCTGAGATTATTTATTTGATAAATGATTGAAAAATTAACTTTAACTGTAAATAATAATAATAATAATAATAACCTTGTTAATTGTGATATATAATAATGTTGATTATTAGTGAATATAATAAATATACTGTTTTTTTAGTTGAAATGTCATTTTATAACAATTTTCATTATCGTTGTTATCTTTAAACCAAATGTGCTCTCAAGTGAATGAAACTGAAGATGAAATAAATTGCTGACTAGTTTTGAACTCAATAAAAAAAAATTTTTATCGATAATAATAATAATTATAATGATAGACATCATTACATTAATATGTTGTTTACAAATAAACATATTTTTATTTAAAAACCTTAAAAAGAGACGACTAATTATTGTAACTAAAAAAATAAAAATAAAAAGTTGTGTCAAAAATGGTAATAATGTTATAAAAATTTAATATAAACTTTTGTATTTATAATATAATTTTTACAAATATTTGAGATAAACTTTGTTTTTGTAGTTTTTTGTGTAAATTATGTTCATATTTGGGGACAAACACTATCATCGCATACCATATACTTAATTGAGTTCATATATGATATGTTTTGTGTCTTTCAAACAACACAAACAACAACCAAAAAGAAACTTATAATTTGAAACATTTATTTGTGACTCAAAAATATATACACAAACTAATAGACCAAAAATAGTCATTTAAATTATCATTTTGTGTCATATAATTGTCTTAAATTGCATGTTAGACATGTATTACCCATCAAATCCAATGAAGTTATCAATAAATTAATTGATAAAATATATATAATATATAAATATAATTAAATTCACAGTTAATGTTAAGTCAAGTGTACAGTATTTTACGCTATCGTCACACTATTATAATATATTTGTAATTAACTTAATGTTAAGTAAATTAATAGTTTGCTAAATAAAGAGCTAAAGTTATTTAGAAAAATAAATATTTTGTTTTTAACATTAAGTACAAAGATATTAACATAAATATTGTATAAAAATTAAATTAATAACAAATATTAAATTATTTTCAAAATTATAATTTGGTTAATTATTTAAAAAAAATACCGGTAACAAACCTTTTAAAAATTATCAAAACTCACCGATTTTTACAATGAATTTGTAAAATATGATTATTATTTTTTGTTTAAACAATTTATTAGCACTTAATTTGGCATTGAATTCATAACATTTTTTATTTTTTATTCAATAAATAAATTTTTTTGATATTTTTTTGTGTAAATTACAGCAATTTTTTTTAATCAAATCAATGGTTTAATAAATAATACAAATATTTCAACACCAATAACGTCATGATTGTTATCATCAATAGATCTAATATTAATAATTATTATGTATTGTATTTAAATATAATGGATTTTATTTGCATTTTATTTAATATATTATACTTTTTTGAGTATCGGATGTTATTTTACAATTATTAGTACATTTTTTTGTCATTTCCTTATTTTAACTTTTATTTTCTAAAAAAATTTAATGAAATTATTATTTTATTGTACAATATTAATGAAAAATGTACGACAAAATCAATAATATGTTTGAATTGTGTGCTAAAAGATGTCATAAATTGTTATGAAATGAATGCTATAAATTTTAAATAAAGTAATATAAATTTATATTTAATTAAATAGTTACTATTATTATTATTATTAATTTAAATATAATTTATTATTTATTACCAATATTTTTACAGTCAATTAATATAATTGTAATTAAATTATAATATATTTTTTAATTAAAATTAATATTATGGATAATTATATTAATAAACTTCTAAAATAAGAATTTTTACACTAAAATAGATTTTTTAAAGTTTATATATAGGTTTTGACAAAAAAACTTATTTTACACAAATTTTTTTAGTAAGAAGTCCTTAAACTCTGCGTTTAATTTTAATGTTAATATCAATTAAATTAAACTTTTTTTAGAGTAAAAAGTGTTATTTTGATTAGTTGTTAGAAAAAATAATGTTTAGTGCAGTCATAATCCACACCCAAAACACTTTTAGACTCAAGAATTGTTTATAATTTTTTTTATAAAAAATACAAGTTTTCTTTTTTTTATAAATAAAAGTATTGGATTCAATTGAATGGGAGTTTTACACGTTTTCGAGTACTCTGCAAAAAAAGCAATAGTTTTTTTTATCTTTTATGATATTTTTTTCATAGCTATTTTTGATAGAATTAATTATTTTTCTATTTTTTCCTTTAAGTCTCAATCCAAGTGTTGCTCTATATTTTGAAAGCCAGTTATGAATCACAAAATACAATGTGCTGTAAGACATGTATATTCATATCATATAATACAGTATAATATGTAATGCAATAGAGTTGTAGGTCAGCCAATGTTGAGGTGCGCTCCGATCTGTTAGTCGTCCCACTTATGAGTTGTTGTGCCATTTCTTTTACATACATCGAGAGGTCATTGTATTGAATCAATTGATTAGAAGATTGTGTTCATCAACACAAACACCACCGAAAAAATCATTGAATAAAGTGTTCACTAAACTAATCATAACTAAACAGTTTGTGTGTCTCAAACAACTCATACAAACTATACTACAATTATGAAGTATTTGTTGGTTTTATCCATACTTTTTGTATCTAATTTTGATTTCGGTAAGTCTTATATTAATATCATATTATATTATGTGTTTTATTGGGAAAATTCTTGAAATTATTTAATAAAAAATTTTGTAAAAGTTTTCTTAAATACCTCAAGAAAGTAATTTTAAGGGAAAATTAAAAATTGTTTTATTTGATAACTTTAATGAAAGATGCATTAATAAGTTATATATGATGTATGCTGTCTATAGGGCACAGTCAGGCCCGGGCAGGACAGGCGGCACAGAATTTATGCCGAAACAAACAAAACGGTGTTTTTCCTCACGAAGAATATTGCGATTATTACTATGAATGTGATGCAAGCGGTGAAGCCGTGATAGAGGCCTGTCCTAATGGACTGGCATTTGCTGGACATAAGCGAGGACTGGTGACAAACTGTGACTATCCTCATAGAGTTGGCTGTCCCGATGGAACCCGAGTTATGGGCCGTAAGTCATAGAATTTGTTGTTATTATTGATTGTAAAGACAACAAACTTTTGGTACATTGATTACAGAGCAACCAATTGGTAGTGACAATTGCCAGTGGCAATATGGTGTCTTTCCTCACGCCACCTCATGTACCCGCTATTGGCATTGTTGGAACGGTACTGCAACCATACAACAGTGCCCATTCTCACTGCTCTACAATGATGTCATCCATTCATGCGATTGGCCCGACAATGTACCCGACTGCCAAAAGCACCGTTAGTTTTCTATTTGATTTATTTAACAAAATATTTATTAGACTATTAATTAATTAATTGAATACATAAAACAAAAGCTATTTGCAAGGATGTGCCCAACGGTGCCGTTCTCATTGAAAAGAGTTGCGTTCGTTACTGGCTTTGTGTCGGTGGTTACCCACGTTTACAGAGATGTCCAGCAGGTCTAGCCTTCAATCCAAACACATTAAGATGCGAATTGGCTACAACTGTTCAGGGATGGTTAGTGTTTTATACATTTCACAAAAATTATATACATATTAAACATATATATAACCACTAATAGTGAACCGCCACCGACTACCGCTGCACCCGATGAAGAAGAGGAAAGTGATGCCAATAAGCCGGCCGCCAACTCCCGACCCCAACAACAAGCTCCGACTCCACAACAATTCAGGCCATCACAGTCTGGTGTACGACTTGTTGGCAAATAATTGCTGTTTGTTTGGATTAATGATTTTATTTAATCCAAAAAATAAAAGTCAATTGAAATGTAATGCCATAATACTATGAATGACAACACTTTTTTTGCAAAAAAAATATATTTAATATATAATAAATATATCATCGATTTTAATATTATTTTTAATAACATAATGAACTGAATGTGTCTATTAATATAAGGTTATATTTAAAATGGTTTTATACAAATAATTTTTTTCATTCAATGATTTTCATGTCATTTTTTTACTTATTGTATAAATAATAAGAACTAATAATTTATTTAAGTTGAAAATCTATTAATAAAACTTTTCATAAATAATTACAAATAAATGAAATGTAATTTTTTTGATGTGTAAATTTAATTGATTAAACAATGGCAAAGAACTTAACAAAAATTTATTAAATTAAAAGTAACAAAAGTATAACTAATATGATATATAAAATAAATACAATATATAAACATAGAGTGATAGTAGTATTAAAATAAAAGTGCTTAACACAGAACTTCAGACTTGATTTCAGGTGAAAGCTCTTTAAAAACTATGTTTCCGTGTTTTCAGAGCTATTGGCCCCTCTGGCCATCACCACCACTGCCTAACCATTAAAATTATATATACATATATTCACTGTATATAAAATGATTGTTTAAAAACTTTTTTTTTGAAATTAATGATAAACTCTTATTCCGAAAGACTGGTTAGCAGTTTAATCGATTGTTCAAAGAGAAAGAGAGAAATAAAAGATTAATATTTTAGATAAAAACAAATATAATATTTTATGTTTTTTAGTTTATTACAATTATTTTGTCAAAAAATATTTAAACCGCAACTAATATTGAGTCCAATTGATTATATAATGTATTACTATTGAGTGATATTGTTTGCGAGAGATAAGAATTACCATTAAATAATAATTTTTTTAATAATATAAGTATTTATCAAATATTACTATGTTATTGAATATTATTTTATTGAGTCAGCAAATGTAATGTTATATTTATTACTAAAATAATTGTCGTAAACTTAAAATTCTTTTATATATTTATTATTATAAGTAATGTATGTTTGAACTAAATTTTGAAAGATAAAAAAATAATCATAAAATTTAAATATTAAAATCATTAAAATATTTTTACTTTTATGAGTCGCCTTAAATTTCATTAAATAAAAGTTTTTATTTGTTTTTCAAATAAGGTGTAGATGTAATTTCAAATTGTTAAACATAAAATTGTAAGATATATCTAATATATATTATTTTAAAAAATTAATTATGCATTCATATTTAGTTTGTAACAAATATTTTTATTAAAAACAATTATGTTGTTAATGTTTAGTCTTAACTTTTATGGCAATTTTTCTATTAATATTACATATATTTAATATATTTTTGTTGTTCTAATAAAATATTAAATACTTGATTATACATGATTTTATAATTATTTTTTGGGATAGTATACAATATTTTTCAAGGCTATATGCAAATTAAAGATTAAAATTTTTTAATTATTAAATTTGTCATGCTTATATTATAATAATCCATTTAAAATTATCATAACAAAATATATATATTTAATAAATTTACATATGTAGTTTTTTTTAATATTTTTACATTTCAACTAATTTATACTATTTTTATTATTAGTAATATATTAACAATTTTTAATAAATTAATGTTGAATAATAATTGTGATAATTTATATTGTTTATTAGATAATTATATATGAGTTTATTTAAATTAATACATTAAAGTTATTTATCCTTGAGATTTATTTTTAAAAGTCAGTAAATACTAATTAATAAATACTTGAATTTTAATATTAGTAATACTCTTAACTAATTGCACCATTATACTTTATTAAATAAATAAAATATTTTGTATTAACTTGTATTGCATTATTATATGCAATTTGCTTATTAATTTTTGTTAAAATAGTTTCTCATATTTATAAAAACAAAATTAATATAAAACAAAATGAATAATATAATTTGTTAAATTTTTATTTTATTAAATTTAGCTAATATTTAAATTAATTATTTTAATAATAAATATATGATACTATTTTTATTTGATTGATGAGAGCAGATATACTGGTTAGATAGGAATTTTCTAATAATTTTTATATATATTTTACAAAGTATATTGTATACTACTGTACTAAACTAAACTAAACTAAAAATATATAGAAAAATATAATTTTAGGAATTTATTATATATTTTTCTTCAAACATGACTTTTTAAAAAAGCAAAAATATTTTAGTTTTGACAAAATATTTTCTAAAAATTTTTGATATATAAAAAGTAATATATATTATGACTGAGTGTAGATCTGAAGCCTAACAAAACCAAACAAACGAAATTAGACATCATTTTTCTATTTGATTGTCTCAAGTCTTCAATTCAAATACCATTTATTTCAAGTTATCATTACATAAAATATCTCTCTTTGCAACACATATTCAGTAATAACAATATTGTATACATAAATATATTTGTCAATGACTTTCGATCAGATTTTAAGCCATGAATACATATCGTAATGCATTTGAAAGAATAAAGAAAATTTATAACAATTTATAACACTTTTTTCAATTATTGAAATTCTATTGAATATAAGCCTCTATTTGTTAAAACTTCTATGATTATCATATATCAGTATATTTTTACAGTATATTCAAACTTAAACTATGTTTTGCCACTCATTTTTATTGCGTTCAACAATTTTATTGTCATTTTTATTAATAAATCGATTTCAATGTATAGCTAATAAAGTGTCTATTTATCAAACATATCACCAAAAAAGATGTCACAATAGACTGTCTATTATTTGATGACATATTCTTCATTTGTTATTTATTTACAAATATCTAATTGATTATTAATTATACTTTTATTATATTTTATATTTAATATCTCTAATAATTTTTTTAAAACAATACAAAATTTACAGACAATTTAATTTTCATATTGCATTATAATTTGTAAAAATAAATAAAGTAATTATTTTATTTGCAATTTATTTGTATGTCTACGCTGTTTATTTTGTCTATAGTCAACAAATCAATATTAAGTTTTATTTTTTATATTATGACTATTGTTTCCAATGTCATGTCTGAAAAACCTTGAGATTTATCTCTAAGATTAGATTAAATAAATTAAATTTAAAACTAATGAAACGTATATTATTTTTTATTTATATTCAAATTTTAATATTACTTTTATAATTTTTCTTTATAGCATTTCCTTATACAACATAAAGTTTTTTACTATTTTTTTGACAACTAGTTTTAATTTATAAACAAAGTATGTATAAATTAATTTATTATATTGTTTACAAGTAATCACATTATAATAAATCTGATATTGTAAAATTAATAATATTAAAATTATATTATATTTATATAAAAAATAGACTTTGTTTGAGAAAACAGGCAAGTTTTAAGAGTACTACTTGAGTGTTGGCAACGCTAAACAAAAATTAAATTATTATATATTTTGATCGCAAAAACACTAAATGCTTTTAGTGTTTGTTGTTTTGCTATTTAATAATTCTTAAAATACATTCACTAATATTAATAGTATTAAACATAAATATATAAATCTTAAAACTACAGTAATTTTGGAACAAAAAATTTAATGTATAAATATATATATATTTAATATCATTTAAAAGCAAATACTATCCACAAAAAAATTGTATCGATTTTTATGCAGAGAAATCATTTATTATAGCCGTCAATGAAAAGATGTTAAACTAAATTGTGACAAAACGACTCATCAGTGGGTACTTCCCGATGCAAACAACAACTTTACTTACAAAGAGAGTCCAAATCTTTTAAAAATATAGACCTTTTTGACGATGTCTTTGCCGACAATAATGGAGTATTATTGACGCAAATAAAACACAATAATAGGACGCGTTTTTTTGGTGTCAAATAACAGTCTAATTGACTAAAAAAAGTCAAAGTATTTGTGATTTTTGAGAAATGTTTATCAAATACACAATTTTTGTTTGAAAAAATATTTTTCCATATATTTACAGAATCTTTCTCTCAAACAGACATTAATTTTAATTCCGATTTTTATGTGATATTCATTTAACTGTTAGAGTCATACAATAAGATAAGGAAATGCTATTTATTGATGAAAAATTGCCACAAAAATATATGTCCTCTTTATTAATATTTAGACATAAAAAGAAAAAATAAGAATAATAAACATTAATTTCTTTACTATAAATCAAAGTGAATTAATCATTATTTATATACATATATAAAGGCTAAACAATATTTATAACATAACATTACTTATACTTTAAGTAATAACCAGCAGAAAAATGCTGTAATAAATTAATTATAAAAATAATAAATTATATTATAATTAGTTCAAATTGTAATGTTTGTGTAGATTTGTTTCTCTGTAAAATTTAGTCATTTATTTTGTTTTAATTTAATATACAAAAGTCGTTTGTAAAATGATTTTTTAATTTACTTTTAGTGTAATTAATTTTAGTTTCAATTTTATTATTTAATATAATATTTACATTTATTTTCAAATATTTTCAAATATTATTTATATAACAAATATTCATATCAAAAGTATATTTATATATAATTTATAATAAATGGACCTGGCTTATCTATATTTTCATTCATTTAACCATTATATAACATTATATTAGTACATTATTTTATAAAAGCTATTATCAAATAATATGTTACATACAATATAATATACATTATATATCGTCAATCTAATCTGTAATTTTGTTATCATTTAAATAAATACAACTAAACTTGATATTTTTATGATATTTTTATGATTATAATTTAATGCAAGAAAAATTAATTTTTGTTTTAATTATCCACATTTTAGTACTCAATTAAAAAATAGATAATAATTGTGGAGTTTATATTGTAAAAATATAAATACAAAAATTCACTCTAATTAAGCACCAATTAGTTGAAAACTAAATAAAAATTTATAAGTTTTTAACAATGCATTATTGATATATATAATAATACTGTATATTGTATAGTAATATAAATTCAAAACTATTTGTAGTTCAAACAAATGATTTTTAAAAAATAATTTGAAACAAAATTTTTTATAACATTTCTTCCTCTTCATTCAAAGTTCCCAATGAATATGCATTCATAACAATAGGCTTAACGATAGTCACTCTCTGAACTTTGACTTCATTATCACCCATTAGGTCAAGACTTGCTATTTTAGTTTCATTGATATTAATTTCAGTCAAATTGAAATCGTTGTCCACATATGTTGGGTGTACTTCAAAGCATTGTTCATCACTTTGAAGAAATGGCTATATATTTGTTAATTAAAAATAAAATAATGTTTATTATTAGTTTCAAATTAACAACATTTATATTTATCACTAATTTATTTAATAATACCGTCACTTTACAAAATAAAAGTTATCAAATAAACACTTATTAATTTATTTGAAATATTTGAAAATAAAAAATACTGTGAATTGTTATTTATATTGATTTTTATTTTTACTCGTAATATGCAATTCAACGTATTTTAAGATAATTCGTAATATATTTTAAGGAAATTTAATATACGATATAATTTTTGCATTTTTGTTAATGCATTTCAAAGTAATTTAAAGTGAACTTTAATAAAACGACAATCATTTCTATTTATTTGTGAATTTATAAAATCTAAAACAACATACAACTTAAATAAAAAATTTCATAAATTTATGTAAATTTAATTTTGTCATATTAAATGAGAAAAATGTCTAAAATTATTAAATAAATATAAATAATTAAAAATAAATAAATTATATTAATCAGTTGTTTAAATAGTAGTTAATATAATATTAAATAAACTCTAATATTATATATAGATTACAATAGCCTATAATTTAAAGGACATTTTTATATTGTAAGGCATACTATCAAACTATAGTAATATACACTTACACTTTATATTGTATTATCTTGAATATATTTTTAAAAACTATTAATCTACTGTGTTATAATGGGGTCTCTTTCAAAATATCCAAAATAAAAATATCTAAACTCATAAAATCCAAATTAAAATATTATTCAAAATCTCCAAATTCAATATCTCCAAACATATAATATCTAGTTCAAAATATTTAAAATTAAAATCTCCAAAATAATAATATCCAATATTATAATATCCAAAAACATTTGACCCAACTTATATAATTTAAATATAAATATCTAAAATTATTTAATATAAATCAAAATTATTTTTTTATTATTTGTAATAATAATTTTACTAATGCTTTAGTAATTTTTATTAGGTAATTATAAATATTTATTTAAAATGAATTATTTTGAATATTTGTATTTAAATTATATAAGTTGGATCAAAATGAGTTGTGTCAAATGTTTTTGGATATTATAAGTTTGGATATTATTATTTTGGATATTTTGGATGCGACCGGTATATAATGTCATATAATACTTACTATATATTTATAGACTAATGTACACCAAATTCATCAATTTTTATGATATCAATAGAATAATAGTTTGTATATATTTTGTATATTTTAAAATATATCGTTAAATACAGTATATTATATTTTATTATATTTTAAAATTCTAATTATTAGGTCTAATATGTAGTCTACGTTTTATTAAAGAAAATAATTTAGTAAAATAGTATTAATAAAATAAACATCATTTATATGTATAAATATACATGAATTTAAATAAATCTTATTCTAACATAATAATAAATTATAGTATAGTACTAAATTATAGTGTAACAAATGTTTGTCTATTAATATGGAAAATATATCATCCAAAAAATAAAAATCTTAATCATGAGCTTAAAATAAAGTGATATAAATCAATCAAAAAAGAAAATTCAATTAAATCACACTATAGTTTGTTGTTTAATACAAACTAAATAATAGCTTATTTTGTAATTTTATTGACAAAAAACATCAATAATATCGGAATTTCTTTTGTGACTGTTTTTTGGATAACAAAAGTTGTTTTTTTATTATAAAGACAATACAATATATCGTTTAGTTGTAAAATGTTTTAATGATCGCTATGTTATTCCAACCGATTTAATAACAAGCAATTTCTCATAATATATATCCCATATAATATATAATATATACTCCAACACAAACAACAATCAAATAAATGGATATCTTTTTAAACTAAATCACTAAAATATATTTTTAGCAATTTTTTGTTAACATTTTAAAAAATGTTTTAAAATCTTTTATTATGAAGTATTATTTTTAGTAAAACTCTTTCTACCCAAACATGAAAAGCTTATCAAACAAGTTCTCCTATTATTGGTATATTATGGTGCTATTTATTGTACTAAAATTTGTTTGTTTCATATTTAACAAAACTATCTGTATTACCAATCTTTGTTTATAATATAAAAAATTATATCTAATTTTTTAATTTTATAAATCTGATAAACTATAACATAATAAAAGTATAATAAACCTGATCTATATGTCTCACATGTATATAACTACTATTGATGAAATGGTAAATAATGGTACATTAGAGGGTTAACAATATGCAAATATGATATAAATTGTTATTACAAAAACATTTTACAATATATTTAAATTTAGATATATTTACTTTATTTTAATTTATTATAGAATAAAATATAGAAATCCTAAAGAAATAATTTGAAATAAATTGAGTATTAATTAACATAATAATAATAATTTCGCTGATAATAATGTGCCTTGATTAAAATTGTCTCAAATTTAAATTATATATTCATAAAAAATAAGTTAATATAAAGATACAAAATTTAGATACAGTTCCCACACATGTATGTCATTCCAAGCCATTTGACACATGATATGCTCTCAAATAATTTATTCATCTCTTTGTGTCTCAACATTAACATTAACTTTAAACTTAATAATCAAAAAGTTTTTTTTTGTCAAAAGTGATATCTTTAACACATTTTATATTATATTTTTCTTCAAAAATTTTGTTTTGAATTACATAAAATATAATTATTTTTTATTAAAAAAATTATAAATGCTAAAAAACAATGACGCCTCTTTTTTGTTGAGACTCATTTTAAGTATAAAAAAATTGTTAAATTAAGTGTAATAATTATGTTATTAGATTATAAATTAAATCAATAAATGCATACATGAATAACAAAATATTTTCACAATTAAAGATTTGAATTCAAAGATTCAAAATTTGAGATTAATTTAGTGTTTTCTGATAATAATATCAAACCATCGATTTTTATTTTATTTTACAATATACTGTATTAATAAATAATAACTTTAAGAAATATTTTACTCAAAAATTGGTTTATTTAAAAAAACAAATGTGACTCAACTAACATATAATCTATCGATCGTTAAATGCTATATACTATATATAGTATAACGTATATAATTTAAAAGCATTGCTAAGATAAGGATTCATTAAAATTCAAAACTTATTTTTACATTTTCTCACAATTTTTCAAATATTTATAGCTTAACCTTTTTTTTAAAAAAAAAGTTTATATTTTATATGACATTATGATTTAAACATAAACACCTTATAGTGTGGGCATTCAATGATAAATAAATATTGTTTGTTATATATTATAAATTTTCACACAAAACAAATCATTCAAAATTCTCAAAACGCTATTCACTAAAGCGTTATATCGATATAAATGATATGAAAGTCTGTATAAATTATAATTTGAATTTTCAAATATAGTATATATTTTTTATATTGAGTCAATATTGTTGCCAATAAAAGAAATTAGTTATATATATATTTATATTTATATTAATACCTGATTTATAATGAGAATATCGGGTTGAGTTTTATATAAAAATTTTTGTGACATTTTAGTTATACCAAAGTCATTTAAAGAGTCTGAAAAATGAGAGAAAAAAACAATTGTTTGTTACAACTTATTTTTATTAGTGTTTCAAAGTGTTTGGGATCTAATCAATAGTTTTGTAAAAAAATAGTCTACAAAACTTTAGTATATATATATATATATAGCGGTATAATACAATATATATTACCTCCATTTGCAACATAAAGGCACTTATCATTGTTGAAAGTGGTCTCCAAATGACAACTGCTATCAAGTGTTGTTGAACCAGATATTGAAAAGGGCTCTTCAGACTCGCCATTAGCTGATGACATATCTTTACTTCTGTTTTGAGTCTTTTGTGGCACTTGTGCTGCAACTCTGTTATGTCTTCTGTAACAACAGATCACAATTGAAGTCGTGGTCAACACAATCATTACTAAAAGCGATACAATGATCGACAGTTCAACAATATCTTCACTTATCAGTTGATTATTATATCCGAGTCTTTGTTCATCAGCTGAGGCCAACACTGACTCTAATTTACGTTTTGGGACCAAATTTGGCAAAGTTTTGACAGTTAAAAACTCGCGACTCATTAAACTTTCACCCAATTTATTGCGTGAAGAGATGCCAAACTGGTATTCAGTGTTTGGATCCAAGTTATCGATTAAAACAGTGTTTAAAGTATTGTTAACAATAATATATTTATATTGAGACAACTTTGAGTCCACTTTTCGGTAACGAATCCGAAAACTTTGTTCGTAACCAAAATCAAAGCCCGGATTCCAAGAGATCACAACTGAATTATGACTTGTATTGGTTGCCAACAATTGAGTCGGCGGTTCGGGAAAGTCTTATATTTTTATATTAAAAGATAAACAAATAAATTGAGATACGGTTTCATTATTCATAAGACAAGAATAACAAATATCGAATTAATGTCGAATAATTTGAAGGATATTTGATTAAAAATAATTTTGATAATATTTATTGAATTTTCAATAACGTTAACAAAAAAATAGTACGAGATTTTATTGTAATGATTTGTATATTTAATAATATGTTTAGTATAATTGACTGCAAATCTCAATCAATGCATATATCAATATGAATACAATCCTCAGAGACTCATAGCTTAAGTAACTTAACAAATGAATTGAATACCTGTATTGTTGGCGTTGTTGTGATCAGTAGTCGTCGTAACGGTAGTTGTGGTGTCGGTGACCATAGTATTGGCAATAGTTGTAGTATTCATAGCCATTACTTTAGTCAATTAATTACAATTGTATATCATTTTTAAGTATTATAACAATATTATATATTATATTATTTATTGAAATAAATAATTTCAAATCAAATTTAATTTAAGTTATACAAAAACTCAATGAATTTTTAATAATAATTTCTAAATTTAATAAATTATGAAAATAAGTAAAAAATTATTATTAATAGTTATTAAAACTTTATAATACAAAATAAGATACGTAAACTATTTTTTTTAAATTAAGCTTATTTTGGGAACTCCTAATCATAAGTATCGATAGTAATAAATATTAATTAAAAGTATTATATAAGACTTACATTGAACTATAAGTTGAAATGTAATTTCGTATGGCTTGTCGAGTGCCGGGTGATAAACACGACATTTAAATGTATGGCCATTGTCTTCAATCTCGGCTCTAATTACCAGTTCAGACGACACACCACTTCCTGTTTGTGAAGAGATTGCGCTAATCTAATGGCAAAACAAAATACAATTAATCACTTAAAATACAGCTGTCATTGGCATCAAAATCACGTATTGATATATAAAGTCATACTTCACGGTTGTGGTGATTGAACCAAACCAACTGTGGTCTGGGATTGCCTGAATAGCTGACACATTTGCATTTGACTATAGTTCCCACTATTGCTGTTACGACAGAGTCTTTGATCCCCAAAAGAGTTGGAAAATCCGGTGCGTCTGAAATGTGGCAATGGATGCAATGTTTGTATTAAAGTCACTCATAAATCATATCTTTAAATAACTATACTATCAGTGCTTTTTCAATATATAAATATATATATCCAATGACTTGAATTCAAAGAAACGGAAAACTTATCACTACTTTGAATACAATACTCTATTTTTAAGGGAATACCGAATCCATTCATATATGTATTCATTTTATTATATAATAATAAGATAGACTGTCTTATTATTATACAGAATCCTCTATTGATGTCTTCACTACTACTATACTATTTTCTTGCAAAATATTTAATTTTTTATCATAAATTCACGAATTTTTATCACAAAATTATTGAGTGAATAGTATTTATCTATTTATATAATAGAAATGCAAAATTAAGGTTAAGAATATATTTTTGATATCAATTTCTAAAAATTTCAATATTGTTGATACATATCATCGATTTTGAATCAAATCACACCAACCTATCAATGGCTATATTACTACTTTCACTACTATTCCGTATCAATACTTAAAACTCCATTTTTATCTTTTTCTTTGAATATATCATAATATTTTTAAACTTCAATCCAATTCCCATATCCATTGAGATTCTCTATTCTATAGAAAGGCTATTATTATGTATACAATACTAGACACAGAATGGATCATATATTTGGATGTATGTATGGCTGTATGGCTGTATGGCTCCAGTTTAATGGATATAAGCACTGGTAGTTTTATGTCAGTGTCTGAAAGTACTTACGGATAACATTCACCTTATGAATGGCTGATATGCTCTCCTCTTTCATCGCTAAAGTATATCCTATTACAACAATAATAAAGGCATATAATATCTATAATAGAAATTTGTTTATTGATTATCGTTTAATCAAACATTTATTTTACTAAATTTCAAATATTACTATTCTTGTATTTCACTATATCTTAACTCTAATGCATTTTTTCATTTAATCTATTATATTGTAGTCAATGTTTCCTTGAAATCTTAATAATATTGATTGAAAATATACTGAATATTAAAATATTAAATAAATACAGATATTCTGTTGTATTAAGCATTGAAAATAAAATGTATAAAATGTTTATAAAAAATAATATAAAAAATTCATATTTTAAATAAAAAACAGATTTGTTATTTCAAAGCTACTCATAACAACAAAAAATATCAATTTATGGATATTAAAAATATTAAATATAAAAATATAAATTATAATCTCATATAAATTTATATGAATATACAATATAATGTTCTATATATTATAGATATTATATATGTTGAAAAATACCAGTGCATTTAAATATTTTAATATTGAGGTCCTGATGCGATAAAGTATATGTTAGGTTAGATGTGACAGTCCAAGTGTTTTTATCTTTTCTGATAATATCCATGTGCTCATCACCCGATGTCACTTCAGTGTCATCGACAAACCATTTCAATTTGGTGCTCAATGGAGGAGGAGATGCCGGATATGCAGTACATTTCAATTTAATGGTCGTACCTATCATTAAAATATCAACACATTTATCATGAAATACATAATAAATTCAATTCAGTGGTCATCTGTGATCATCAATTTATCAATACTTTATAAATTATTAATAAAAAATTATGATTTATTTTTACACTAATGTATGTCCTATCTGTTATTGCATCCAATAAATTTGCAAATATATACAATAATTTAAATAATTATGATAATTTTAAATTTATATGTACTTAAAATTTTGTTGGACAAATAACTTATACCGTAAAATGTATTAATAAATACAAATACCTTTATTATCGATTAATGGCACTTCATTTGGACCCGTTATGGTGATCTTTGTCGGAAGGACTATACAATATAAATATAAAAATATAATACAAGAAATAAAATATATTAGATTTAATATCAATATAGACTAAATATGAGATATTCATACATAAGACACTTAACGTAACGGTTTGTGTTAATGGGATGGCAGTCATAGGATTGGATGCTTGACATGTATATTGAGCCATATTATCGGTGGCCGACACCACCAATGATAATGTATTGATTACTTCATTTCTTGAGCTCACGGTATGACTTCTGTCGATTTCAATGCCATTCCTCAGCCATATAAGGCTAGGCGGCGGATAACCATTGCTTGAACTGCACTTTAAGGTTAATTTTTCACCAAAGTTGACAATATCGCCGTCTTTATAGCCATCGATTACCGGTATCTTTGGTGCGCGAAATATATTTATCAAAACAGTTGCCCTTAAAGTCTTGATGAGACCCGGATGTTCAGCAACACATCGATACTCTTCCTCGTGTTTGGGATATAAAACCAAATAACTTTCCACTAAATAAAGTATGTGACGATTATTGACTAAAGTCTTGTTTATTGCTGTCTTTGCCGCCTCTGGTTTGTAGTAAATGATACACAATATCATTACATTTATCACAAATATTTTAATTTGATATCTGTTTTCCTACCACTACTACATACCAGTCAATAATTCTATGTTTTTTCGATACCATTTCAACTTTGGAGGCGGTTTTGATGGAGAGGCCGAACAGATCAATACAATCTTCTCTCCCTCTTTGGCTTCGGCTATGAATATGTTTGAACCGGAAGATTGAAATGGATTGTAGGCATCGATAGCTTTTGAGCCGTTTATTTTCACAAACTTTGGAGGCACTAGTAGTTAACAAATATATATATAAATTATATTATTTAACAAAATTACACATTAAATAAAATGAACATCAAACACACATGTGTATGTCTAACCGTTTAAGTTATATAAAGTCATTGCAATTTATATAAAAGCATATTATAAATTAAACCCATTTAAAGGCTCTAAATAAATATTTTGATGTCATTTACAATATTTGCAATTACTTTACAAATCAATTCATGTGAGTGTTTTCGTTGACTATCTATTTATGTCAATATTGTATAACATTTCCTTATTTGCGAAACGATTATATATTTGACACAATGATTGAGAGTTTCAATTCATCCATTTAGTCAATTCTTAGTAAAACTTATTTAATAAATATGTATTCAATGAGAATATTAGAAAATTATAATAAAATTAACATATAATCGGATACTATTGTAATACATAACAATTACATATTATTATGTAAACCTTAAATTAATTCATTTGTTTATGATTCGCTTTTGCATATAAAACATAATTACTATTATATCATGTTTTATAATTGCTAAAAAACTTTTGACATAAGTTATGATACAATTAAAATATTTTATGTAATAACACAAAATATATTTACAACAATGTTTTTTTATACTAATATGATAAAACTAATTAGTGTATATTAAAAAATAAATATTTCCAATTTTTAATATAATAATACTGTATATACTGTACTACACTATAATACTATAAAATGTCTTCATTAAATGAATGGCATAACAATAATAGATAATATAATAAATTTATGGGTTCTTTCAAGTGCAACAAAACATCAATATCATGATTATTATGAAATTATTAGACACTGAAATAACCAATTTATGGACATTTAGTAACAATTTATGTTATATTTTAAGACTCAATATTGCTTTTACTAAACAAATCTATTACTAAACAAAGCTTTCATATATTACTCGACTTCACGTTTTTAAAAGCAGTCTCTTTATACTTTCATACAGTACTGTATATAATAAAATAATGGTTTTATTGCTCATTAATTTCACAGATATGCTTAAATGTTATATTCTCTATCTAAATATATAAGTATATCTATAATATAACAATTTAATTGTCTATATTTAATTTACCGTAATTTTGTTATGTTTATACAGTATAAAACATTGTTTTGCATATATACATATATATTCAAATAAATTGTGTATATTTTCTAATATATTAAATGATATAAAATTATTGGGCTATAATAATAATAATAATAATAATAATAATAATAATAATAATAATAATAATAATAATAATAATAATAATAATAATAATAATAATAATAATAATAATAATAATAATAATAATAATAATAATAATAATAATAAGCATCTTTATTATATGAATACAATATGTTATACAAATTATTGTTATATTTCTAATGGTTACTAATAGTAATTTGTCTGACTTTTAAATTAGCCATTAAGGCTAATAAATTTTTCAATATTAAAGTAGTAATGTATGTAATATATTTAATTTTTGATTTAATTGATTATAATATACATTGGTGTAAAAATAAACAAATTGTGAATTTTTTGAATGAGTTTCAAATTTAGCACATATTTAGTAATAAAGTATTTTATAATATAATTATCAAAAATATTCACCAATGAGTTTGAGATGAGCTGATGATCTGATGGACTGTTTGTTGCCAAAGAGATACTGTACTTGACTTTGACACTCAAACTCTGCCTCGTCGTCGATCTGAGTCTTATGTATAATCAAATTATAGATGAGTTTGTCGTCGTCCACAACCATTAAGTACCGATCAAAACCGGGAATTATACGATTGTAACCTATTTTTCAAAATATCATATTTATTCAACACATATACATCTAAAGTATAAAATGCTTTTAATTTACAACTTTTTAATAATAGTTATAAATTATAACTTATAATATTTGTTAAAACTAGTAATTAGTATGAGTAATATGTCTTAAGTTAATATACAGTTATATATATGATATAATGTTAAAATGTTATAATTTATTTATATTTTTATTCAATTTATAACACATTGATGTATATTCTTAATAAGTTTTTATCAACAACAACAAAATCTTAGTTATAATTAACAAAATTTAATGTTAAAATATAATTTATGAATATAAATGATAACATTTTCCAATTTTACCAATATGTAAATTGTTAAATGTGCCTAGATGCATTTGTCACAATAACTCTGCAATAAATAACATTAATAATTAATAAAATTAAAGTTTTAAACTTTATAGATTTTTTATTTTAGTTGTTTTGATAATTTATATAATATTGCTTTTATACAGTTATGTTATACTGCTATCAGATAAAAATTATGGTAAATTTAGTTTTTTTTAATATGTAAGTAAATCTCCAATTTTATGTTTTATCAAATTTTCATATACTGTAGTTTTTGTAACAAAAAAGTTCATAAATTATTTAGAGGCAAAAATTAATGGTTTAGTTTTGGTTTATCATTTATCTTGCGATGACTTGTCTCTAAATAATTGATACAATTTAAGTGTATCTTTTGTCCAGTTTTTTATTCATAGTAGTAGTGATTTGAAAATAAAATAAAGAAAATTTTTATTTTAGAGACATTTTAAAAGGAGAAATGAGTTGATAATAAAGTGATTGCTATTTTTGTTTGGTCTATACTATGGATGTGACAAATAGTCTTTTTAATAGAAATGTTTCTCTTCAACAAAAAAGTGCTTTACGTTGACTTAAGTTATGTTAAGGGATGTGAACAGACATCTATAAAGTGAATGTCTTTATAGATAAATATCTGTAACTATAGCCAGTAGTAGTTCTCTAACTATCATAATGTGTTAGAGAGGATGATGATGATGGACATGGAGTTGCAAACAATGATTAGGCCATTTCGGATACATAACATAAAGTTTGGGTCAATTTTATGTATAATTTATGGTCGCGTCCATTGCGCTTCACTGGCCGCACACAAGTCATACAGTTAGCACTAGTAGCTAACTGTGCAATAAAGTCAGTCCACATAATCGGCGCACTTCAGCACAATTTCTAATATACATCATTAATGTGTTACACAATTACTTAAATTGTAGTCAAACATAGCGTATTAGTACTGTTACTAAAAGATCTGTATATAAAAACAATTGCATTTAAAGACAAAATATTGTTATCATTTGGTAAAAACTGTAATAATAGTGTGGACTTCATATGAACCATAAATTTTGCTTTAAATACATATCGGCATTGTATTGATTGCGATCTTATGGCCCAAAAAATAGGCAAACATATTATATACTGGTTGGATATAATATAGGACACGCTGTAGATATCGGTGCTAAACATTACTTTATATTAAACATAACTGTTGTAAACATACTATAGTTTCATTACGAGTCGCTCGGGATTCACTATTAATTACTTAGAGGACCGACTTATTAATTGAATGGCACATCACTACCACTATCATGTTTTATCACAATTCAATTCAAGCACTGGTATATTCAATGCAAATATCAGTTCAATAGTGACCAAAATAGAAACAACAAAATAGAAAGACCTATTTTTTCAGTAATACATTGTTTATTATTTAGCTATTTATTTTGAAATTTTAAATTAAATGCAAACTCTGCAAAATATATATATATATATATAATAAGTTTTTCAAATCGAAAATCTACATATAGTTTATGAAAAAACTGTTAATTTAAGTTTCTTAGATAAAGTTAATGCAAACCAAATGTATGTCACATCTGACCAATTGCTTCATTGCCTTTCAGTTGCAAATGAATATAAAAACTAATAAAAACAGTAAATGTGTGGACAGTATAGTTTGCAACATCATCTCAAACCATTAATTTACTGCTATCTTAACTTCAATTAATGACATATATTGTATATACTAGACTATAGAGAGAATCGCAAGACTATTATTTTTAGTTTAGAAAACAAATACCATATAATTTTCATTTAATTTTGTTTAGTTTAAAAAACATTTTAATTTATTGTTTAAATATCTTGGAAATAAAAAATATATTGTTAGGAATATATAGTATAATTATTTTATCAAAAAACCGATAACACTATTATTTTAAATTAATTAATAAAATTTTATATATAATTTTTTTTTAATTAATAATTTATACAAACAATAGTAAATGAAAACATTGAACAATAAAATAATAATAACATTGCAATCGATATAAATATTTTTTTAAATACTAAAAGTTGAAAATTCTGTGATATTATATAGAATTAAATAGTGAATTGTATATAGAATTGAAAAATTGCAAAAAATATCTATAAATCATTAGTTTATTTGTTTTTCAAATAAATGCTAAAATAAATGTATTTTTGTTTAAGTATAAAGTAACTAACAAAATATATTTTAATGTTTAAAAAATGCTATTTTCTTTATAATTTATTTGATTATATTCAATAGTTAAATTTATTTTTATGCCATCTTATAGGAAAATACTATAAATAAATAATTTTTACATTAAAATATGTATGTATTAAAAAAATTTCATTAAATATACAATATATGATATATAATTACTATTAAAAAATGTACTATAATATAATAGTATATTCCTATCATTTTTGGTAATTTTATTCATTGAGTATTTAAAATTATAAAGAAAAATCACAATTTTGATTTATAAAATAGCATTTAATGTAATGTAATTTTTTTTATCATATAACAAGCCATTTATAAGTTACATATAAATATTTTTTTAAATGATGTTCTTTAATGGTATGACTGAATATATGCATATAATTATTTTACTTCATTTATATCATGAGTTTTTTCTGTGCTTAAGATTATCATAACTAAAACCAAAGATGAGGGTTGATATACACTACTCATACATAATCTGTATGCTATGTACTGCTGTTTTCACTAACATTATAGCTATTAATACAATTCAAAGTTATGACAGAAGTTTTTATTGATTTGTGCTCTAAAATAAAATTGTATTATAAATATAAAAACACAGACAAAATCACATATAATGGAAAATATGAACAAAAAATAAATATATATTTTGTATAAAAGTTTCACTTAAAAGAAAGACTATAAAACATTGTACTGTACTGTATATACTGTATATATAATATATGGGATATATTGTATGAAATTTTACATTATAAAGGCAGTTCATTTGGTTGACTATATGGTGGGGAAAGGGATCACAAAAATGAGTGGTAGAGAAGCACTCCTTGATTTATTTGGTTGACACCGTATAACATATCATATAAACAATTTTACTTAAGTTTTTTTTAAATAAAATCCATTTATCACTAAAAAAAGGCTTACGAAATAATATTTTAAAAATAAATAATACAAAAAAGCAAATATCAATTTTGGTTTTCTAATAGCGAAAAAAGTGTTTTTGACATTTGCTCACATTTTTATTATTTAAATATATATATAATACACTACAAACAAATGATTTGTGCATTGATTTTACTTATAAATAGTAAAAATAAAATAATAATGTAATAAACAAAAAAAAACAATGCAATAGAAGTGAACACATAATAAAGTTGTTTTATTATACTGTAGTCGGTTAATATTTGTGTTGTTTTTTGTTTAAATTTTTTTCGATATATACTGTATATACAATATAATAAAGTATTTACTTATATTCATATAAATAAATAAATCCATATTTTATCAATTTGCATAAATTTTTACTTCTAAAAAATTCAAAAATTATTATGCTTTTTAGTTTACTGTTTTTTCTTTAATTTGAAAACTATTTGAATATAAATCGTAAGTGTTTTATGGCTTTTAAGAAATTCAGTCACACATTGAATGACTTTTTTTCAGTTGTATTTGAAAAATGTTTGCCTTTTATGGTGTGATATACTGTAGGTTAGACCAAAAAAGAGCTTGTCTTTAGTGTTTAACAGTTGTAAAATCACATATATCTTAGATATATATAAGCCTTTTATACAATACAAATAATTTATAACAATGAGATCAATGCAACTCATATAATAGCAATAATAAAAAGTTGATACAAAAAAAATAAATGTATAGAAAAATGTTATAAAAAAGTTAAACATTTTTGACACAAAGTGGACACACTTTATGTGACAAATGTTAAAATAAATCTCTATATTATGCATATAAAATAAAAATGTATATTTTTTAAAAATATAGTAATACAGTAAATACAATTTACTACTGTATATCACGAATATTATATTATTGATAAAGAATCCATACATAGATATTCTTTATTATTAAATAAATTAATAAAAAACACCGTATAAAACAATTTTATAAAAAATATTTTAATAATACACTAATTTTATAATAAATTTTATATAAATAGGATGTTTAAATTTTATTTTATTATTATTTAACCAAAATGAAATTTATCAAATGTATTTTATTATATTTTTTATATGCTAAGTATTAAAATTATATACATGTACAGTATAAATGTACTATATTTACTGTATATTAGTATTTACTATATTTGGTAATAAAAATAAAATACAATTTATATAATTATCATAAAAGATATAAATAACAAAAACTAAATTTTCATTACATTTGTGTCTCTTCTAATGTTTTGTTGTAATTATTTGTCATTTATTGTCAACCAGTCAATCAACTGTCCCTCCCTTTGACTCCTAAATTAAATTAAGTATTTTATATATAATAAATATAATACATTAACTCATAAGCAATACGATTGCAGTTGACTTGTTATGAACACCAGATTTTTTGACGAAATCTGAGTCCATAATCGGCTATAAAAACATTTATAAATGTTATAAGTTCTCAATTTTCTGGAGCACAACATTAGGCTTTGATTCCGGTATCAAAATAATAAATATATTATATATAGTAATATATAGTAATATAAATTTATATATATATATCAATACAGTAATATTTAATGTTTGAAATGTTTCCCATTTAGCATTGCCTTTCAATCACATTATTAGTGATTTTCATGTGAAGTACCCAAAAGTATATTAACTCAATATTTGCATTTATAAATCTTTTCCATATATTAATGTCATATATTAATGTTTCAATTTATTGAAAATCTGATTTCTATGTTTAGAAATGCTATATTAGAATAATAATTATAGAATTGTAATATTATATACAATATTATAAATAGAATTAAATAATATAATTACAGAATTAATTTTTTTTCTAAACATACAATACATAGACTAAATAAATACATTTTATATAAGTTATAAATATAACATAAAAATACAGTCACTGTTTATCAATCAAAGGCCAATTCATTTAACTGAAAGGTTTTATTGGTATTTATTTTAGTTTTTAGATAAATAAAACACATATTAATATTAATGTCATTGTTAATGAAAAATCTATACAATGTATAGAAATTGTGTTTTAGGTTAATATATATATAATATTCCAAACTTTATAGTGTAATATTGATGTAACAAAAAAGGATGTAATGTTGTAATGAAGAATATGCAACAATAAGGTCTACAAAATAGTATTATTTAATAAAAAAGTTTAAGTTTATTGAATGATGCATTTCTTTTATATTTATTCACATAATATAATAGTGTTTTCTTAGTAGAGATGGGCAAATAGAAAGTTTCTAGAAAATTTCTCAGGAATAAATTTCTATAGAAATTTAACTTTATAGTTATACTATGGGATCCCCATATTTATAGCTATATTAATACTATATTAATAATGAATCATAATACAGTACTATTCATATAACATTATACTGTACTATTGTAGTTGCACAATATATAATGTAGTACACTACTATACAAAATGGGATATCTATATAAAAAATAATTATAATTATATAATAATAATCAGTTTTGTAACATTTTAATAATCATTTTATTATATATATAAGAATTTAATGTAATTAAATAAATTAATTTTTACTTTAATTAATAAATAAAATACTAATACTAATATTTAATTATTACTTGTAAAAACAATGTATTGTTACAAGATAACAAATATCGAGAAAACAAAATTAACATAGGGATCCCATAGATAGAAATTTCTTTTAGAAACTTTCTAGAAATTTCTCTTTTATTTTTATAAATTTTTCTTTTTTGCCAACACTATTTCTTAGGTTTATAAACAACTCAATTGAATTTATAAAAGCTAATACATGATACACTACATTGATATACAAATAGATTATTATGTTACTAATTAATAATTTGAAAATATTAAATATAAGATAAATATAGTATCTTATATTAATCGGTTCATAAGCTTTCATATATTATTACTTAGACTTGTTGTAAATTATTTTAAAAACTGCTCAAATAATAATTTTAAAGTATTAATCGCTTTAAGTATTATATAAATAATTTGAAACAATTTATTGGATTTGAGTACAGTATCATTGCTTTTTTAAAAATGGTTGTACAGTACAAACACAGTAAAATAGATTTATAGATAATTTTGCTACATATAAACGTGTTTAAAATTATATATCATTAGACTGTAAAATCTATTTAAACCCATATATTTTATTATAAAAATCTTTTTTTGTGTTAATTTAATTCCTTAAAAAATATTAGGGATTGTGTTGAGGGTTTGGGATGTGAGTCCGGGCTATGTTTCAATTGGCAGTACAGCAGGGAATTGCATTTAGGGCTTTCCATCTCCATTCTACCATACATTACAAATGGATATATAATGTGAATACGATATATATATTTGCCTTCAATTTATTCACTTAAATCGTATTCAAACTGAACTTTTATATATTCGTCTTAAAATCTTTTAAGTGATAAAAACAAAGAGAAAAAATAAAAAGATTTTAATAACAAAAATCTAACATTTCCTATAAGTTTTTGTCTTTTATCAAATATATTTAATTGAATGTAAATAAAGATAGGTTTAAGTAAACAGTATTTTAAATTACAATTCTGATTGATTGTGTCGAGTAAATAGTTTTATAAAAATAATTATTTTTGTATATTAGTTATAATTTCAATTGAAATTAGCTTTTAATTATTATTTTATAATATTTTTATTATATTTATTGAATATCTTGTCACAATATATTACAAATTATATTTTCTATGCAATATTTTGCATAATAATTGATTATATAATATTTGAAGCAATTTATGATTTTAATCTTGTATTTTATGATTTAATAAACCATAAATAAATATAATATCTTATACACAATAAATTAAAGCTTTGAAAGCAGGAATTATGTTATGAATCATATGACAATAAAATTGATAAACTCAAGGGTAGCTTAAAGTTAGTAACATTATTCAACACAATGACAGTAGAATATTCTGTATATATTCTTATATATATATTCTGTAATTTATTGAATGTATAATTAGTGTGCCATTCATTATAAGTAAAGAATTTGTGAGATATTCACACAAAAAAACTTAATTAATTAATTTTTAATGCAAACCAAATATGAGTTTTATCAATGATATTTACATTACACTGTAATTACAATATTTATAATATAAGCCGACGATGTGTTGGTCGCCAAAAAATTTCATCAAAATCTCAATCAATGTGTTTAACATAACATTTATGTTTTACTTTGAAAGCGCTTAGAAATTAATGTTTTTGCAATATTTGAGTGAAATATTAAACTCAAATACTTTTTTCTGGTGTCAAATGTGTTGTCAATCTTTACTTTTGATCTCCAGTTTTGACATTTCGATTACAATTTAATTTTTATTTTAATATTTTTCATATAATATACAATACATATATTTGGTAGCAATAAGAGTACTGTTTTGACAGCATATATCTCAGTGACGATAAAAACGGTTGCAATATATTTATATAACATTGATTTAAGAGAGTATTTGTTGTGATTTTTTTCAAATGTGTCGCCAAATGTATCGATGCATTCATTCAATGTGTCAAAACTTTGAGTGCATTAATCATTTGCCTGAATACACATTAAACTCTATTGTAATTCTCATTGTTTTCATAAAAAAAATTAAATTATTTAAAACCTTAAACTTCTAAAGTAAATGCAATTATCTGAGTGTCAATTTTAGTGTCGTTTAACTTACGCAACGATAGCTTTGAAATTAAATATTGAAAGATAAATCTATTTTTAATAAACACAAATTAATTACAATTAAATTATGGTTTATAAATTTTAAAAAAATAATTTATATGATAAAATATCAATGAATCTCTTATAAATACAATATAGAATTAAAAACAACTTAAACTTTTATTTTTGGTGATAAATTTCTAATTACAAGAGATATTTTGTTTTATCAAACACATCATCTCTAAGTTATCCAATTTTCACTATATTTACTGTATATATATATAAGTATGACTATATATACAGTTTAAAATGTCTTATACTTTTATATATATACTCACTAAATGTCAGAAAACAGTTTCCTTATCTTTAAGATTAAAGTCAACAACAAAAACAAATTACATTTTTTTATTGAATTAGTTGGGAATCATAATAATTATATAATAGTTTAGTAATATTTTATAACAACATTATAAGAAAAATAAGTAAAGAGTTTTTCATGGGATAAGTTGATAAAATCTAGAAACTAATACTTAAATATGACCATATGTTATATAAATGTCTTATTTTAGGTAAAAACAATAACTTTTATTAATACAAAGTTATGGCAACATTTTATGTCATATATTAAATAAAAAAAGTTGGCGTTTGTTTGCACTTTTATATCAACACAATAATTAGTAATATAGTGGCAAATAACAGACTTAGAAAATTACAGTACATTTCAATAAGTTATGTGACATAAATAGCGCCATAAGTTAGACTTACCCAACAAAAAGCCATCCTTTGCCCACTGGACTCTGACTTCAATGGCCGTCACACCCGTCGGCGCACCGATTTGACACTCCAACTCAACATCTGATCCTATAATCATATTTTATTTGTTTAAATTTCAATTAAATTATCATAACTTTTAATATCTTCCAAATTCACTTAATGCTGTCTTTTAAGTTCATTTTTATAAGAAAAATGTTTAGCTATAAAATAATTTTGATTCTAAAAATGGTTTGTAATATAATCACTTTCACATAGCATTTACTCCTAATATAAACTTATTTAAAAGCTATTAATATTTTATGTTCAAAATTAACAATATGTTTTTTATATTAATATTATATTGATTACTTTGTATTATTTATAAATGTTTTAACTATTTTTGTATAAAGATATTACTATTTATTGCTTTCTTTTTCTTGATTTCTTAGTTTAATTAAAATTTACTTAAAATTGTAAATATGTTAAATTGATTTATAATAAGCTATGGTATAACATTACTTTACATTTGACAATATGGACAATCAGTAAAATATACTATAATATTATAATTAGTAAATTATATAATAACTATATCTTAAACGAGTAGACGAAACAATTCAATTCCTTAATTTATATGAATTCCGTTTTGACATATTATATATTTGTGTTAAATTAGTTAATTTACTGAATGAACTATATATGTTTGTAAAAATTCAACATTCAAATAATATATAAGGAAATACATATTTAGTCAATTACTATCTTATAGTCAATTACAAACCATCTCAAGTTTTGAAATATTATAAAAACTTGCATTTTATCAAAATTTCTATATAAATTTATATACCGTATATTCAATATAATATAGTACTTCATTTGATAATATAAATGCAAACAAAATTTTTGCTTATATTGTCACTAAATATTTATTTATATATATTTATATAATATGATTGCTTACCTTCAATGACTTCAATATCTCTGGGTTTCACTTTGAAATACTGATGACTCGTTATATTAGTATTAGTTGTATGGATGGTCTGTTGTGTCACTGAAATAGTCAGTGAAATGATGAAAACCAATGCTATCCTCATAAGCAATACATAGTCTGCAAAATGTCAACAAATTCATAATAAATAAATCAATCGCCAAAATTGCGAAACAATTTAACCAACGATTAATAAATGAAATAAAAATAATATATATATATTTGGGTTTTATTTTTCATAACACTATAAACAATGCCAAACATTGAAAGCCAAGAATTTTTGATAATAAACCCATTCATTACTAATATAAGGCATTCGCGTCGTAAGCATATTATAGACATTATATAATCGGATCAACATATTTATCGACAATTTATGCTTTTATTAAATCAAAATAACTTCTACACAGATATTTAACTTAATCTACACAACATAAATTCAAATATATAATAAAATACAAGAAATAAATAAATAAAAATTTTCATAGTATATAAATATTTATAATAATATTAATAATACTTATCATATTTATATTTTTAAAATTGCTAAAAATTACTTTATATTGTGTTAAAATCCATGTTATGTTATTATATCATATAATATAATATCATTGGTTTATTGCAATGACAACATTTTATGACTTACATAAGCAATATATATATATATATATCATAATATTATAAGTAAAGCAAAAGGTTTTATTTGGCATAAGATTGAATGATATGGATTTATATCAGAGATGCCAATCCTTATGTCATTTAATGAAAAAATATTTTGTCAAAATCTCTAATGTATTAAAAACTGAGCCCTTATTTTAGTAGAAAATTGTCTTAAATTTTTTTTTTAAAAAGTAAAGCCTATTTGTCATTAGATATAAAATAGGAGAAAATATGCATTTGTTTGATCAAACATTCAAAACTATTTATGTATTATACCGTATAAACTGTATATAATATATTTTATATAATAATAAACATATATATATAAGACCATCAATTGGTATGAATAGTCAGTACATCCGTATATACGTCCAAATTGAAAGTCTCTTTAGTTTTCCTCTTTTTTTTTCTTATACAACAAGTCTTTGGGGTAACAAATCGATAACTTTTGCAATATTTTAGTTGTTGTGCTCAGTATTGTTGCAATAAAACAACAGAAAAAATAAATGAAAATGTTTGAAAACAAAGAAATACTAAATAAAATAACTGTATTTTCTTTTGTATACATTATATATATATATATATATAACCAGGGTTAAGTAAGGGGGTAGGGGGGGTAAGGCCAAAATACCCCCCTAGGATCGAGATTTTGGGATTTTACCCCCCAGACTTTTTGACCAAATGGGAAAAATTGTCGCTTAAAAACGAGGAGAAATAACTCCCCCCCTAAAATTTCGGCGCCAAGGCGCCGAAAATTTTTTGAAGTTTTTAAAAATTTTAATTTTAGTTTTTTTAGTGTTTTTATATTTATTTAAATTTATATGAATCTAATTATTGATTAAAAATAAGTAAAAAAGTTAAAATAACGTTAATACTCATCTAAAAATAACATAATTTTAATTAAAATATAAAACTAAAAAATTAAAAATTACCTATTTGTTGAAAAGAGTAACCATATTACAATTTAAATATAAGTTTAAGATAGTTTAAGAAGTTAATAAAACAATAAATACTTATATTACAAGGATTTTACTAATATTTTTTAAAATTTTAACTAAAAAAATTAAAATATTTTCAATTTTATAATTAGTATTCAGTCAGTATTTATATAAAAATAACATTAAAAATAAAAATATATATCTATAAACTATAAACATTAAGTATTATTTTAAAAATTAATTATTTTAAAAGTTAAAAATTACTAAAATAATAAAAAACGCATAGTGTATCATTAATGCTTTTATGAACTATTTTTAAGTATTAAATACATTATTATTTTATTTATTTTTTTAAATTTGTTTTTATTAATTTTTAATATTTTTTTAAAAAATATTTATTTTTTGTTAAAATTTAAGTTTTTTTTGTATTTTTGGAAATTTTACCTATTTTCCTGGGAATTTATACGGGAACTTGTGGGAACTTTATCGAATTTACATGGGAATATTCGGGAATTTAAGGGAATATTAGGGAATTTTCTCTTGACCCCCCCCCTTGATTTTGGATTTTTGAAAAAATTGCCGTTTAAAAATGCAATAAAAATCTTACCCCACCCAATACCCCTCCCCCAAGATTTTTCGAGAATTTTGTAAATTTTACCCCGGTCTACCCCCCCCCCTAAAATCCAAAACCTTGCTTAACCCTGATATATAACATATATCTAAATACTGTATATGTGATGTAAAAGATATTTTTAAGACAGCAAAAAAACAAATGAGTTATGTTTGCATCGTTTGCATCAATGTTTGTGTATATTTGTGACTTAATTTCTTGAAAAATGTATTTTATTTCATATGATATTTTGTTTAGTAAATACATGTATTGTCTAACTTAGTATTGACTTTACAAATAATATATATATATATAATATATATATCTGTTTAACATTTTTGTGTTGTAATGTTTTTATTTTATAGTTTAATATTCAAATTATTTAAGCGATATTCTCAAAGTTAAGATGCAATCAAATGAGCATCACTTTAGTGAACATCAAAACCTCGTTTTTCACAGTAAATGATGTCTCAGTTATTTGCTATAAGATGTGCATTAAGTTTATAGGCAATGAATTTGCGGCCCAAATGTCTGGCATTATATTCATCACTAAAAACTCTTTTATGGCCTAAATATATATTAAGAGGAAAGCATAAGAAATGGTAAATTCATGACTCACTCACTCCTTGTATTTGCAAGTTTAGAGTGACAATCAAATCACAAAACTTAGCAAATCGTTTCATACAGTCATATAGCACTGGTAGGCAAAAAACATCACCAATTTTATGATAATGGCATCGATATTACAAATAATTTACAGACACCAAAGTGTGAGGGAGTGTATTCATTAAAGTCGATAACAACAACAATAACAACAAGAAATTTGATTTTTCATCCAATTTAATGATGTCAAGTGTAATGTCCACTATTGTACTACCGATGCTCTCTCTCTCTCTCTCTCTTTCTCTCCTATAATATACCGGTACATATCATCGCTAAATCAAATGATCGCTTATTGAAATAGCATGAAAATGGATAGATTTAAATGAAATGTTTGTTTGTTTGTTATAGTGAAACACTCCTAACATTTGTCATATTGAGTGGTATTAAGCAAAAGCTAATATAATATAATTTCTAAGAGAAACAACAATAATAATAGGTTTGTTTTGTGTGTTGTGTCATACAAATTGTAGAAAATTGTATATAAAATCATATATATATATATAAAGTCATATAAACAGGTGAATTCGTGCGAAAGTCTACATAGTTTTGCACTTTTTTCTCATTTATACGTATAACTAGTCTCTCAAATGTAGTTTTTTAATAACATTGAAACAAATAATATAAAATATATCATTAGTATTGACAACAATTTATATATTTTGATGAGACATTTACTACTATAATATCAAATATTACCATTGCTTTACTCTAATGATATTCCAATCTTAAAAGGCTTGACATGAACTATCATTTATAACTAAATCGTATTATACTAAATAGTATTTATAAATTTGTTACATTGTTGTACAGTATTTATTAGTTATTTTTCATATAAATCTAATCTAAATTTATTTCTCAAATTAAATATGTGATTTATTTATTATTAAAACTTATTATTTATTATATTAAAATTGTTTTCAATTGATTCATCTAATTTAATAGACTTTAATTGCAAATATTATAATGAAATTAATTTTTAAAATAGTAAATAAAATTATCTATGATAAATTTATTTTTATTAAACTGTAAAACTTTCAATATTAATTCTATAAGATATAAAAACAATTTTTAAAAATAAATATTTTAAATAATTTTGATCTCAATCACTTAATACAAGTTTTAATAAAATTATGAATATTATTATTATTATTATTATTTAGAACTAGATTTGTTTAAAAAATTAACATTTATACATATTTATTGATGAAATTTTAATTTTATATTAGAATATATTTTTATTGGATTTGATTTTTTTTGTTGTAATTGTATTATATAGAATCAATCCTTATATTATCTTTATATAAACGATAATTTTATAATGGTCAATTTGAAATTATTGCCTTGAATTGATTATTACTACTGTATTACTGTAATAAATAGTACACAATGATATATTAATTAATACAATAATATATATATTTATATTTATAAACATTTTATTAAATCAGCTAAATCTTAAACAACATTATAATTTAAAATATTTTCAAGTTATAAATGATAAATTATTATTAATAGTGTTTGTAAACCCAAATCTTAAAAAACCATTAAAAGTGAAAATGATTTAAAATAATCTTATCAAACGACTCAAACAAAATTTAAATGAATTTCTTGAGTTTGACTTTATATATAAATAGTAGCATAACTTTAAAGTCACTATTTCTTATGTGACAATATATTGTGTATCCAAATTATAGTCAAAATTCATTAAACTATATATATATATAAAAATATATTTTAAACTTAATTTTATTAAATGCTTTTTTATCAATATATCTTTAGTGATTTATTTTTCGTGCAAAAATCATTAATATTTTTAGGTTTCAATTTCAAGCATTGAATTGCAGTAAAAGTATATATTTATATATTATTTCTTTAAGACACAAACAATGATATTAAATGAAAATGATTAATAAAGTAAATTATTTATGTATTATTCTTACTAACACTATATGAAATAATTCAAATTCAAATTTCATTGTTTTTATAATATACAGTAATTATAATAAAAAAAAGTGTTATAAATATTTATTAAAAATGTATTATTGCTACTAATACAACATATCTTGATGTAATTAAATTTATATAATTTGTAAATTTATATTTTGTATATACAGTATATATATATAATTTGTTTATTCGTCTCGTTCTAAGCAAAAACAAATTATTTATATCTTATGAAACAAGAAATCTCATTTTTAAACTATATATTCATAAAATAAAATATAAAATAAAATATAACCAAATTTTTATTTTTTGCTTCCAATATTAGTCACGTCTTAAATTGAATTCAAACAGCAATGTTAGTGACTATAAGGGACACTCAGTTAAAATCAATGAGTAGTTTGGTTGACAATTCAATTAACTGTGATCCGTATGGATGCATCTAATCTGTAGTTAAAGTTGACCGGTTGTGGGCACTGGAGATATATTGAGACCGAAGCTATGGATTCAAATTATAAGACAAAAGTCATTTCGGACTCCAATCGCATCAATGGATGTATTAAAACCCGGATAACGAATGGCTCGACAAAGTGTTAGCTTTTTGACTGTATAGTCATGTATTGCACATCAACTATATATTTGTTGTACTGTAGATATACATATACTGTACAGTCTATATGTAAGTTATAATACAGTAGATATATATATATATATATATAATTTATATATTGATATATATATTTGTTTGTGTTTGCCTTTTATGGGGAAAATATAATGAACTGATAGAGAATGAGGCAAAATGTTGAATGAATAGAAAAAGTTAAAGAAGAGATCAAAGTCTATATATAAGTAGTAGTTTTGAACAAAGAGTGTAAGTCTTAGTCTCATTTGAAGACTTTTACTCTAAATTACATGAAATTTACGCAAAAGTTTGGCCACATTTTGCTTTACTTATGCCTAACTCTAGACTCTCAATGCTATTACACTATTAGTTAATGAGTGTTTATAATTAACTTTTAAAGTGATTAAATATACTCAAAGTATTTCATATAATTATAATAAAACTTTAATATCAAATGTGAATCTCAATTAATGCAAACTGCTATCTTTCATGTTATTATAATAAACAAAAATATTTGCAACACTTTTTGGTGAATAAATTTTTTTCTCAAATATATTGAATATGCAAATACTCGCCGACACATCTATGCTAATATAAATCAGTACTTATAGTATAGTATGGATCACTTAATTGCTTGCCGACACTCAATGAATATTAAACAGCTTTGGAAATGTATACCAAACAAACCAATAGCTTAATAAAATGCATATAAAAACTTCTATATCAATCGCATGCATTTAAATAACACCAATTTATACATTTGATATTAATTATATTAAGTTAATTGAAATTATAATTAAATATTAGTTACCGATTGCCGCGACTGAATCGAGTCGTCTACTAACCCGCCGGTCGCCAGTCGTATAGCACTTCATTCGATGTTTTGGTTTGATGACCACAAACACATCAATCAATTTTTTTGACTCACACTTTGATTTTATGCACTTTTAATATATATAATATATGTGATTAAATTTGGTAAAGATTTATGCGAAATTTAATAAATATTTTATTAAATTTAACATCAAAACAAAAAATATATAAATAAATAATACTTATTCACATTTTATACAATAAAATCACAAACACAGATATACATTATATATATTAAACTATATAAAATTATCATATTTATTGAGTTTGTAATATATTAAAAGTTGGCAAATTTGGCAAATTTCAGTATACAATAAATACTTAACGATCACTTTGATGTCAATTACATTGTGTAAAAAAGTCATTTATTTTTTGGGTTTGTTTGAAAGCCAATTATTGAAATTATTGATCCTTTTGAAAACAATTTTGATATATAAATTCAATGCAATAACTTTTATAAACAAAAGTCAAGTCAAGTCGTGTTTATATATAAGCATCGGATGAGACGTTTAGTGAAACACTGACTGCTGAGACAAACAGATCCCAAACTCATTGACTGTTTGGATGCTGTGATCATAGAGAGACTGCACATCACATATACAACCAGCGAGTCATGCATTTTCACAAACACTCTTTCAGTTTTATATATATTATATGTTTGCCGCATCCATACCATCCACTAATGCCCACAAGCATACATACATCCCAGTGCTTATAATGCGCGCTCTCCAATGTATTTAATAGAGTGTCATATATTTAATTGTATATATGACTTATCGCAATGTAAATAATACAAACATTGAATCATCTAAATCGGCAATTAAATAATCAAAAAAGTAAATTCAATAATAAAAATAATTAATTTAGATTTTTATAGTTTTAATAAAAGTTAATTTCGTAATTTAAGTAAATCAAATAATTTATTTACTATTATTCTATATATTGTTATCGTTTTATTTAATTTGTCCAATAGTTTTGACATAAAATTTTGAATAATATATTTTGACAGAATCTGACAACATCTGTGACACAATTGTTTGCCAGTAATATTGAAAGTATGACTGAGTAGTGGATTGGGAGTAAAAGGGAGAAACTCGGGTACAGTAAGGAGTGTTAGTAACACTTCCAACTCAATACACATACAGTACTGTTTGGGAGCAAAAATATCAAGACTTTTGCCGACTGATCATTATTGAAGATCTATTGTGTAATACATTGTGAATGCAATAGAGGCTCATATGATTGCAATGACTGTATATTTTTATAATGGATGCAAACTTTCAATTTCTTAAACATAATATCAGAAAAGACTTGCCATTGATTTTGCATCAAATCCATTAAAGTCATCCTTTTTTCCCAAATATATCAGTAATTTTATTGAAGTGGTAATCAAAATATATATAAACGAAAAGTGAAATAATAAGGCGAGAAAAGGATAGTTTCTAATACTTAAGACTTCCATTAGTTTAAGGAAAGAAAAAATGAAAATCTTAAGCAAAAATGAGTTTTATTTGACTTTTCTTAATAAGAGTCTTAAGTGAGACTTACTTTTGCTGCAATGTTAGCCTCAAAGCAAACTGTAAGAGTATATGAGCTTTTTAAGGCTTATTTTAAATTGTATTGTATTTAAATGAATTGTATACCACTTTTTGTTTTTATATCAAAATAATAAATTCTATATACAGTATACAATATATATATATATATATATATATATATATATATTAATATATTCATTTCAATATTATAATTGACTAAATCTATTGTTTAAATTGATTATGAATTTTAAGACAACATATATTTAATATTTCAAAGCAAAATATTAAACAAAACATAAAATGCTTGTTGAATATAATGGGACAGTAATTTGGCAAAATTGGCGTCTCTCACATAACCTCTCACTTTAAACGCTTATATATAAATTTATAAATACAGTAGTTTTATTTTGATGGCAATACCAGCAACAAAAATAAAGGTTATTTATTTGCCGACATATCCAACAGTTTTCAGACACAAAATTTGATACAAAATATTTATATAAAATATATAAGAATTGTTAAGTCAGGCGATTAGATTATGACTCAAAAAATTTATCAAATAATAAGAAAAAATAAAAAATTGTTTTCATTCGCGATTTACTTTTACTCTTTAACTCTCATGAGACTCTCTCTCTCTCTCTCTCTCTCTCTCTCTCTCTCTCTCTCTCTCTCTCTCTCTCTCTCTTACACACTGACTGACTCACTCCAATCACTTACTCAATCACTTGTATCATAAGTTATCACAACAGTATTATACTATAGTATAGTTTTGCCTTTTATTGTATCAATGATGTGTCAAATGTAGAAATGATTTTTTTTTTTTTAAATAGCAAAATCAAGACAATTGATGCAATTATGAAAAATATCTAGAAAAACATTTTTATTAATAATATATTTTAGTGTAAGTATAATATCAATTTTTCTATCCAACAAATGTATGCATTTTTTATTGTTATACAATCAAACAAAACTCAATTAAACAAAGACTCGATTGTTTATTCACGTAACGGTTAATGGCTTTTATTAGATATGGTATTATAAAATTGATTACAAATATATATATATATAGTATTTACTAAACACAAGTTAATTACAATTTACTGATTCTTTTATTGCAAATATATATTATATTTATTTAAGAAAAGTTTATTCTATTCAAACATGAATTACAATTTATTCTGTATGCTATCAATGATTTCATTACATTCATTCATATACTTTATCTATCAGTAAAAACCATTGTTAATAACAAACTTATTAAACTAAACTTTCATATTTATATTTACAATAATTGTATTGCACTGTATATAAATGTGTAGTTAAAAGTTACAGCCCAACACCGCGAGACAAATGGTTAGCAAAGACAACCCAAAATTATTTGAGGAAAATAACTCACCTGACATAAGAGGACCGGTACCCTACAATGTTCTGGTAAATAACAAGGCAAACCCGGCTTACATCTACCAACTCCTGAAGAAATATGATGACATAATCACACACTTCACAAAGACGTATGATTTAATACATTGAGGAAATGGATAAGGACTTGAAGAACGTCACAGACCTTAAGAAAATACTATATGATAATAGAGTCATTGAGGAAAGGGATATGGAAATGAGGGACCAGAACCATAGAGATATCAAAGATATCTTGCCTGAGGTTAAAGAAAAAGGAAATACAGAGAAAATGGAGGATATACTAATGAAAGGGGAATCTGCACGCTGCAGAGGAAAAATATTGGACGAGGATATGACTTTGTACGTTTTTCGACAAAAACACCAAAAACTTTGGCAGACACTGGAACCAATTCCACAGAGGAGAGGACTGGAACGGAGGACCATACAACAAGTCCTCAAGCTGGAAGAAACAGACCCTTTCAGAGGAGAAGAAAGAGGAATACAAAATACGCTTTGAGGAACTAAAAGAAATCTTCAATGAAAGAGAGAAGAGGAAACGTCTGGGAGTCGTCAATAAATACTGATCTCATCGAAAACATATCCAAATTGCAATAAATACCGGATGACGATCCCATAAATACTGCCTTATAGTCGATAAATATGTTATTTCAATATTAGATTATTTTATTTTGTTGTTTACCTCATCTTAAATTACCAAAGATTTTTCTTTTATTATTTTAATTCACAGTTTTTATCATTTCTTTTATTCTTCCTTTTACAAAATTATTTTATTATATCTAAAATTTTTACCATATTGTTTTTATAAAACTCTAATATTCTACTCAAAGAGGAAACTGAGGAAAAATCTTTTCCTCTTTTCCTAAAAAATTATTATTTAAATGAATGGAGAAGAGTCATTCCTCCATATAACGGTGTATATCTAAAAATTTTAATCATCATTTGTTACCCCATGTATTAAATATAAAATTTCTATTTTGAATAAAATATTACTATTTTTAAGAAAAAAAAAAAAAGTTAAAAGTTAGTCCTATTTTTTTTTAACTTGAGTTCAAAACACTAGTTAAATAATATATTAACTTTGATATTGTAAATCCCATTAGTACTAAATTACAAAAAAAAACTATTTATTGTATTAATCTGTTGTATTAATGAAAAGATAAATATCACTATAAGTACATATTTATTACAGTACTATATTTAACTAATTAATATGTCAAAGATTTATGTAATAAAAATATAGAGTTATTAATTGCTATTGATAATAAAAATTTGTGATATAACAAATTAATATACAACTGTTTAACATAATTTGCACTTTATTGTACATTCAATATACAGTAAGTTACTAATAATTTATTAAATAATAATGTTAATAGTAATAAACAAACATATAATACAGTATTAGTAGTTTCAAAATGTTTCATGATTTTTTCATTTTAGACTATAATAAAAAAAAGTTATAAAATAGCAAAATATGGTTTATACAAACTTTAAAAACTTTAGATAAACATAAGAGTACTTATATTAGTTACATTGTTTGCTGTTATTTTATTTAAAAATATGTAATATTGTTTGATAAAATTGCTAAAATTGCCACTTGTGTATATTTTGGTATAACATTTTATTGATATGATTTTTCAATACAACGGCTGAATAATAAATATAAAGTTTTTAGGTATATATGAATCTCATGAAATTTTATTTGTAATCGATTTCATGTAAAAACAAAATCAATATAATAGTAAACATATCGCGAGTTATATATAAGTTATATAACATATTACTGATAGGCCTTTCAATAAAAGCGTTTTGTCTTTACAATCGATTTTCATCGCAAACGCTATAAAAATCAGAAACGAATTTAATGTCAATACAGTGACCACTCGTTTATCATTGATTTGCCACTAAATTGACTTAATATCACTAATTTTACACATCAAAGACAGAGAGAGAGAGAGAGAGAGAGAGAGAGAGAGAGAGAGAGAGAGAGAGAGAGAGAGATTAAGAAAGAAAAAGAAAAGTACATAAAAGGGGAACACAAAAGTCGCATATCTGATGAATAATAGATTTAAATATAGATTATATAGTATTTGATGAAATGTTGACTTCATTAGATTCATTAGATTTCTATGCAATACGACACTAGTATTTGTGATTCGGTAGTCTCTAAAAATCATGATTTACTTGTATTTAGTCACATGTGTGTCATATAAATTATATACAGTATAATGCATTGTGTGTGTGTGTGTGTGTGTGTGTGTGTGTGTGTGTGTGTGTGTGTGTGTGTGTGTGTGTGTGTGTATATAAACCCATTTCTAATATCTTTTGTATGTTTAATGTTTAATATTGATGACAACACATCGTTAGTCTAAACATAAACTAAGTTGATATTAAAACTCATATCAACTTAGTTTTACAATTATTTGCTAAATTAGTTTTATTTAATAAATTAAATTTACATTTTTATATTTTATAATATATATTCATTTAAATAAAAATGTAAATGATTTCAAATTTAATTATATAATATCAACAATAAGTTGGTGAATGGAGAACAGTAAGAGTGAGTGAGTGAGTGAGTGAGTGAGTGAGTGAGTGAGTGAGTGAGTGAGTGAGTGAGTGAGTGAGTGAGTGAGTGAGTGAGTGAGTGAGTGAGTGAGTGAGTGAGTGAGTGAGTGAGTGAGTGAGTGAGTGAGTGAGTGAGTGAGTGAGTGAGAGATAGATAGATAGATAGAGAGAGAGAGAGAGAGAGAGAGAGAGAGAGAGAGAGAGAGAGCAAAGATTAACTATCGGTATTATTTTATTTAATAATGGTTAGCAAAGACAATGAAGACATGCTTAGGTGGATCTAATGATTGTAAAAGTATGTTAAATAAGTTTATTTATCGCTTCTTTTCAAAAAGTATTGTCTGTCAGTGGATGTATTGGTTTGAACATTGAAGTGAAATACAAGCGGTTTCTTGAGTAAGTGATGCATAAATATATTGCAGCCATCGATGGCATTGCCATTGCAATCGTTTACGTGTTTTTCTAAATGTTTTTCAAACCGTTTTTATCATAACTGCTTCCGAGTGTCAGCTCTGATATATCATTAATCATTAAACTGAATATCGTTTATCAATAACCTTTATATGGCATCATATGAATCGTTTTATGTATGACTACTTGATATACATACATAACAGTCATAAAAACTGTTAAGACATTATAGTTACTCAATAGTGAACAGCAGGTGTAAACTCAAGAGAGAGAGAGAGAGAGAGAGAGAGAGAGAGAGAGAGAGAGAGAGAGAGAGAGAGAGAGAGAGAGAGAGAGAGAGAGAGAGAGAGAGAGACTGTTTGGCACTTAACCACCTCAACCATCACAACACTTGTGCTAATCTTTTAGTAAATCAATTGATTTATAAGTTATAAGACTCGCACCGCTTGTCTCCTATCATCTCATCTTACAGTTTACGGCAATCAAAGAGAAACTCTGTTTTATTATCTGTTTGTTTAATGTCATTCACGTGACTCATCGTTACAGAAGACATCCAAACGATTGGATCAACAAATCGATGCCATCATTGATATGCACACAACGTATGACTAGTTTTTCTCAATTTTCTTTGTATTCATCATTAAATCTTTCATATATTTAATATAACTTTAATTAAATATTATAATAAATTTATATTATATTAATATCGACTAAAACTAAATACAGTATATATTATACTTATATTGAATATACGGTACGAATATATAAGTTATAAATTTTTTAATAATTTTTTTGACATATAATACATTACTCGTGAATAAATTGCAAATTAATTTAGATAATAATAATTATTATGTAATTTAAAAATACTTTTTTATTAATAGCAACAAATGTTTGGTTAAAAATAAGTTTTTTTTGTCAAACAAGTAATGAATTCTTCATAAAATTTGTCGTCATTTTTGTTAACTCTTTGTCAATGAATTTGTTTTTGTATTGAAAAGTCAAATGAATTCATATTTACTTTAAAATTGATTGAATTGATTGAATCAAACAATTATTGTCCGCAATGTTTGACCGCAAACTACAATCACTCGACTATTACTCGACCAACGAGTTTGACATCAATGGTAAACATCAATATCTTTGAGATTTTATAACTTATTTATAAACACCAATTCTGGCCATCATTTCAGACACGAAACAGTTTCGCCAATTGATGACATGGTTGGAGGATCAGAAGATCAGACATTACAAGATTGAGGATAGATATCGTTTACGAGATATTGATGGTAAAGATTGGGACACAATGTTTGAGAGGGTGAGCACCGACACCATCACCAGTCAACTGATCTCTTGTTAATTGATCTTATTGTTTGTCTTTGACAGTACTTGTCGGACATCTCGTGTCCCAATGATATACTGAAGTCGAAACATTTGATCTTGGATTGGATTCTCACGTTAGCCATTAGACTACAATATGAAGACAATTGTATAATTGATTGTAATTATCATTTGTTATGATATTAATGATTGTTATTATTATGTTATTTAGTAGAAAAATACCGCCAATTGAGTGACAATGATATGAAAAGAGAGCCACAACTGATGCAAACCAATCCACTCGATAGACTTGACTTTGACAGTAATGAGTTCAAGTTTGGGATCAGTCAATTGGCACAATTACTTAAAGTACCGATACATCCAACCAATCATTTGCTCACTTTAACGGCTATTAGTTTGGTTATCAAAAATAAGATATCGATGGAGTTTAAAGATAACAATAATATTGGTAACACAAATAAGTTGAATAAAATTGAAGACAACTCAATGAATCTGAAAGTCGGATCAAATGATAAGTTACTGAATAACTGTGCGAAGCTTTTAAGGCTTTTATATATAAATGATTTGAAAGAATTGCAGACAACTATTAATGAAATTATAGCATCTGTTCAGTCAATAACAGCCAATCCTAAGACTGATACCTCATTAGGCAAAGTCGGTGTTAAATAATAATAAAAATTTAATGTATTGTATATTTGTAAATGATTTATAAACAGCTTATATGTTATATTTAATGATAGAAATGACTAAAATTGTCAAAAATAAAAAACTTGATATTTGTTATAATATTATTTGGGAATAACTTCATTGCACGAGTCATCGCCACTATCGGGACAAATACAAGTACGTCCCGAACCGTTTGGTAGGCACAGGTGTCTACACCCACCATTGTTAATGGCACAGTGATTACTAATGCGTGGACAATGTCGCGGTATATTGACTATTGAATACAGTCTCCCATTTCCACCTAATGGTAGCTCTAATAATTCAGCTGAACCTCCAGTTCGGTCGACTTTTTGAATACTTTTCCTAATAAATTGAATTATAGATTTTAATTATAATTTAAATTCCTTCTATATATATCTTATAATGGTATTTACATTTCCCAATCAGTCCAATAAATTGAATTACCGACAATTGACAAATCAAACGGATAAGCTATTTGGATAAAATATGAATCATAAAATTAATATAAAAATGCAACAAAAAAAATGATATCAAACCGGTTGGAGTGTGAATAACGCGACGACTATTGCTGTATAAATCAATGCATTCAATCCTATGTAAACCGGCATCAGTCCAGCACAAGTCATTGCGGTCATAATCAAGAGCCAAATTATTGGGAAGTCCTAAATCAGTATTGATAAGAACCGTTCGGCCGGTGCCGTCAAGATTGGCCACTTCTATCTTGGGAGCCGATCGACTCCAATCAGACCAATACATTTTACCACTAAAACAATAATATATACAGTAAGTGAATAATATATACAATTATTATGGTTTATTTGATACCTTCCCGGATGAACTACAATACCCCGGGGGTCTTCTAATCCATAATCAATCAAAACTTTATGCATTTTTGTATCGATTCTTAAAACTTCAATCGTGTCTTTCAATGAGTCGGTCCCTATTTAATTATTTAAAATTAATTAGTTAATTGTATAATTTATATAAATATTTTTGTTTTATTAATTACAATAAATATTTCTGGAAACCCAATCAATTGCTAAGCCTTCAGGTGATCCTAAACTACCGTTAAGAATAGTCATGACTGATGAACCATTATATAAAGACTTATATATCAATCCATGCGCCACATCAGTCCAATAGACCAAACCATCCAAACAGTCGATGTCAAGACCGGCAGGAATTTGATGTGATTTTGTCAGAAGAAGTTTTCCTTTATTTTGTTTAGTAATCTGTAGTGGCATTCGAAGCAAAGACATTCCCTGACTGAAGATGAGATAATCGCCGTCATGTTGTGGGGCAGGACTGCACTCAAAGCCATCGCCGACAAACCCGTAGCGACAGTGACACACATGGCCTAACATATGCTCGCTATACATACAGTCGGCATTTACATCACATATTGTTGGGTCTTCCCTACAGGTTCGCGATGGACGACATATTAGACCGTCACCAATAAAACCTATTTATTATAAATCTATTAATTATGCATTTATAAAAACATTTTCAACTTAGTTTTTAACATTACCATCAATACATTGACAACGATATCCCTGAGCGTCAAAGCTATATTCACATTTAGCCTTAACATCACAATTGTTTATTATATTACACGATAGTATCAATTGTTTGCATTGTTTGCCATCTCCTTTAAAACCTTTATAAATAAAATTAATTAAAAATTTTAATATAATTATAACAATTAATATAAGAATTTAGTTTTATTTTGATATATAATTTATATATTTATAATTAATTACCTGGGTTACATTGACACGTATGCTTTTGAAGATTCAAATCGTAAGCACAGTTAGCATTTGGATGACAATTATTAAACAAATCGCAAGTGGCATCTTCTTTAGCTATACAGTGTTTTCCATCACCGATGTGACCTATATTTGTCAATATTATAATATATATATATATATATAATAAAAAATATATAAATAATTATAATCGTAATAAAAATTTATAAATAATACCATCACTGCATCGACACTCGTGTCTATTTAAAACACTATTGAGTACACAATTAGCATTATGACTGCAATTATTTAATTGTTCATTACATTCATCCGGTACCACTGTTTAAATAAATAAATATATAAATTAAAATTATTAGAAAATATATAAAACTATATAATATATATATATATATATATATATATATATATATATATATATATATATATATATAAAACAGCAAATATGATGACATACCTGTGCTTTGAATACAAAATAGGCCGTTGCCTATGAATCCAGGATTACATTTACAGTGATGTTGTCTACTTCGAGGATCATTAACGCATTGGCCGTTTGTGTGGCAATTGTTTACTCGATCACAACTTTGATGATTCAGTCCTTCATAGCAGACATATCCGTCCCCAACATATCTATAATTATTTTTATAAAAAATTTTAATATAATTTTTTGTTTTTGATTGATTTAATTTAAACAAATGTAAAATATATTGTCAAACCCTGGATTACAGGCACAATAGTAAGCATTATTGCTTTCTTCATCCGAAATGCATTCAGCATTTTCTCCGCAATTGTCCAACAATTCACAGGACTCGGACTCTTCAATACAAACAATGCCATCGCCTCTATATCCAGCTCTACATTGGCACTGATGTCGTTGTGTCAGTGTATTGGCCGCACAGTCGGCATTAATATCGCACAATTGATATGTCCGACAGTCTAGAAACAGGTCATCTTTATTGAGAGATAGACTTAAATTAATTAAAGTTAAAATAATTGACAACAGAAACAAAGTCTTCATTTTTCTTGCAATTTCGTTGGGATTTTGAATTTATTGGAAAGTATTTTCTGAAGAATACATTCAAAAATTATTGTTAGAGTTTAGTGAACGTCAAGTGCTTTCAAAACGTTTGATTAAATATTTGAATCAAATCTTATCGTTTGTCAATAAAAGGGAATTTAAGTATTAACCGATCTTTGACTTCAAACACTGTTTTTTGCAAACAATATTGTTTAGTAATAATACTGTATTTTAATATAATACATATTTTTAGAAAATAAAATTATAAATTTTGATGATTACCTCTTGATTTGTTATCAGTGGTCAAAACTAACACATCTTTTTAAACAGACATCTGTTTCATCAATTATATGCACTTCAGTTCATGAGTAGTACCACAATGTGTATGTAAATTGGATTTAATGTCTCGACAATTAAAATTAATTATATTAATAGATATATTATTTTACAGGATGTCATTTATTTTAATCATCATTATTTTCATTTTTCAAAAATCTATTTCAATTATTATAATCTATAGTATATTATTATATTTGAAATTAAATATCGCATCTTATAATAAATTTAAGACATTTCTATAATTTAATATTTTTAAAATTTCGTAATCAGAATATAAATATAGAAACTTATTGTATGTTTATAATTGTATTAATCATTAATTGTAATTAAATTAATCATATCCTGTAATATTAGATGTCATTGACTAATGTCTAGTGTCTAGACTATAGACAATAAAGTATAGTAAAAAAATTGAATCATTAAATATATGGTTGTTTTAAAATACAGATATAGATAAACACATAAAAACAATAACCAAATATCTAAAATAAAAATAATAAATTCACGACAAGTTATTTACTTTTTAAATCCCTTTTATTTTAGTCTTAATATAAATTTGACAAAAAATAAATATATTTTGAAAATATAGTAAATTATAGACCAAAATGTGTGTGTGTTTACAGAAAAAAGGTTTAAACTTTAATTTAAAAATATTATGTCTATTGTTTTTTTAATTGTAATAAGCTTTGATTTTAATATAATAATATTTACAAACATGTGGTATTTGTAAATTTAAATATTAAATATAAGCTAAACTATAAAATTTTTAATTATTTTTTTCTTAAATAAATGTATATAAAATGTTTTTTATTTGTTTGCATTTGTAAAACCCAAAGCAACGATTATTTCACAAAAAAACTTGTATATAATATACTAAATTTACAATTAAAATTAATATATATATATATATTACTAATACAAATATTTCGAGCCGATTGATAGCCTATTATTTCTTGACTGGTCATTGATTTGTCAACAATTTTGCACCAAAAAACATAACTGCAATCGATTTCCAGTCAATTGCTTAATATATATATATATTTATATTTAAAAACCAGTAATTATTTAGTAATAATTCACAAGTTGTGTAAAAATAAAATATATTGACAATTTGTTCCTTAATTATCTACATATCAATTAATTTTTGTTAAAAATTGTACAAATATATTATCATTATCATCCGTTATTTCAATATATAATTATTATTAAATATAAAATGAAAAAATTAACATTAATTAAATCGTTCGCCTATTTCTCACATTTCATTATTATCGACACTTGAGTGAAATTGTAAACTTTGTTTAATATTTTTAAATATATTTATATATATATATAATTTGTCAGAAAACTTTGTTATTAATGATCACAATTATGAATATAATGATTAAGTTTTTTTTATTTGAGAAAATGCTGTAATGAAAGTAAAATAACCATTTGTTTCAACAAACAAACAAAAAAAATGAGACGAAGAGGTCGTGCGTTACATTCCGTGAAAGCCATTCATCAATCAATCAATAATATATTATATATATAAAACACAATTAACAAAAAACTGTTTGTCCATTATTTTTTTTTGATTATCATATCAATTGTTTTTCACAATAATATTAACATTTAAAATAAGGCTCGGATACAGAAATAAAACATGAATTTTAAATAATAAGTTCAATGAATGTCTGACGCTTTTGAATGAAGTTGAGGCCATATTTTTTTATTATTGACATATTCCTTACGTACTAATGTTATGGTTGTATTGTTTTTTTAAAAAAAAGCTAATGAGTGGCTGAGATGACTGAATTGATAGATGAGAGAAGTGATGTCCAGATTTGTTCCGCTCAATCATCACCTAAACCAAAGTGGTTTTCACGCAATACTGACTGGATTTGTAAACAGTGGGACATTGTTTGCTAAGTTTAGTGTATTTGTATTTGTATTGACACTATTATTATTATTATTGGTCGCAGTATTGTTGGTTGAATGTAAAGATTTGCCACATCTTCTCCATGGCCTCCGAGCGGCGCGTCTTAACTCTCCTGGATTTAGTTGCCGACGAAGTTTGCTATAAAATTAATTAGTTATATAAATTGCTAATTTTTTATTATAAAAATCTCATCACAAACCGAGTAGAATCAGTGGCCACAAAATAGACATCATCGGGAGCGTCGACCCAACTAATCATTTGTTTACGTCCACCAACTCGTGTTATTGTCGCTACTTTTGCTCTACCATTTAAAGATGATATTAAAGGATTTCTGTTAGTCATACCATAAAAATCGGGAACAGCTTTGCCGAGAATACTAGGCGGTGCTAACTGACGTCTTTTAAGAGGTGGAACTGGTGATCCTATTAAATATTGATATTTAATTTTAACAAATCTATAAATTTTATTGCAAAAATACCGTTTATTTCCATTGGTCGCTTTCGTGGCATAATTGGAGACAAATTATTAACACTCCACTGATTTTTTACATTTTCTATTTCAGGTGTTTGAGGTGCTGGTAATGGTCTGGGTAATATTAATTGACCATCTATATTTAAATAGTTAATAAATGTAAATAAATATAAAATAATAATATCATTATAAATGGTAGGTAATGGTCATACCTGGGCCTCGTGGTGGTGGTATAAATGCCAATCTTTCTGGTTGTGGCAACTGATCCTTTGGCGTTGCTATAAGCCATTGAGGAGTAACCATCTGTGGAGTTCCTAATCTTTGTGATATATCAACAACTTTACCCCTTTCTATAGGTCTTGTCTTAGGTTTGGGTGGAATACCATTAGCAAACTTTGCCTGACCTGTTGTGATCAAAATTATATTAAAGTATTTAACAGTTAATAAACAAAAAAAAATTTATACATTCGGCTCGAATGGCAGTAATATTAATCGGTAAAAATGGGTTCCGCGACGCGTGACGCGATCTTAAAATGTTTGAGCAAATACGTCGAGCCACTCGTGCGGCCAAAGTTGCACACAAATAAAAAGCAGCCCTTGTTTTCATTATAGGTCGAGGACTTCCAGATCTCACAGCTAATCCATGAGATGTAGCGCAATGTCTGATTAAATGAGCTTTGAATTTAAATTCTTTGCCACAATTGTTTATTGAGCAGCGATGCGGTCGATGTGATGCCATATGAGAAGCCAAACGCTCTGCAAATTTAATTTAATAATTTAAATATACTGTAAATATCGAAATAATTATTATCGTCGACTCAAACCTTGTCTATTAAATACTTTATTGCATTCACGACACGGATATTGAGAATTTTGAGAATCTTGTGGTGCTTTTTGTGTAGCATTTAGTTTATCGATATCTGATTGTAATCATTAATAATTAACATTTTGACGATAATATAGTTAATATTAATTACCAATACGTGATGAATATTTCAATCCTCCAAACTTTTTCCAATAAGTATAACAATTTTGACAGAGACGGCATTGTAGGTGTGATGGACCCCAAGCATACCATTGCGATGATGTTTGCTCTTTAATAATAAATAAGTGTTAGTTTTTCGTTACATTCATCTCATTCATGTCAATACTTACTTCCACAGCTCTCACACGCGCGACCATTGGCTCCATTAACATCATTTGACAAATTCATGCCACCATTCATTGTATTTGACTGTTTATTATTGCTATTTATATTTATAAAAAAAGTGTTTACCATAACATTTATCTATTTTAATTTAAGTAATTTAATTTATAATTTAGTTGACTTACTAGTTAGGAATGTAAACTTGTTTGAGTTTACTTTCGGCCTCAACTGCTTTGACTCGCTTTTGTTGAACATATCTATCGGTTGTTTTCCACATATAATAATATTCTACTAAATTCTTAAGACTTTTCCACGGAAGCTATAAATTAATTAATTAAATAACATTATTAGTCTCTCAAAATAAATCAAATCTTCATTGATATAAATCATACAAAATCCTGTCTAATGTCGTTAAAGTCTTTGCCATATTTTTCAAGTGCTTCTTCAAACAGGTTAGCCTCAGATGCTGACCATTCTTCCATTTCATCGCGACATAAAACGGGACCATTATTTGGGACTAGACTGCAGAGGGCTTTCCCGATATTATATCCGTGTTGATGAAGGAGTTGCATGGCATGCAATAGTGTAATATCTCTGGAGGCGGCGGCAGCGCTCATGTGAAGACTCGGTTGCTTTATAGAACTGGAACAGTCCAGTGCCCGCGCAAATGTACCAACAGATCTACATTTCATCCATTCATTTATTACTAAATAAAATACAAATTTTGTTGCAAATTATGCAAACCTGGCTATAATTAAGAACTGATCGATTTGTTTATCAGTCAGATTGTGTTCCGGTGTGTGGACTAATGTTTCCAATTCTTCAAGCTTTCTATTATCGGACTCATCGGGTCCTAAGGGACTGGTAGGCACTTCTGCCTGATATCGTTGTCCGACTCGAATCTCTCCCCTATCGGCTAACAGAGTCTTCTGGTTCGGGTCGTAGACCAATGTATAGAAAAAGGCATCTTCTTTGTTGATATAAGAGGCCAATGATTCCGTCTCATTGAGTAAAGTGACGTTACATTTGCCTCTAATATGAGTGGCCGGTAGTGTCTCGACCTGACGCGATAGAAACAACTCTCGCAGTTTCAGTTGGTGTTTGTGCTTCTCAGACAACTGTTCTGCTTCTCTCTCCTGTTCCTCTTCTAAGGCACCTATTGTTCAATCAATTAAACCATTAATTAAAATAAATAACTATAAATAAAATTTTAATTAATTCAAATTCTGTTAAATTATAAAATTGCATTTTTCTTAATATTAAATCTGATATATTTTTAACCTAATTTATTAAAACTTCTTTAATGTTATTACAAATTAAAATTTATAACAAATGCTAATGATTAAATATTATTGATAATATTAAAGGTAGTACTGTATATTACTTCTATATACCGTATTTAATATGTATTAATAAATATATAACAATTTATAATGCTTAGTTTTCTAGTATATCAATTGATCTTGATTTGATATAGACTATTTAAAACTAAAAACAAAAAATGTAACATTATATAAATAACAATAAAATATTCTATATTATAGAATACAGAAATTTAAAAATAAACTAATAGTTAAATAAAAACTTTACAACATATGATTTACAATTCACATATAGATTAAGTGCATATGTATTGGATTATATTTTTAAAAATAAATTTCTATACAAATCTATTATATATTACCGTAAGTTACAAAATACAATATTTGTTATTTAAGTTATATATATACTATAGCATAGTATTAATAATTCAAATAAATTATATAATATGTATGAAATGCAAACTTTATATGTGAATTAATATTTACATAATACGGTTCACTAGAGATGAGCTAACAGTGCGTTTATAAGAAGTTAGTCTCATTAGTATTATTAAGACCAATGAGTGCATTGCTATGTAAGTCATATCGATTGTGCTTTAGATCAATATATTGCTAACTTTTTTTTAATTAAAATTTTCTCAAATCTTTAATATTAAAAACTTGACAAAAAATAACCTAAATATATGTGACACTAAAAAAATATATTCTTCTATTAAATAATTATGTCGCTTAAAAATATTGATTTTAAAATTTTATTAAAATACTGTATTTACTTTTGGTACTAAAATTACATTTACTCCAAAAATATCATATTTTATGACAATTTGAAAGACATAAATTTATAATTTAACCTTAAAAACAATATCTATTATACTTTTAAATGGTAATTATATGGCTATTAGTTAAGCACTAGCATAGAGACTGCTGTCAGTGTTTGAGACAATGCATTGCTATGTATAAGTGAAAGGGATCGACACTAAAATGCTATTATATAATAAAATAGTCAAATAATATGTGATCAATGAGTGGAGGATAAGGTTACGTAAAGTTATGGCAAAAAAATGAGAGATAGAGAGTCAAGTGGCGCACAATTAGCTGTTTAGGAGAGTGCTTTGATAGCATATATATATGGTGTATATATAGTAGTGTTAGTGAATACCTTCAAAAAATTAGAGAACTGTAGGGAACAGTAGGGAGGGGTCGAAGCAATTGCAAGCAAACTAATGAAGTTAAGTCATTTGGGTCGCACTATACCTATTGATATATAGACATACACTATGTAGTGGTGCTATCATTATAATGACTGTAAGCTTTTGTAAGACATTTTTGACCAAACATTTGATGCATTCATTCATTCATTTTTATTACAATCCTTTTTTTAACCACATTTTAACTAATTAACAGCTTTTTATCAATTTTTTTATTATTTACGTTTGACTACATCTTTTAAAGCGGCGATTAAAAGTGTTTTTAAGATTTTGAGACAATCATCATCTGAATGGGTTTGGAAAGAGTGTGTAATTTATTAAGAGATGTCGTGCTGTCCCCCACTCCCCTCTCCCCCCTTAAGGGCTGTTTCCCTCGAGTGCTCAGTTGATTCATATGTTGGGCACAGGAAGAAACACTATAACCTGACCAGAATTAGTTGACACAAACTTATGGCACTCACACTACAGCATCACTGCACTCGCCTATTGCTACCAGTGCTGCACCACAATCACAATGCACTCTAAAATACATCTAACATATACTGTATCCCAATATCTTAGATATCATATTAAACTCAATACATAGCATAACACAGACATTGTTTGCAATGAGACTTTCATTAGCGCTACTCTACTATAGAGTATGTAATGGTAGACACTATTAGCTAATATTAAAGGCAATCATAACAATCGATATTCAATGCAATACTCACTTTGATGTTTGTCGGCCAACACTATCAACGATCCCGAGATATCCCGGCGCCGGTAAAAACACATACATTTAGCCTCAACATTGCCATTGGGGGTCTAAATAGATATGTCAATCAATTTAATGTGTCAATCACTCTGACCATCAATTTTTCAATCATAAACCATCTCTTAAATTATTAATATTCAACTTATTATCATTTTATATATCAATTTAACAAATAATAATATCTATGGCTACTATCATAATATAATTAATATAAACAATTCAATTATTCAAAATAATATTTGACAATATAGTCATCATTAGCATTGATGGTCAACATTTTAGGTCAATTTAATAAACAATAAGTTCAATGACACTCACTTTAATCAATTCTTCTATCCTTCGGATCAGATACGGTGATGTCGAAGATGTCTCGATGTATACATAGTCTATTAATGTATTAAAAAATATTAGTAAAAACAACAAAAATTAATTGTCAAATCAAATGTCACATTTAATAAATCAATTATTATTAATCAAAGAAATAGATAAATAATTGTAAACTAAGTTTAACTTAAATATTAAAAATATGCAAAATATGAAAACTTAATACAAATATTGGTATAATAAAAGTTTTATGATATATGTCCTGACAAGAGAGCACTGGTATGCTGTTGGCGGCTATTGTTTTACACTTAAAAAACAATGTTATTAGTAAAATATGAGTGTCAAGTGCGGCCAAAGTGACCACAAGTGACCACTTGATGGCCATCAATGAGTACTCAACACAACATATCAGTGCCTATAGTGTTAGCCCTATATGTGATCAACACATCAATAGAGCGACAATTAATAGCTTAAGTGCTATAAAAAGTAAGCGTTTTGTTGTCTATTCAATCAATTGAGACAATCATTAATTCAATTAATGCTTACCTCCGACTCTATACATATTATTAGCCATTAAGTCACTCATTGTTATGATGTATGCAATCAACTAAAGCATGTGTCCCACACAACTGTCCACAACTATCACCGATAATTGGATCCACAAATCAAACAATTTGCGATATTTTGATTTCAATCACTTCACTGTTGGTTACAGTGAGAGCACAACCAGTGGTACACTCATAACAGTCAGTCCACACAACATATAGAGTCCATATTTGAGTGGAGAGTCAACTAACTAACTGGTGCTGACTGTGCTGCCAGTGCTCACTATATCACACACTCTGAGACAAACACACACACAGTGGTCACATGACTGTCACCAATAGAGGGCACTCACCCGCACCGGCACATCACACACACACACACACACACACATACACACCAACACTAACACTGTAAACATACACAATGTATAACATGCATAGTAAGTACTGGTTGTATTGCACTAATAGTAAGCACCGGCACCACCACTACTGTTGCATTACAGTACAGTATGTTTTGTTTGCTTGTATAATGTTGTTGCCTAATGTTAAAGGCATGACATGAGCAATGCATTGATTCATTGATACGATTGAAATATTCACATTTACCATACCATCATCTACTGTATTATCATAATCTAAATAATATATTAATTCAATTGACATTTTTTCATTCACTTTAATTTAATAATTTGTCAGTAAAATGAAATTACAATAAAAATGTTATCTTTTTATTAATGTTATAATAAATAATAAAAATCTCGATTTACACCATAAATACATTTTTTCACACTTTTTTTTATATATATATACTGTTGTCAAAAATTAGTGCATAATTTACAGTCAAATGAATTTTCAAAAATCATGATTAATTATATAATAAACATAAAATTGATTAATCTTATCATTATATCAATAATATAATTACAATTATTTAATATCTATTTATAAATCTGTTATTATTTTTAAAAATACGATGACTTGTAGTTTCGATTATATATATTCAATATATACTGTATTTTGCTCAACATTTATGCTAAATTAATCGCTTTTCAATTGGAACTTATAATTACAAATTTATTTATATAATTTTTTAAAAATTTTGTTCAACAATTTTATTAGTTATAAATTAAACTAAACACATAAAACCTAATTCAGCTAAAATGAAACTCAAATTCTAACAACAAAAAAGAGTATCTGAAATATAATAATTTGGAAATCCATCACCAAATAATAATAATAATAATAATTTTTTCATTTAAGTTCCCATTTATTTATTAATCATCTAAACTGGTAATAACTTTTTTTTTTGCTGTAATCCAATCCAATGACTAATTTAATCAAATCAATTAAGAGCTACAATTGGGTTCAGTGACATCAACCAGCAGTCCATCTCTTATTTTAGTCCTATCCTTATTGTTTGTCTCGTTTTCTTTTGGTGTTTGACTCGATGACTGTCTTTCACCTATTTTTTAAAAAAATAATAATTAAAGTAATAAAAAACAATTATTATTGTGAATACCTGGTGAATGATTCGGTGGAAATGAATTATATCCATAAAAGTAACGATAATATTGTTCATAAATAGGTAAATATGAAGAAAACGGATTCTGCATATAACCCATCTGAGAGTGAAGTGGAGGAGGTGTTGAAGATGGGAGAGATAATGGAGAACTTGGTGGCGATGGTTTCACTTGCGATCGACTTTCAGACCCCTTTTGGCACAAATTGCTGGAAGACTTTGCTTCTGGTATTACGGAAATAAAATTATATATTTATTAATAGTTTCATAATATTTACAATAAATACCTTTTTTGGATTTGCTCTGACTTTGAGTCGGAGATAGTGGTAATTGTGAAGGAAATGGAAAGACAAACGGCGACTGCAGACGAGGTGGACTCGGAGTTGATATCTTTGAGTTTTTGTCTTTATCGGTATAACTGTTAAAATTTGGCGCCGAAGAGCTCGTCGACAATGACTTAGTTTCAAAGGGACTATGATTTGATGACTTTCTCGTCAGGTCTACAGGTATTGCATTTGATGCCACCGATGATGGAGATGGCACTGAATATGTGGACGTCGACGGTAATGAAAATGAAGATGGACTCCATGTGTTATGTAAGTGGCGCTGTGATTGAGCGCCAGTTGCTATTGAATGGGCTTTCGGTGGTTGTAATGCTGAAGACTTATCAGATGTTGTTGTATACCATTTATTATCGAAAGAGTTCTGAAGATTCCTTCGTTCACTTGTTTGTTCATTAGATATCCGTCTTTTGCGGTCGTCTTCACCGATGTTGGGACTTAAGGTATCTCTTTTTGATGAAGAAGAGAGTTCTGTTTTTATATTACGATTGCACACATTAGTAGTTTCGAGTTTTGAATCTTTTAGCGATGAATTGGGAGATTGCGATGGTTTAAGACAATTATTCTCGAGTTTAACTTTGGCTTTCTTTGCTATGAAAGCCGATGGCGACGGAACTAAAGCACTTTCGTTGCTCTCCATAGACGAGTCATCACTGGAATCATTGGATACGTCGTCTAACTCTTCATTATTTAATAATTTATGATTTGAATGATTTGGATGGTCTGAGTCGTAGCGATCATTAAGTAATCGTTTACTTGGTTTATGTAAGGGTTTTGGCTTCTTTGCCGTATCTAATGACTCAACCCATTGACACTTCTGTCCGATCAACTCTTGCTGAGCGTTCAGTTTAAGGACTAACTGTCCGTCTAAAAAAAACTTAAGCGAACCCAGAGTTGAAATGCTATTATTTGACTCTTGAATAGAAGTTGGAAGTATTGGCTTAGCTTTTAATGGCTTCACTTCTTGGCCACTGACTGTTGTCTTTAAATCATCGACATTGGGCTTCACATCACTATCACTATTATTACTATTATTATTATTATTATTATTATTATTATTATTATTATTATTATTACTATTAGTATTACTACTATTAGTATTACTATTATTACTATTAGTATTACTAGTATTAGTATTAGTATTAGTAGTATTACTAGTATTAGTATCAGTATTATTACTGTTACTACTACTACTACTACTATTATTATTATTATTATTACTGTCACATGAATTTCGCAAACTTTGGCTTTTGTCGACACAATTATTCACTTCTGTCTTTGTCTGAGTACAAGTCATAAACTTTGAAACTGAAGACAAGATGTCTAATGCAAATGATTTGCTTATAGGAGAGTCGGTGTCTGTGTTTAATGAGTTATCACTTTGATTTGAATGGCTGTGATTTTCACTTTTAACTGTAGGTGATTGAGGGTTATCTCGATTAAGACCCAAATAGTAATACTCAATGATACTCTTGACTGACTTCCACGGAAGGAAATCCTTTTTAATTGCACTGAAATTTTTACCACAAACTTCCAGCGCTCGAGAAAACAGTTGAATTTCGTTAACGTTCCACTCGGATGTCACTAAAGTCGTCAAATTGTTTGAATTAATGTCCAAAGAGTTAGTTGTTTCTATAGTCGTCGACACTCGACAGCTAACGTCATGATGTTTTGGATGGTGTGACGACACAAAGTCAGACTGTTATAGTATTTTATAATTAATTAATTAATAAAATGCTTAATACGGTATATATCTGATCATATATTTACCAATCCTTTGAGTGCATTTTGAATCGAGTGGTCCTTTGATGTGGATGTCGATGTTGAGGTCGTGGTGTTGGTGTTCTCTTTGTCTTTGTTCTTGTCATCACTTTTATCGCATTCCGTATTATCACCGGAATTAGTATTGACCTCATCTGAGCCGAAGGTAGTCTCTTTATGACTGGTTTCGGTCGTTGAGTTTTCTTCTGTATAATTCTTATCAATAGCTCGAGCAAAGAGATCGACAGCTTTGGCTACACTCAAGAATTGGTCTAATTGTTGGTCTGTTAAGTCATTATCTGGTTTCCACCACAAAGTTTCTAATTCTTCTAATTTTCGGCCATCACTTTCACCTAAATTAAAATTTATTATCATTTATGAAAATTTATCACTATTTTCATCCACTGATGAAATTCTAACCTTTTTTAAGTATAGGTTGAACAGTTGCCTGATATTGTCGGCCAATTCGGATACGATTGCGGTTCGGGTTACGGGCCTCTTCCTCCCAATAAGAGTCAAAATCCGCGTCTATTTTGTCAATTAAAATCATTAGTCAATACCATTAACTGTTTCCTGATTAATATATTTAATTAAAACTCATTAGTCTAACTAACACTAAGGCAATTAAGCATTTATTTACTCTTTACTGTATTATTGCATTTTACTAATAGAGGAAATCTCAGTTAATTATCTTTAGTATTATATATGTAAATATAACTAAATCACTAAATATGCCAATAATTGTTTTATCAATCAGTGGTTTGTGTGTTGTAATTGTGTTTTAATAGTTTTTTTTATTTAAGACTGAGATTGTAAGCCATAGGAGAGTGAGTCCAATGGCTTATACTTGAATGCAAGTGATAGTTAATTAGCCTTTTTTTGGCTTTCATGTCGACAAGCAATCGATTATTTGATTATTTCATGTGAAAAAATATGACAAAAATGTCTCTAAATTATATAAAAACATATATACTATACTATTCTAACATTACTTGTATATAGCAATACATCGCAAACATATAGAAAATCAATAGTAATAGCTATTAATTACTTTCATATCATTTATATATTACAATGTATTTTGAATTAACTCATTATTTACGATATATTATTTGCTTTTTAAAATCAATAGACTCTTCAATTTGATAACAAATAGCTTGTCATTTGATATCATTGTTATTGTGTGTCAAACTTTATAATTAATTAATAGTTAAATAATTGCTGACAAATATATTTAAACATTTAATTGCTTTGTTAGATGTAAATGCTTTTGAAAATATTTAATATATATATATACTGTATATAAATATATAACTAAAATATATGCAAAATAATCAACAATTTGTAGTTCATATCTATAATTAATTAATTGGTGAGAAATAAGCACAAAATATATACAATTTGTTAAAAAAATATCAAATAACATAAGTATTGACATTAAAGCTATTTTTGTTGATTAATATATAAAAAATAAAATATAATAAGATTTGAAAGCAAAATATGTAACAAAAGTAATATAAAACAAAATTAAATTAATAGTCAATAATTGTATAGCATTTAAGTCAACGACCCGTTGCTTATCACAACTGAGCGCACAATTAATGGCATTTAACTTATGATTATTCATTTATTAAGACTAATTTAATGCCAATTATCACTTTAGACACTTCGCTGATGGTATTGTCCATCACTATCAACACATGCATTCATATACAAACTGACCAATTGATTGATACTATCAATCATATCGATGGTCATATTGATATCAATAGCTTAAGTGGTATTAAAGACTTACCAGAATTGGAGACATCCATCAAAACAATGGACACTCATTGGTGATCACTGAAGACTATAATTAGCAGAGTTTGGTCATAATGTGTGTCATTTGTATGCAATGTGGGGTCAAATGTCACTTAATTTGCCAAATAATGAGCCATTAATGCGATTAATAAACACAAACAGTGTTTGATTGTAACAAAAGGCACACAAACAGCACATACACTGAGTTTATGTATAAAACATTCAATGCTTACATACATTCAATACATAACACACACACACAGTGTTGAAGAATTCATAGTAAGGGAGGGACCACTCTATACACTGCCATAGCATAGCCCTGTGCTGTGTGTTGTGTTGCCTGTGCTTACACTACAGTATATGCCAAACATTGTTAGCTGTGCTCAGGCCTCGAGCCACAACACTCTCGCGTTTCAATACCACAGATCCGGCAATATCTCAGCCACTCAAGTGAGCCAATACTTACTTGAAAAGGCCTTAAAAAGTTAGCATTTGATTAACATTGAAGTCACTTCAACTACCAGTGCAAACCTGCTAACTATGCTTACAAATACTACTATACATACGCCTGTCCATTGAGAATTGCTTTTCATCAATAAGATAGCGCTTTCATACAAAAAAAAGTTTTTATCACTTATTGCATGTGATATCACATACTCAACACATCATTAGGCTATTGAATACTCATTTAATAATTACTTCACATAATTGAGTGACAAAACCAACACATCTCTCATAAGTGACATTATTATAGTAATTGTGTTAAAATTGCTTATTATTTATGTCATAATTAATTCATTTTACTTTTTAAAGACATTTACACTAATTATTAAATAACACAAAATTAACATATCATTAAATATTTTGCAAATTGAATGATATAAAATGTTAGTGAAATTATGGTAAATATAAATTTATATATATATTTATTTATTGATCAATTTTTGATTCAAATACACAATTATCTGTAAAAATGGATAAATTATATCATATTTATTATTAAGTCAATAGGAATCACAATTGTTTGAAAAAACGATTATATAGTAAGAAATCATATTAAATAATAAGTCATTGATTGCGATGCTTATACAGCTTATACTTTCGTTATACAAGTTTGGCAATTGTTTTAATTTAAAAAAAAATTATATAAAGGGATTAAATTATTATTAAAATTAAATAATATAAATTAAGCAGAGCTTCCAAATATTAAAAGTAGTTTTTAAGTGATCGTCACTATAATTAAAAGGTATAATAATTGGCACTAAAATTGAAAGGAAGACAAAGCCCTCAACACATGGAATGCTTTGTTTTTAAAAAATGAATAGTATTTTGTAATAAAATGATTAAAATAATTTATGATATATTTTTACTAAATATAGGATCGATTTTAAACCATTAAATAAAATGATAAAATTAAATGATAAATACTATTGATTTCAAATAATGATTGATATATTATTAACACATGATTTCATTAAAGTTGGTTCAAATGCTGTTAAGTCTCCAATTTATTTTCTTTGGAAATACAGTAGTAATAAAGTAATCATTGAATCGTTGATTTAGAGATCGGTGTCATACCTGTTATCATATGATTATATAAACGTTAATTAATCAAACAATTTATATAATGACATACCAGGCAGTGACGGGTCCAGTCATTCCTTGTTGTTGTTGTTGCTGCTGTTGCGGAGGAAGAGGATGAAGAGTACCATCGAGTCCATCGAAATTGAGATCAGTTGGTTCGCCCATATCCATAGGTGTATCCATTGCTGACATTACTGTATGAGCATAACCTCCGTGTGGGCCCAAAGGATCGAGACCCTTATAATTTTGTAATTTAATAACATATTAATCATTATAATAATTATATTTAAATTTAAATTACGGTAATAACATACCTGTGTATCATAAGGCCCGGTGTGGTATGGATTATGGCGACTGCCTGTCGAGTGAACACTTGATGGTCCTTGACTTCCATGATATAGTGGATCGTGGAAAGTGTCGTCCGCACCTAACATTCCCATATCGATGTCTGTATTAGTAGGTCCCCAATTAGCACCGTCTTCTCGAAATAGGGAATTTGTCAATTCCATCGAAAGACGCTTTTTGTAGTCCTGGGACTTGTCCTGAGACATGCTGTACAACACAGCAGCTGCATATGTAGCCACTCCGTCATTACGAGACTGTAATAGTTCTGTAAGAGGAGATGTGGCGTCCTGTGCCTCAATCATTTCAGCACCTGTTATATCATTGAAAATTATAAACATTTAGCAAATGTATAAACTATTAAATAAAAACCAAATAATACCCTCTTTATCGTTAGCCAACTCGCAGAGGACACCGACAGCTACGCGCTGAATGTTCTCGACATCGCTGTATAATAGTTTGACAAAAACGGGAATAACATTCAAACTACGAATAACAGCCCTATTGTGAACATCTTTAGCTAAAGTATGAAGTGATCCAACAGTTCCCTCAACAATCTCTTCCATTCTTACGCCATCCAAAGCACTCGCTTGGCTACCATTGGAAGCTAAACTAGAGCGCTGTCCGGACTCCTGATATGCCTTTTGCAACAATTGAACGAGTATTGGAATTGTTCCATGTGTTCGAAGTGGTTCGTGATTAGCCGTACAAAGAGCCAAATTACGGATCAATCCGATGACAGCTTTAATTAATGGCAAACGACTCGGTGGTTTCAACAGTTTGCTAATTACTTGAAGTCCATAGTGATGTCGAACTGCGTTTTGAGCCATTTCTGCCTCTGCGTGTCTGCAGGTCAGGTGTCGTAGTGCACAAACCGCCGGTTCAGTAATCTCTTCGTGATCTCCGGCGTGCATTATAGTGCGAACCAATGCTTCAATACCTCCCACTTGACAAACAATCGTCTTATTGTTTTGGTTATTGCACGTCAAGTTGGACAGTATGCCTGCAGAACAGGTAACCACATTGATATCAGTTGTACTTAACAACTGAACTAAGCTCTGCATTAAAGGCTCGAGATTGTTCTGATTGGTGGCCGCATCAGACAAATTGCGAAGTGTCCACAAAGCATTCAGAACAAGCTTATGATTCGTATGAGTCAAGTGTTGGGCCAAAGCTTGCATTCCTCCTGATTGGATAATTGCCGGCTTATTACTGGGACAAACTGATAGCACTTTAAGTACTCTTGAAGTGGTCCACAATAGCTTCTCGTAAGGAAATGATCGCATAATTCTAACCAACTCTGCGGGTCCTCCCGAAGCAAGTATTATGAGTTTGCCTTCTTGGTTACCATAAGCCAAAATTTGAAGACAATCAGTAACAATGGTTAAAAATTTAACATTATTTCTCTGAAGTAAAGCAACCATTTTTTGTAAGCCACCGGCCAAACGGACAGCCATTTTAGAGCCTTCTTGATGTAGCAATAAGTTATGAAGGGTTGTAATGGCGTAGAAAAGTACCGACTCTACGGGTGAACTCAACAACTTAACCAATGCTACGATACCTCCAGATTTGAAAATAGCGAGTAATCCCTGTCTGTGTTGTGAGAGGTTGTGTAAGACACCGGCCGCGCATTTGGTTGTTTCCAAATCATTTGATTGAGACATTGCCTTAACCAAAGCGGCCACCATTTGCGGTGAGTTCATAATTGCGTGACGGGACGCCTCTTTCTTTGACAACTGATGAACCATCATAGCTGCCTGTCCTACCACAACCTGATCCTCATCATTGAGCAGTTTTATGAGCTCTGGTATAGCACGAGTGGCCAAATCTGCGTCGTCCTGATAATTGATTAGATTAACGACCGCGTGCTTCAACATCTGCGAGGGCTCTGCAAGTCTTTGAACAGCTGTTGGCTGAGTTGAGTCAAACTGTGTCGAAGGGATTTCCATTCCCTCGTCGAGTGTTTCGGGAAACATAGCGGCCCTCACCCGCTGTGAACGGGTCTGATTCAACTGTTGGTTCATTTCATCGACTGCTTCATCGGAAAAAGCCGAACCAAAGTTTGGGTCCCAATCAAAGGCCATGGCATCTGATTCCATGTCATCTTCACGACCTGTAAGTGATGGTGTCTGAGTGGTGGCACCAGAATGGATACCAGAGTCCATGTATTGGTTTTGTTGCCATAAAATGGTCTTCTCGTTGGGCGCCGACACCGGCATTGCGGTGACGAGTGTTTGTTGAGATGGATGTGACGGATGTGATTGCAATGGATTAGCTGATGAACGAGATTGTGGTATGCCTTTAGTCGTTAATGTGTATGACATCACATCCAACAGTGATAATCAATGTCTGTCTTGTTGTCTGACATTCAATCACTTGTCTGACCACTCAATCGACAAACCATTCAATGATTGTCTTAATTGTTAGAAATGAGTCAACAATTAGTCAATCAATCAATTAATGTATTGTTTGTTTGACTTATAGTTTAATGCAAATGGCGTTCAATCAAACACTTAATGTCTATACAGTCAAACACTTGTCAACAATCATTGAAATCACATTTACTATACTTTTCAATACAAATCACATAAAAATTTGCATTTAAATCTATCAATAATTAATTTTAATTATATTTAGTTTAATTGTCAATTACAATTACTATCTTAAAATGCTATTAATTAATTAAGTAATATTAAATTAGTTTGACTGTATTAGTGAGGAATTTGTTGATATAATTTAAAAAATAGTTCACAAATGATGTCTACAATAGAGGGGTGAATAAGGGGTGTGGTATTACATACATGTATTGTATATGTATATAAATGAGCTTGCACAATTACACAATTACACAATTATTACACAATTTATCTGTAATAATAATATATGTATTATTACTAAAGCTATTAATAACAATGTCATATAAATTACAACTATTTTGATTATTAATAAAAATGTTTACATTATATTCAAAAGTAATATACTATTATAACTTTTTTCTATTATTATAAATTAACCATCATCAAATTAAATTAATAATAAAATTATTTATATATATATATAATAATAATAATAATAATATATATAATAATATAGACAACAATTTTTTAAATATCATATTAAAGTAAATAAATAATTTTTATTTAAAAATAATTAGAAAAACTAATGAATAATGATTTAAGTAATAAATTTTATTATTAAATTTTGTCACGATTTGTACAAATAATAAATGAATAATAAATAGTTTATAATTATATAATAGTAATAATATATATATATATATTATATATAATAAATCATTTTTTTATTATTATTACACTTCAATACACATTGATTTGGCATGAAATTGTTTGACATATATAAATGATTCAAGCGTTTCAAATACAATATTTTCATACATATCATCGTATAAATTGAAATTTTTTAAATATATTAAATTAATGTAAAAATGACTAATTTTTTAAATTATACATACAGTAAAGCACCAGAAAAGTATTGAATCAATTTTTAATACTAATTAAAAATGGCTATCAATTTAATAATGGCAGTATCTATATAATGTATAAATTGAGTTTGATAAGTTATTTATTGAATTTAGTTATATATTTTTGAATATACAAATATAATTATCGATAGCTAAGCTATAAAATTATGACAAAACATTGGATTAATAGATAAAAATTACTTTTTTTGAGTATCAGTTGGAAAGTTTTTTAAGACACACATAATTGAAAATTTTTATATTTTTAATCTTTGGTATATTTTTTTAAATAAAAAGTAAAAAAAATTGTAGATATATTAAAAGTGGTATAAAATTAATCAAATGGTTAAAAATTGATAGTATAAATGTGTGAAAAATTTTAGATCATAAGTGATAAGCTTATATAATTATATAGTTGCATATTGAGTTTTTCTATAAATTATGCCTATTTATATAATTAAATAAATAATCAAGGTAATTTTGTAATTAAAGTAAAAATGTATACAATTAATATAGTATTAATATAATTGATAATAATTTCAATATTACTGTTGATTAAATTAATTTTGATTTTGTAATTAAAGTAGCTATTAATACTGATACTTTCTTATCTATTTTAACTAAAATATATGTAATTGACTCAAAAATTATTATTACGCCATACATTTTTAATAATACAAATTTACCTTGGTTACTCATTATATAATGATAAACAGGCAAATTAACAATAAAACATTTACCCAACAATGCAGTTATAGGCATATTTAGAGCAGCAGTTAAGTACTTTAAATTGAATGCTAATTAAATTTTATATATAATTTAATTAATATTTTCTATTTTGTAATATTTAAAATTCATAAATCTAATGATACAATAATTGTTATAAATATTTGAGTAATCAAATTCCTCAAATCAATATCAATAGTTTAGTTATCGTTTAAATTTTGTTAAATATACTGTATTTATGTATTTAATTAATATATTATAATGTATTTTAGAAATTATTACTAAAAGAAATGGTTTATAAACAATGAAAAATACTTTCTGTAAAAACTCACTCACTTCGGTCTTAATTAAAATAATACATAAAATTAATTTATGAAATAATTACTTTCTAGAAATGGGGTTTCAATATAACAATACATTTGTTTAAATATCTTTAATTTCTGTAATAACCGGTAATCTAGAGATCAATTGCGAAAGTCCTACACTTGACTTCCGAGTTGTCAATCAATTCAAAAAATACTATACATGTATATACTGTAACATAAAATATTTATATATTTTTATTATCATTATTAAATTATTTTAAATCACATCCAGATTAAAGCGTAAATAAATAAATAAATTTAATTTAATAAAAACGCATATATCCTGTCATTATTCATCAATTATTATGAAAAATTTATAGCACTTTCCATGTTATAGAGTGACTATAAAATTATGTATAACTCAGCCGTGATATTCATTTTTATATACAGTTATCCATTTGAGACCCCATTTCTCATTAAAAAATTACATAAAAACGTAAAGTTTACAAAAAATAATTAATACGTATTGTGTTCATAATATATGATATAATTGGCAAAAAAATAATTTAGCAAAAATTAGCACATCATCTGATTTGCTCTCAACTCATATAGATATAAAATAATATATATATATATATATATATATATATATATATATATTAATAGATATATACCACTTAATCCATTATCGATGAGTTTATCTTCTATTTAATTCCATTTTTATGGCTAGAAATCAGAAAAAAATATTTTATACTAAAATTCTCAATTAAAAAAAAAATCAAACAAACCATCTATTATTTCGAGTTTCATTTTATTAAACTCTTTACGTATTTCACCCATAATTTCATTTTTGAATCTTTCGACATCTAATCCGTCGATTCCGTTAACTTTTATGGGATCGCTATCGACTGATCCCGTTCTTTGTCTAATATAATTCACAATAAAATAATATAATTATCTTTAATTAAATACTGTAAACAAATAAAAACCTTTGAGTATTGGTTTCATTATTATTATCTTTTGATGGACTATTGCTTCCATTGGTGGTACGGTTTCTGGAAGAAGTGTTATTATTAGTATTATTAGAACTGCTATCGTATTGATCGGAACTAGAAGTTTGTGAGCCTTCTGCCTGTGCCCTCCTTCTGGCCAATGTTTTAGCCATTTCATCCATTAGATTGTTGGCAACCGGAGCTCTTGTATTAGTCTCTCCAGAACTATCATCTCTTGTGGCCGAAGAAGTTGTTCGTTTAAGTTTGGCTGAAGCCAAAGCTGAAGCTAAGTTGACGGGTCCACCCGTTTGCGGTAAAGGAGAAGTGCCATTCATGTTACTGGTACTGGTAGTATTGGTCACAGCTGGCCTATTTACAGGTGGCATTTGAGGAGCGGGTGGCGGACCACTTAATAGACCCGGAGGTGGTGGTGGCGGCGGTGGTGGAGGTGGGGCACAAATTGCTTGAACGGGTGGTTGTATTTGTTGTGGCATTTGATGAATCGGTTGTATTTGTTGTGGCATTTGATGAATGGGTTGCGTTTGTTGAGTAATAACACCATTATTAGTAGCAGAAGGGTTTCTATGATGTGTATGCGTACCATAAGTTGGTTGCTGTGGTACTGACTGTGGAATCTGAGGAACTGATGACTGTATGGGTGGTTGTATTGGTTGAGACATTGGTTGAGACATTTGTTGATTAATTGGTTGACTCATTATGTGATTGTGATTCACCACACGATTCATATGATTCATATCTTGAATCATTTGCTGTTGTTTCCACTCATTAATATCATTAACTTGATTTTGATTCCACTGCTGACCGCCGCCACCGATGCCATAGTCATCGGGTGTACCGATATGTCCATAGAGTGGCTGTTGGTTCGATGTTATGGACATATCGGCCATCTTATTGGTCACATTATTGGTCACATTTTGGTTCAATACGTCCAATACCTTAATCATTGTGAGTGCAAAGGCGTCGGCCTCTTCTTTGCTGCTGAAGTTGAGTCCATAGACCTGACGGTTATCTCTCCACTGATGGAATGTAGGCGTCGCCTGATTATACTTAAGACCCTTTAAAATGGCGCAATTGATGACAACCTATGGACAACATAATCATGACATCCGTTGTGTTAATAAAACAAATGTTGACTCACTTCGTGGTCCTGTAGTTTGCGTCCAACGACTCGGAATGTATTGTTCTGTATGTGTTGATAGATGTGGACCCGAGACAAACCCGATGAAGAACCACTTGGCAACCATTTCTTGGTGTTGTCGTCATAGATCATGACTGATGCTCTGGCAGATGATATCGATGTCTCGCAACTGATCCAAACAAATATATTTGTCAGATGTGGTTAAAAACATCAACAGATGGTTATCAATCAGTTCTTACCTCATATTTGTTTAGTTTTAACAACGACTTCGAAATGTCATACAAACTGACAACCGATGCTTTGGTGTCAATCGTAAATCGTTTCTTAAGATTTTATTTCTAATCAATTAATATCACAAATAATTGCAGCAATTAGTGGTAACAATTGGGATCAAATGGATTGATGCATAGATAGTGGTGATGATCATTGAAAACAATTGATTGCCAACATGTGAGCGATTTTTGTTGTCTTCAGAAATCACTGAACAATGGATCAAATGATCAATTGATATGAAAAATACAAATCAATAGACAAAATGTTTTTACAAATGGCTTAATATATGGCTAATTGAGTGCACTATTGATGAGTAAATCATATGCAAAGTCAATATAAATTAACATTTGTTTCATCGATTTGTTTGAGTCATGGCTTTCAATAAATTATTAAATAATTTGATATTTATATATCAAAAAACATAATAACACTGTTTATAATGTCATATAGTATTCAATACATACAATATATCGTATCGTTTATCGACTCATAACATAATAACATAACACAAATGTATTGTGTGTTTCACTGCTTTCACTGTTTTTTCCAGTTTTGCCTTTAATTATATAATAATACATACAATCATACAATGCATTCACAATATATACTACACTTTATTAATAGTTAGTATAGACTGTACAGTACTATACGTTTAAAGCTATCCTATAGTTTAAAGCTATAGTAGAATATATAGAGTAAAGCATTGTATATAATATAAGTGTGTTTTTCGCTCACAAACAACATTCACGGCATTCAATGCATCACTCATTCACTCACTCATTGACATCACTTTTTGGGGGACTTTTCAATAATTGCTATAATTTTTTGTTGCACTCATTTAGAGGACACTAAACTCACAAACAGTTTTATATTATAATAATTGAATTTATAGATCACTTAACCATTGAATTCTCAATCATCTCAATCTATTTCATTGATTTTAATAATATATTATAATAATTCAAATAATATTTTTTCTCATATTATTTATTAAAATAAACAAAATCTCAACAAAAAATAAAAAGTAAATTAAACCATAAACATAATCAAACATTCAAAATATAAAACAATTTATATTATTAAACATATATTTTGATTTAATTTATATAGTTTTTGAATAACATATAATAATTTATGTAAAAACATAATTATTATGAACTTTAATTATAATTTGATATTACATTTTTTATTAGTATTAAATTAAATATTACGCAAACAAAATACATATTTAAAAAAAACAATTTTATAGTAAAAATTGGGAAAATTAAAGTTGTAATAAATTATAGTTTAATTAGTTTTGTCTTAAAAATTATAATTGTAGGCAATATTATTTAATTAAGTCTAAATTATATAACCATTTCATTTAATAAGATATTGAATTTGTTTCAAATGTTAGTTTTATAAATGAAATTTAAAGATTGATGTTATTATAGGATTTTAACAATAATATAACATTTGTATGACTATAAAAAAGTTTGGTGAGAGTCTTAAACAGCGGCGCCCACGACGACAGCGGCGATGCTTTTAATTTTAAATATCTGGTCAACAATACGTCGGACTTAAAAGTGACCAAGGACAATGTTGTAGATAATTTTAAACTGGATAATATTGTAATTGGTCATTTTTAATTAATTATATGAATGGGCAGATAATATACAGTCGACTGTTAAAAATTGTAAAAATGATAGTCGACTGCAATTATCTGCCCAATAATGCAATTAATTAAAAAATGACCAATTACAATCTTATCCATTTTAAAATTATCTACAACATTGTCCTTGGTCACTTTTAAGTCCAACGTATTGTTGGACAGATAATTGAAATTAAAAGCATCGCCGCTGTCGTCGTCGGCGCCGCTGTTTAAGACTCTCTCAAAAGTTTGACTTCAAAACTATCTTCAAATGATTGGTTCAATGAAAATATTGTTTAAAGTATTTACAGATTAGAGGGAAGAAAAAAGTTAACAAAAGGATGCGTTAAACTGTTTGAACATTTGAATCATTTCAACATTTATAACATAAATAAATTATATCTAAATATTTTGTATTTAAATATACATTCAGAGGTAAGGAATCTGTTATAAAAACAAAATAACTTTATATATAATTATTAATGTTTTTATAAATGTATTTGAATTTATTTTTAGATGTTTTTTATGTTAATAAACAAATATTTCTATAAAAAAATTACAAAATCCATAATATTTGAGTTGTTTTGAGTGACATTTCCTTGAATTGAGTAGTCGTTTATATTTATTGTAGTTATTATAATATTAGGGCATTTTTTATTTTAATTTTATAACATTTTTGATTAACAGTATATTATTATTTTAAATTAAATAGAAGTAAACTTTTATATAAATAATATTTTGTTTATATAAACTTTATATTTATTACAATATAATTACATTTTATAAATTGCATTTGTTTAAAATTTTACATTAATATTTATTTAATAAAGTATAATTTTTATCTTTAATCTAATAATTACTTTGTAATTAATTTATATAATATAAATTATATATAATTTATCGAAATTTTTATAATAACAATAATAAAGTAAAAGTAATTTAATATAAGAAATGCTTATTTATGTAACGGCTGTCATATATACATCCCTTTCCGACCCTTTTATAAATAAACGGAAAGTCAAATAAATATTATTATTATTTGCAAATTATGTTTGTTTTATTTGATATGATTTGCAACAATTGTCTACAAAATTAACAAAAACTTCAATTATATCCTAATTTTTAGCCAAAACTCAAAACTATTGCATTATATTTTAATTTTATAACAAATATACTGATTGTAATTTTAATAATACAGTAAAACCCATTCATTAGTTTTTAAATATTTTTTTTGATTAGATTTTTATCATATAATGTCATTGTTAATGTTAAGCATTATTATGTAATTTAATAATTTTAAATAATTTATTAAATGACAATTTGCCAAAAACTTTATCGTTTAAAGACTTTAATTATATAAATAACATAATTAACAAAAACATTTCATTTATTTTTGAAAATACAAAGTAGAGTTCAAAAGCAAAACAATTTGTTTCTGAAAATTGGTTTTTATTAATAAATTATCGGTTTTCAAATTATCGGTTATACAGCTTTTTAATTATTTTATTAATTTATATCAATTTAACTGTTTTATTAGTATTTTTCTAAACTTTGCCCTTAAGTTCAAAACTTTTTGATTATTTTTTCTCTATTTCTGACTTTATATATATGAATCTCGGTTTAGGTTTGTTTTATAAAATGTTTCGGTTTTGGATCACTATTACATAGAATATAACAGAATTTGATTGATATTCACATATCATCTATATATATGAGATTATTTCTGAGTGAGTGAGTGAGTGAGTGAGTGAGTGAGTGAGTGAGTGAGTGAGTGAGTGAGAGAGAGAGAGAGAGAGAGAGAGAGAGAGAGAGAGAGAGAGAGAGAGAGAGAGAGAGAGAGAGAGAGAGAGAGAGAGAGAGAGAGAGAGAGAGAGAGAGAGAGAGAGAGAGAGAGAGAGAGAGAGAGAGTGTGTAAACAGAAAATTTGATAAATAAATGGTTTAGTGAATGAAAACAATATGACTTATATTTGTTTATAAAGTTTGTAAACTTGATTGCGATTACAAAACAATGAGTATTTGAATTACCCGTTAATTGTTTATCTGTTGTCATATCATATATGACACAAGTATTGATGTAAACGCCAACTCTTTTAATACAATACTTAACTATTGATTGAATCCTAAATTATATCTATTATTGATTTGTAACAAAATTTAATATTTAAATTAATTTGTATCACATGAAAGCTAATAAATAAAGAGTGCAATTATTATACCAATATATGTATGATCTTTATGTGAATTGAATGTATAGATAGACCGATAATATCATTAATATTATATTATTTATCAGTGTTTAACAGTCAAACATAAATAGTCAAACATAGTATCAAAAACTATTGACAATTAATTTTATAATACGACTGTCTTTTACTATCGGTTGTGTTATAAATGGTATTAAGACATTGTCTTTGAATATAATAGACATATACATCAAACAAATATTCACTGATTAGCTTTCTTGTGGTATAACTTAAGGTCAAAAATATAATTTAAAAAATAGATTTAGGATTCACTCAAAATCTGAAATACTATTTGTACAGTCTATTCATATTTTAATTATTCAATAATTATAGTTATAAACAATTTGTATCCTAAATAAAAAAAAGTCTCATTTGTTTTTTGTTTGACCACAAAATGAGTGAAGAGTTGGTCGATATTGCCGTCGGAAGGATTGGACACATGTGTGCCTTTGATTACGATATGTGTTTGATGTATGTTTTGGGCGGTTATAATGGATATAATGTAAGTCCCGGTTCACGACTGACTTTCCTTTATTTTTAATTTCCGTCAAACTTTGCATTTGTTTGTTATGAATAGTATAATCAAAACTTTTGACTACTGAAAGTATTATTTAAATATCTAAATACTGTATTATTTCTTTTAATGATTATTATATAATATAATATTTACGGGTATTATAACGGTTATTGTTCGGATAATTATAGGTAGTATTCATGTGGATTAGTTCAAAAAAAAATTTTTAAACCCCTCTAGAAATTTAAAACTTATTAGATTCAGAATATTTGATCCAATTTATTATTAATAATTTTCATTAAATTATTTGAGTCAAAATTATAACCTTATATATTAAAATAATTTATGACACATAAATGTTTATGACACTGAATAATTAATTTAAAAACTTATTATTAAATATTATTTATACGTAAATTTTGACAAATTATAATTAAGCAGTTTTAGCTGAGATGGGTCCTTTTTTAAGGTTATTGTTATCAATGAATTATAACTAATAAGACATGAAATAGACATTTCAATCGGATTTGAAAAATTCATGATATTGTATGAACAGGACTATCATTTAGGTGTTGTAATAAAATATACTTTTATAGTAACTGTAGTAACGTTTCTATCTATTGCCAAATAAAATTAAAATTTATTAAATTCAATAATTTTATGTGATTGTATTATAATAGCATTTTATGTTAAATTATATTTAATAGAGATTTATTTTGTTCAATGAAAAGGTCATTGACTCGTTTAATTTGCTATACATGTTAGATATACAACAATATTAATAGTTATATTAATTGAATAAAATTAAATGATTGACAAAATATTTTTGTTGTTTATTAGAAAGAGATGCAAACAAAATACTTGTCATCACAAGAATTATGGATTTATGACACACTCATTGAAAAATGGTTTGAATTATACTATATATTAGCAAATTATAGCAATACTAATAGCAATTTTATGACCATTGAGGTCAATGAGGAGATGTACGGGTGAAATGTCGACTACTGACATACCGGCGGGCACTTCGGGCGCCTCGTGTATCATCAGTAGTCACTATCTCTATATGTTTGGCGGATATACTGAAGAGGGAAACTCCAATCAACTCTTCAGATTAAACCTAAAGAACTTTCAATGGAAACAATTGGAACCATTGGGAAAAAGACCGCTGGCCTGTGATAAAAGTGTTTGTTGGATATATGATAATAAGTATTAGTCTATTATTGATTTTGAAATACACCTAAAAATATATTTTAATTAATATTAAATAATTTTGAAAGAATGTACTTATTTGGTGGTTATGGATGCGTTCCCATTGAAACAAGAGATGAACGCAACTTTGACTTTGTTTATGATCCCAAATCTCATTGGGTATATCTCTAATATATATATATATATATATATATATATATTTATAATAAAACTATAATTAATTGTAATTTCTTTACTATCAAAAGCACTACCCAAGAGGTTGGAACAATCAATTGGTCTATTATGACCTTACATTTAACCAATGGGTTTGGTTTAAAACTGAGGGTAAGGTTCCTATTCCACGAGCAGCTCATGCCGTCGCAAAAGTTGGTCATAAAGTTTATATATTTGGCGGAAGACATGAAGAGTTAAGAATGAATGACATATATTCTTTAGATATGAAACAAATGTCTTGGACTGAAGTGTACTCTTTTAATGATAATAACGAAACATCAGTTCCTATCGGCAGATCGTGGCATTCATTTACACCATTGTCTGACAAACAAATTATACTTTACGGTGGTTTCAGTCAAGACAATAAACCACTAAGTGATTGCTGGGCATTAGATATTGAGTCGATGACCTGGTCTACCATTGATCTACCTTTTAATAAGCCAAGGATTTGGCATTCATCTATTGCATCGTCTTTTGGTGAAAGTAAGTCTATTAGTCTTTAGTAAACTTTGTTTTTCTACTCATTTTTACTATTGAAACGCAGTTATCATCTTTGGTGGTGCGACTCATAATATATTGGATTTACAAAACTTAAGAAATATAAAAGATGTAAGTTTGGTATTTCAAAAACAATTGATTCAATGATTTTAATGTTGAATTGACTGAAAAAATTTATTGTTAGCTTTACTCCGGAGATATAATAGTATTAAGATTTGTACCGAAATCGCTTCTAAGATTGTGTTTGGACGCATCGGTTATGAATTACCATTTGCTACACAAACAGTGGAAATATTTGCCACGAAATGTCAAACACATGTTAGAGCTCAAGAAAAATACTATTCAAACCAATTCTGCCGGTTCTTAAAATATTTGCTTTCAATCAAAAATAATAATAACATTTATATATGAATTAACATATTTACAGAACACAAGAATAACAAACTTTATATACCGTTATTATATATATATGATATATGTTTGCAATATTTATACTCCAAATACGATTAGACATTATATTTATGTTTATAATTTAATTATTGTGAGATTTAACAATAATATAATGGTTTTTAATTGTTTGCTAAATAATAAAAATAATAATTAAATTTAATGATATTTTTGATTCACATCTTAGTTATGGTAAATATTTGCGACAATTTTTTCTGAATTATCTTTTGTTTGATTGCTTTCATTTCTTTCTTTTTCTTTACTGTTTTCTTCAATTTCTTGGCCGAAATTCCTTCAAATTCTGATTTTTCAATTGATTTCATTTTCTTGTTTTGTTTACCCATTTCTTGTGTTTGACTTTTGTCAGTAATATCTTTACGTTTTTTCTTAGTTTTATCTGCTTTTTGTTTGTTAACTAAATTTTGTTTATTATTATTATTATTTGACTCATTCTTAGACCTAATAACTCTAAGTAGTCGTCCTCTAAGTTTAAATTCATTCTTCTCGAGAACCAAAACGACGCTATCTTTCGAAGCAAATGTAACGAAACCAAAGCCCTTTCCGACGCCAGTCTTTGAATCTCTGATGACTCTAACGGCTGAAATGTCGCCAAAATCATTGAATGTCTCATATAATTCATCTTCTTTTACGGCAAACGGAAGGTTTCCAATGAATATGGATCGGGAACTGTCGTGAGTCTGAGCATTGAGTGCCAAATCTACTCTTATGTGATGTCCATCTAATTCACTACCATTTCTGTTAATTAGGTAATAAACTGTTTAAAAGTTTGTTTTCAAAATAAGAGATTATATTCATACAATTGGAGAGCATTGACGGCTTCTTCTCGTTTACTAAAGACAACGTAAGCATTGATATTGTCTTTTATCGGATGAAAACTTTTACTAAATAATTATATAATAAAATTAATTTATCATTAGTTTAGTGACAATGTTTGTCTCAAATACAGTATTAATCAATTAAAACATACGTAATGACGGCCACCTTCTTCGGCATCTTTTCTTTTTCAGGTACAGCACCTCTCAATCTAATTGTCTCAATTGATCCATAATTCTTGAAAATGCTCTTTAAATACTGCGACAAACAATTATATCAATTTATTAAATAATTTTAAATCAATTGTCACAAAAAACTCACTTTAATAGTGATATCTTTTGGCAAATTTCCCACAAAAACAGTCCTTTCATTATTCTTCTCTATCTTTTCAGTCAAAGATTTTTTCCATATCTTTTTATTTCTTTTCTGTTTATTATTGTTAACTATTTTGTCTTTATCTTCACTGTCAGTATCAACACTTCCATTATTACGATTGTCTTCATTCTTCTTATTCTTATTATTATTATCTTCATTACCATTACTCTGGACATCAAACTTCTTCAATTCAATAATCTTATTGTTATTATTCTTAATATTTACGCAAAACTTATTCATCGACTTCTTGTGTTTTTTCTCTTCATTTTCGCCGCTTTGGTCGACATCGATGTCTTGGTTTTTGTCGGACTTATTGATGATATTAGCAATGGATCCACACTTAAACATCTCAGACATTGTTGTCAAAGATTTAAATGTGTTTTTTAATTAAAACAAATTAAAAAAAACAGTTTAAAACCCAAAACACGTGTTAAACATATGAATGTGTTTTTCAAATGACAACAAAATCTATGACTTGTATTGAATGAACCCTCAGATGACACCACTTCTGGCATCAAATGAGTGAAGATATTGTTGTCACTAACGGGTCAAACAAATGACTGATTGATTGTAACCAACGGATAGTAAACCAAAGCTTTTGTCTTATGTTACATAAGTTATGTATCATTTCATGTGATTAACAATGGATTAGTTGTCTGTAATTATCTCTTATATTATCCGATATTTTATATGATTTGGTTTTTTTGGGTTAATTGTCGTCAAAACTGATTGACTCTTCATTTGACACAATTTTGTGATATTTTTGAATGTTTTTTATAGTTTAAAGACAACATCTAATCAATGGTTTTATTGAAAGTATCGATTGTTTGACATTATATTAAACCAAATAATATACCACAAGATGTCACATGACTTGATCTCTTCCAAAACTGCCACCGATGTCAAGCAATCATCACTTATCTGGTCGTACATCGAAACACTCAAAGATCCATATTTTGTGTCAAAGTTTCAAAACTTTTTCGGTATTCATGTCATTCGTAAAGACGAAAGACGACCCAAACAATTGACCATTGATTCGGTTAATCAGTCAAACGGTTATCAAAGATATGGAAGTCATTCAAATAATTTGAAAAAGAGAAATATGAAACAAGAACTGAATGGATCAGACAGTGAGTCGTACTCAACATCGGCTACAGATAATACAAGCGATGAAGAACCGGAACAGATTGACTATACGATTGACAATAAGTTTTGGTATTATTTGTTCAGTTTTGGTGCATCTCTTGGATATGAGATGTTTTACGCCTCATTCTTCCCGATTTGGTTCTGGAATATAGACAGTGCTGTCGGCCGAAGACTTGTTCTCGTTTGGGTTATTATCATGTATTTCGGTCAGGCATTGAAAGATGTAATCAAATGGCCGCGACCCGAGTCACCGCCTGTTGTTGTTCTTGAACCAGAATACGCCGTTGAATACGGTATGCCATCGACTCACGCAATGGTCGGATCTGCTCTTCCCTTCTGTCTCGTTATATTTACAATCAACAGATACGAAGTAATTATGATTTTCTCATAATTTTGTTGGTTTTTATTTACTGAAATTGTTGTCAAATGTTGTCAATCAGTACCCGCTTTGGATCGGAATAGTCTTTGCAATTCTGTGGTGTTTATTGGTTTGCGGGAGTCGTCTATATTTGGGAATGCATTCCGTTATCGTATGTTTTCATTACCTTTTTTCCCAATACATCATTAAATTTGTTTCTAAATTATTGTTTGTAAATCCGATAATTTGTAGGACATATTAGCTGGTCTTTTATTGACAGCTTTATTAATGATAATAATTATTCCATTGGTTGACGCCATCGATCACTTCCATCTGACCAGTCTTTACTCTCCATTGATAACAATACCATTAATAGTATTTTTGTCGACTGTTTATCCCAAGTCTGATCGCTGGTCACCGGCCAGAGGAGACACATGTATTATAATGGGTTCGGGCGCTGGAATTCTATTGGGTTCGTGGCTTAACTATCAATTGGGTATTTATAAGGGACCATCACTTCCGCCTCCTTTTCCAATATTATGGCCCGGATATGAAGTTATTGGTCTATCGTTATTAAGACTATCAATCGGAATATTATGCATAAGTAATGCTAATAATTATTTTATTATTAATTATGAAATAATGAGTTGTTTTACTATAAATATAAGCACAAAATCATTTACAAACAAACAAAAAATTAATACATTTTATTATACGATTGCTTTTATACTATTTATTATATGATGAAACAATCGTATAATAAAATGTATTAATTTTTTGTTTGTTTGTAAATGATTTTGTGTTTATATTAATATATATATACTATAGTCGCCGCCCGAGCCTTTGGTAAAGTCTTAGTTTTTTCATTGTTGTGTTACATACGAAATCTGGACCCAAGAGATCCAAAGAATAAGATTCGCGTCTCAATAGAGATTCCCTCCAAAGTAATCACTTATATGGCAATGGGTTTGACAATCACTTACTTGTCTCCAGTCGTTTTCAGGTTTCTTAATATAGAAAGAGTTACGATGTTTACAGAAATTTAATGTTAAGATTAAATTGTAGTTAATTTATTATGTATTTTTAAACACAAATAATTAATATATTATAATACAGTATAAACTAGAAATTAAACAAAATTTATATGTAGATTATAACCTTATGATAAATGATTTATTGTTTATAATTTGAAATTATAATATACACTCATTTTGTGCCATAACTGGACTTACATTAATGATTTCACTGACACTTTTGTTATTAAACCAATGATAAGACACCTGTGAATTATATTTTGTTATATAATGATAGAAAAAGTTCAAAATATAGTCAACTGTTTAGTTAAATAATCAAATTTTTATTTATTCAAATTAATGGATTAATTGTTAATTAATTTTTAAGTATAAATATTGTTTTTTACATGAATTTACAGATTTATTAAAATAAATTATTTGACTTTTGTTGTAATTATTAAGTATTTACCGGTAATTATTGAATTAAAATAAAGTTTTCATTAGTCATCGTCTTCTTCTTCTTCCTCCTCTTGTTCATCAAATTCTTTATAGACTTGATTTGTCTTTAAATCGAGAAAGTGTTTGTTCTGTAAGTCGATATCAGTTTTGTTTGATGTCTGATAAGTGTTGTGTTGATTGTTATCTTGAAATCCATGAAGAATTTCATCGATTTCTTCATCTCTCTTCTTCATAAGTCTTTCTAATGACAACTTCTCGACCATCAATCTGTTCCTTTGGATTTCAATCTTCGTCATTATGCTATCAATTAGTTGTTGTTCTTTCTGAAGATAAAGTAATTCTTTCTGAGTGTTGTTGTCGTTGCCGTTCTTTACGCAAATATCTGTCTTATTAGACATCGCTGTCACTAAACAATTTGATCCCAAATAAAAAAAAGTCAATCAATGCTTTCAATGAGTTATTCAAATTGAATGAAAACTTTACAACAAATAACTGCTTATTAATTGCTTTAAATTTATAGACAGTCTCTGATAGACTGTATGACTCCGATTGCAATACAATGTGATGTCAAACACATATAGGGGTTGTTATACCTGTAGTGTTGACTAAAATATTTGTCGGAACAATAGTTTTTGAAAATTATATAATTATTTATTATATTATGTATTAAGAAAATTTAAATCCAAACATGTGTTCAGTAATTTTGATTCAATTGTTTTTTTTAAATATAAAATTTACACTTAAATTCAATTTTATTTAGAAAATTATTCAGTTATTAACTTTAAATCATTTAACAACTCTAGAGTGTCATAGCATAGCATAATATCTAAAGTTCAATATTTTTTACATTTATTAATAGCGTTAATACTGTCTCGCATTGTATTTATTTGTACTATATTTATAATTGACATATACTAAAAAAAATCGTTTTTATTTGTAATATTTTATATCAATTTTTCAGAAAATTGTTGACAATTTTGTCAATTTTTAAGTCTACAAATTAGCCATTTTTCTAAATATTTAAAATCTTTTTGATTAAAAAAAAACTTTGAAGAAAATAATAATATAAATACAATCGTGTATTGCAATTATGATAGTAATAAACATATGTATCGATCATATAATTATTATTACATTTAAATTATTATTAATACTTATATCAACTATTTTTTGTTTGTTAGAGTTGTTATAAATAGAGTGAATATATTTATTATTATTAAATTATAAAGAAATAATAGATATTTATTATCACAACTTTTAATCAATAATTTGTTTTAAACGTATTTTTTCAATAATTGAAAATCAATTCAAATCATATAAGAAGTGAAAAAATGAATTTAAATTTTATGGAAAAATGAGCGGTTCTTAAGATTTACAATAAAATTACAATAAATTGATTTTTTATATCTGATACACACATCACACACACATTCATACTATACTCAAATCACTCACTCATTCATTCATTCAATTAAAAACTACACTCATATCATAAATATTGAAATATATCTAAATTATTATAATATATGTATATATTTATAAACAGTGACTCTTTGAGAGCCATTAAATCATCAGTACTTTCGCTGATTACATGTCTCTCTGAAAATTCTCCAAATTTTGGTCTGTCTTTTGTTAACAAATATAATCTACTTTAGGATTCAATAGAATTTTGGTATTCAGTAATTAATCTAAATTTTTTTATATAAAACATTGTTTCGATTTGTTATGAAAAATCTTATTAATATCTAATACTAATAAAAAAATTCTCGATATTTTGGGTGATTTGACGACATAATGTAGTTATCAGTTGTCATCGTCGACCATATCTTCAGGCAATTCGTGTGGATTAATAATTCCAGGAACTGATAGTTGAATGCGACGCTTCTCGTCCTCTTTCTGTCGAAGTGAGACTTCTCTCTCTTCGAGGAAAAGATCACTATTGTCTTCTCCTGCAAACTCCTATATAAAAAAACAAAATAATTTACGGTAATTAAAAAAACAATAAAAAGTTATATTATGAAAGCATACTCTGATCTGAACGAGAAAATCTCTTAAATGTTCCTTAAATGCGGGCACGTCTTGATCCAGATTGAAGAACCCCTGAACAGTGATCTTGATTTGTGCTTCAGTCAGATGTGGAAATGCAGTCTTTAAAAGATTCGCAACAAATTCTTGGACGTACTGGACATTTGTTATACCATTTGCTTGAATGGTTGGATTTAATGGTGTCGTAATCTTATTGGACTCAACAATATAGAACATATAGGCCAATATATTTGCTTGCATTAGCAGACCAGCTGTATGTGATGTATCGGTGACCACTGAGAACATGTGCTGAAGAATATCTGTGTAATATGTCTGATAAAAACTCTGCATAACTGTCTCTTCATTTCCAATATTCTCCAATAGTTTAAATAAAATTGAAAGTCCTGTGTCGGCAACGTTTCGCATCGTATGCTTAAAGGCCCAAATGATTGAGTCCAAGACCAGCTTGAATTGTGTCGGAGGGATATTGAGAAGCGCTTGGAAGCAAAAAGTTACCACTTGTTGAAGTAATAGGAAAAAATTAGTCCGATGTTCGGGAAACTCTTGAAAATCTTTGTTTATCATTTCAAGAGTGCACTCAAACACTGCGTCAAAAATTTTTGGTATTTCGGAAGTGATGTGATTCTTAAGATAATAAAATAAATATATTGTGAGTAAAATTATTTTACCGGTAATATATATTTTTAACTAAATAATAATAATTACCTCAAGTTTACTGACAATAGTAGCCATTGTTGAGAGAACTTCCGGTTCACGAGCTGAAGGCACAGTACATCTTTGATAATCGAGAAGAACCGCATCGAGTAATGGAGGGATAAAATTATCCAAAACTAGCTGTGGATCAGTGGATCGGGAAACCCAACCGGTTATCAATTTTAATGTCTCTTTTTTAACAGTTCTCATTGATCTTATAAGTGGTTGTTTTGTGACAACTTCTCCATTGAGAGCAATGGCAGCACTGATATTCTCACTCATAACTTTATAGACATTCAACATATCTAAATAAATACGACCCAATTGAGTCATATATGGATGACCCAATGCTTTACACGCCCTTACATTTGTTTTCAAAATATTACCCAATTGTTTGACAGCATCGGGATCTTTGAGAACATCTACATTTTTGGTGGCCTGATTTATTATATCATCCCACACTTGATTCGGTAAAAACATATACTTTTCAATTAGATGTTCTTGAACTGAATGGTCAGTTTGAGCGCTTATCATATAACCAACGGCTTCATAAAATGTATGAACCTTTCAAACAATAAATAAATATAAAAATACAATTCTTTATTATATGAAAACCATAAAAACCATTATACCTGTTGTGGTTGCAAATCACAAATGATAGTATTAATGCTGGTCAGGATCTCTTCAATAAATGGCATAACTTCTCCGACCTGGACCTGAACAAAATGTCGCCGACATTTCTGTGCGATCTTAATGAATGTATCACAAGCCATGTCTTGAACGCCTTCGTGGGTCTCTATAAATATGTTTATACAAATAGAAATCCATATAATGAAAAAATATTATATTATGTCGCCAATTGTCATACCGTGCATAAACTCAAACAATTTGTTGACAACTGTCTTCAAGAACTTCCAGTGCGCCCGAAGAAATCGTGGATATTGTCCGACAACATACATAATATTGGATGCAATGATTGCCTTATTATCTTTGCCTCTCTTCTGTTCACATAATCCTAAAAGATCTTTAATAACAGTGACTAGAAATCGTCGTTCATCTTCTTCACTCATCGCACCACTGATGGATCCAATAGCCCAACAAAGTGTGTTTAAGTTCCTCCACGACCACTCCGTGCCATTCACTTGATTGTGTAATTTTTCAGTCATTATCCTTTCAGTGTCCATACAATCCAAATGTGTTAAATAGACGAGTGTTTCTCTCATATTTTTGTATAGCTGTATAGAGTCTGTATCCTTCATGAACTCCCTGACCACTTCACCCTGTTCATTTTCCACAACCAACACTTCCTCTGGTTTAGCCATACGTCCAATCATTATATATCGGATTTTAGTTAAAACCGGTTGATAAAGCTTTCTTCGGGGAGCCATTGAGAAAGGGGTCGAACCATAAACGGAATGGGGTCTCATTACAGATGGTGAGGAACACATAAGAGGCGATTCCCGATACAGTTCAGTGGCCAAAGCACCCCAATATTCGAGACAAATCTTAAATATTTCCACTTCATCCACTTCGGAGATTAATAATAAATAATGAAGAGCACCCAACAACACTGTTTGCAGAGACTCGTCTTTTTCCAATAGCTGTGAATGTTCTTTAAGAAATGTACACAAAAACAAACTCAAATTCTGGATCAACTTCTGTTCCTCATCCTGTCCATTGGCGTAGTTGTCTTTGATATTGGAGTTGGGAGATAGCATCTGTTCCAACTGAGTCATTGTTGATGTGAACATCATTACAAACATTTCCTCGTAGTTGACAGCTTTAACGGATGCGATTTCGGTTAAACACTTCAGAGTTACGTTACGAAACATCGGAACACTTAAGAACTATTAAATAATAAAAAATTAAATTAACAAATCAATTGGCTGTTATTTTATTGACAATAAAATACCTTAAATATTAGTGCATTTATAAGACCCGTTTCGAAGATATATCCCAAAGGAATCCAATTTAAGAAACGCAACAAAGTTTCTAAAGTGCACTGAATTAATGGTATATTATTAGAGTTCTCCATCACGAACTGACATAATGTGAACACTTCACGGAACTGCTGACACATCGTGTCTTTTAAATGTTTGGCTTTCGCTTGTGTCATCTGACCAGAAGAAAAGTCAAACACTTCCTCACTGTCCATAAATAATAGTTTATATGTTAACAACATTGTCAGTCAAATTAAAACCAAAGTTAACACAAACCTCAATAGTTTTAATATAATCATATTATTTTGACAAAGACTTTCATTGGTTTTGGATGCGCCGCATATATCGTTAATAAAATTTGGCCACTTCTTAGGCCATTCCCTTTTAAGAATCTGTTTACAAAAATTATATATAAATATCATAACAAATAAAATAAAACATTAACTATAAGATAATACCTGAACTAAAATCATATTTAATTTGTTTAAATAGACTTTTTCTCTTTCGAGTGTCGATGAATCAGATGATGTCTTAATGATGAGACCGACGATGAACTTTTTGATGCCTTCACACTGATTCTCTGGTAATACTTTCCATCGAGTTTTGATCAAATTTTCGAGGATTTGTAGCGCATAATATTTGGTCTCTTGATTACCAGAAAACTCAAGTATTGTGTCCACTCGTGTCCACGCGTCCGGGTGTTCCTTAAGATTGGTCAATATCTCTTGGGCCACACGTTGCTGTTGACCTTCACCGCCGTACATGCAATTGACGACACCATCTAACAAATTGATGTCCAATTTCTGACTGAAATCCAACAATTTTGTTGCTTGATCTGCCAGTGATGTCATAGCATTGCCATTGACTTTAAAACAAATATCTTATATTAAAAAAAACTAAACAATTGAGTGATATTTTAGACATACGCTGTGGTTGTCCGCAAAACGCATTCGTCGGACTACTGATGGCATTCTTCATGCTATCAATGGTTGCGTTCATTGGGTTTGCATTTATCTGAAGACAAATAACAACTTTAATGATGACATAACAAAATGCAAACAAATATGAATTTAAATACCTGTTCTATCATTAGATGATAACAAAGTGGTTACCAATGAGTTGATAACAGTGTCGGTGAAGTAATTCCTGAAGAGTTCAACAATAAGAGTGATAAATGTAAATAAATCGTTAGTTAGACGTTATGTTTGACTCAATCCGTCAATTGTTTGACTCAATTCACAACAATTTGCGATATCTGTTGACAAGTGTCGACACAAATGCTTGTCATTGATGTAATTGAATGAATGGTCGACACAATTGACGTCTTGAGATATGAAGACAACGTGTCTGTCGAGTCATACCTTTAGCTCTCAATATTGTATTATATATATTGTGTCCAAACAGACAATAACATAGACTTTAAGCCACTTTTGCTAACAAATCAAACACTTTATTGTTTGTCGCTTTCAAATCAATTGTTTGTTTGTTTTTTTGAAATTGTCTTTCAATTGATTGAATGCTTAATAAAATTATCAGTTAATTGGTTTGTCATTAAATTGTTGATTGAATTTAATGGTGAAAATGATTACAATTTCGCGCTATCGATGTCTCCAACCATTTCATAACACATTGAATGCCGCCATAACTCATACCAATCATTACAATACCGGTTCCAACCAGTTCTGGACGACCACTCATACTAATACATATACATATACACAACACAACAATCACGTCCAATATATAACAACCCTTATATACAAAATAAACATTAACTCATGACTTACCCCCTAACACGTCATGACTGGACTGTCCCCACACGTCAATCACAGACCCCTCCCCTTAAACTTTTCCATTGATTTGATGAAAACAATTGCAATTTGTTTGCCATTAGGCGGCGCCTCCTGTAGTGTGTGTGTGATGTCATTGTTTTGATTGCTTTTTAAATTTAACTATATTTTTCTGATTATAACTAATGTTATTATTATTGCAGTAGTTTTTGATTTGTAATTTTGTTATTTAATGCATGGATTTACTAAAAACTATTACTTTATTATTAATTTTTTAAATTCTCTAAACATTTATACTGTGATTAAAAAACATTAATTTATTGAATATTTTTATCGCACTTATGACTAAACTTTTTCTTCTGTAGACATTTCACTGTTATTTCAGTTTAAAGCAGTTTTGATGATAATGTTTGTTAAGTTGCAATAATAGAGTATTACTAGTAGTTATGGTTAATAAGCAGTTATTCATTGAAGTAAATGTTGAGAAAAGTTGTTATGAAGTATTAGTTAAGTATTGGGTGCACATCAACAACGACTATTGATTTTCATATAATGTACAATAATTTTTGCATCATTTAATATAAAACTTGATATTATTTTTATTATTATTTATAAATTACAAATAGCTATTAATTTGATTTAATTGATCATTTTGTTAATAATTACATAAATGATTGTTATTTATTAAATAACATTCAATGCTTTAAAAAAATTAATGGTTTGTAAGATAAGTTGTTTGACCACCAAATTGTTACAAATCTTATGGTTATAAGAAATGTTTTTTATTGTACACTTCATGAGAGCTAACTTATCAACAAAATTGTTAATTCATTGTTTGGTTGACAAGAATTTCTTGTTTTTTTTTTTTAAATTATTATTTAGAATAAATATTGTGATTATATATATATAACAAAAAAATTTTATTTTTTAATAAAATAATTTGATATTTTTAGAAATACATTTCTCCCTATTATAATAGTTTATCATATTTACTATAAATGAATGCTTTTATATACTATATAAGACTAATAATAATACTGTAATAATAACATAAATATAACTATTGTAATAATAAAATTTAAATCTTTAATAAAATATAATAATATTTAAAGAAATTTTCAATTTCGTGGTTCAATCAGTAAAACATCCTTATGTTATGCCCTACTTATGCTATACATCCTATTCCTATAGGCTCAAGGTATTCGGTTTTAGCTAAAGGTAACAAACATCATATAATTCATCTGGATCATTGTTTACATGTATTAAAAAATAAAATTTTAAAAACAAATTACAATTTTAAATTTATTGCAGTTAATTGCATTTTATCATTAGATAATAATTTTTTCAAATGAACTATAAAATGCAATAAAATAAATTATTAAAATTATTTTTTTTATAAATGATATGAAAAATGTTAGCAAAAATTGTTTAGCAATTTGGGAGATGCCCTGCATATTGCTGTTAATATCCTTGTGTTACGAGAAGCACAGTTATGTGTGAATTAAGTGATGTGTGACCTTAAGAGGATGGGAAGGCTGGCGACCCTGTCATACAAGAAGCGGGCCAATGACTCAGCCCATCAATTAGTGTATGGGCCGGTAGGACACTATATAAACCAAACAAATATTCATTGACTTAGTATTTATATGTAGACACTTCTGGTTTGGATACTATCCGTATTGTTAACTGTGAATATCTCACTTGGATTACACCAAAAAAGTTTATATTATGTAAGTTATATGCTTTATAATATTATATAATGTGTATTATATTTGTTTGATGTTATGTTTCTAATGTTTAAAATGCTAATTTTAAAATGTGTTATTATATTTTATTTAAAAACAATATCTAATTAAAATTATTATTAAATATAATTATATTAATTATATTTATATTTTAATTTAATATGATAGTTTTAAAAATTAACCTATAATTTTGAATTTATTTTATAATTTTTACTAAAGTATCATGTTTATTTTAAGAATAAGTAATGTACAATATAGTTTATATTTGTAATTATTTAATAGTTATAATTATTAATATTGACCATTTTATGCGTTATTTCTATAAAACTAGAGATAATTATAATTTCTAGTTTTTTAACTAATATTATGTGCGAAACATATTTTTAAAAATTTAGTCTTAATATAAGTTAAATAAAATGTTGTGAACTTCCTTAAATTTTGTTTAAAAAACAACAAAATAAGAGATTTCTTTACAAACATGATTATCAATATTATATAACATTGTTATATTGTAGTTTATTTTAATTATTTATTTTCTATTAGTAATTTGTTGTCTCATTGTTGACAAATTTACATATTTAAACTTAATAGATTATTATAAAGCATTATAAAAATTAAAAACCTTATCTATCTAAATGAATAAAACCAATCAATGTTTTTTATGTAGTTTTAATCAAATCTATTCCTAAATAAAAATAGATGAACTTTTGAGATACTTAATAAAACATTTGATAAGATTTTTTCATATATATAAACAATTAATGTTTTTTTAAATACAATAAGGAATAACACATTTCATTGAAATTCATGTTATTTATTAGTGAGGCATACCTTGAACTTGAAAAACAGCCTTTCCTTTAACTAATGATTAGGGAAGCGTTTGGTACGCAGAGAACCGGAACTATATTAGCATTACTTGTCTTGACTACAAAATTACATAAATTTGGGTCAAGTCATTGAAAAAAATAGTTTTAAAAAAAATATTTCAAATAATTTTCAAGTGTTTTCAAACATTTGTTGTTATCGTTTGAATAGTTGTTAAGTCAAGTGTTTGAACTTTAATTTTTTTCTAAAATTAATATCTTATTAAAAGTTTTATTTTATAATTTTTAAATTTCATTAGAAACTATGAAATATCACGTTATCTTTTTGCTGACCATTTGTCTGAGCTTTTGTTTGGCTCAAAAGTCAGACAATGAGACAGACACCCAAAGACAGGGTCGGGAGGAAAGGAAGTTCCGTTTTGAAGAAGACAAGAAGGAATTGTCACAATTTCTTAATACCAAAAACATTGTTAAAACTGTTGTAAAGCTGTTGTTTGGCTCCAGTGAGGAAAGCTCTGCCACATCTCGACAAGTCCTTAATGTTTTAGTTAAAGTATGTTTTATTATTATTAGTATCATTTGTTTTCAATTGATTGAATTCATATTAATTAATAATTATTATTATTTATTTATCAATCAGGTGTTAGATATGTTGAAATCATCATTTGGTCAAAGAGCCAGATCTTCATCTGCAAGAGGTCTGCGCGACTCTATCGATGACGCGGCTGTGGCCAGCATTTCAATGGTTAAAGGATACGTGCGATCGATACTAACAAATGACGAAATTTGTGCTCAAAAGCATACGTGCGAAGCGGCTGCCAGAGCATCCCGGGAGGGACGCGAACTCGGATATCTTATCGCACAAATGGGATCGTATGTGACCTATCAGATTCATATATAATTTATATATACTTTATAATTTAAATTTATTATTATTTTTTCTAATAATTGACTTTTTTTTATTTGAAGTTATGCCTCAAGCTATCTGTTGGAAAACCAGAAGTCCATACCATTCAATACCAACTATGAGGCCTCACGACAGGGAAGAAATGGAGCCGAATGTGCAAAGTTGTACTCAACCTGTAATGAAACCGATTAACTAACTGTTGTTTTGCATGTTTTTCAACATTAAGTCTTGTTTTTCAAACTTATTCAAAAAGTCATCCATAATATTGTTCATAAGTTATTTAATAATAATTATTATTATCGACTATTAATAGCTAATTGTAATAATCCTCAAAACTATTGTTTCTAATTGAATGAATGAATTGATTTAATTTTACACAAAACAAACAAACAAAAAATGTTTCGAAGAGTTTGTTATTTAATTTTTGAGAGAAAGTGTTGACCATCTTTACGGATGAATTCATTTTTTATACATCACTGATCGCACCCTTCAATCGTCTACTTATTTATTGAATTCACGCTTTTATTTATTTATAATTACTTTTTCATTTAAAAAAATTATGTAAATTAACTTATGTTCAAATAATAATAATAATAAATAAGTTTATATTAATCTAATTTAATTTAATACTGTAATACTTTAGATATTTATTAAAATTATTTTAGTTTATTAGTAACTTAATTCATAGGTATTGTAAAAAATAAAAGATTTATACTAATAATACTGTATGTATCTTTATTTAAATTATATTTAATTAATTATATGATTATAAATTCAATAAACATTTATACTGCACATCATTTCATAATATTAATAATAATATTATACTATATTAAGATTAATGAAAATTAGTAGTTTATATAACTATCCTATAATTATCTGATGTGCTATTTAAGTGCACTATAATTACTGTATCATTCATTAGTTATATAATAACTATAATTTATGCTTTTGAATGCACTTAAATTAATATTATTTATTAAAATTGTATTAAACTCTATATAAAGCAAATTTTTATATTACTTTAAAAATAAAGTATTTAATAGTTTGTTATTCTCATAAGTGTATATTATAATATATATAATATACACCTATCTATCATTAGAACTTACATTTTATTTTTTACTAAATACCATGAACTTTGACCTCCGATAAAAACATTGTCCTTGAAATTAATCAAAGCCAAGTTTATGGTAATCACCAAAAGATATTTTTTAAATTTTGTAAACTAAAAAATTGTTAATTTAAAAAATGAATAATTTTATAACGGATTATCTTGAGATTAAAATTTCTAAATTATCTTAATTTTTACTAAATTACTTATATATTTCTAATAAATATTAGCCAACATATGTTTATTACTTTTGATGAGTTAACTAAACGTAACACAAGATATTGGCTCTAATATTAAAAATTAATTGGCAATACATTTACGACCCATTGATCAATAATTTATAATTAAAACAAAATAATTAATTTGAATAACACTTACATTTGACATTAGTTGATATACTGAAAAACTTTAGTTTTTAGCGGAAAGATGCCAATTGATGTCAATGTAAATGTTATTCAAGTGTGTGCTCTCTCTCTCTCTCTCACATCAATAATATATTGATTCAATTCATTCAAAAAAATTTTACCAAAAGTTGTTTTTATCCACAGTTTAGTATATGATGTCATAGTATGTGTTTTACACGAAAGAGGCATTAAAGAAGTATTAGTTTTAATTTTAATTTTTAAACCTTAACTAAATAATTAATGGTTTTTTTAGATCAAAACTAATAATACCGTAGTTTTATTAAAATATAAAATATAAAACAAAGTATTTGTAATGTACTGTATAACTATTATAAAAACCCATTATATTTTATTTAATAAATTAATAAATTAAATTTCTAAATGCTTCTATAATGGTATTAAAATAATTAAATAATAACATTCGATAATTAAATAAATTGTAATTAACATTGTACTGTAATAATTAATATAAGTATAGAAATTATTTAATTATTAATTTAAAAAATAAAATTATGTTTACATAGCATTAAAGTTATATTGATTTCTAACTATGAATTTCTGACAATACATTCACTAAAATATATTCAATAACTTAATTGAATTTAATAAAATAAAAAACCTTTAGTATATAACTATATTTAAAGATTACATACAATTTATATGATTAAAAACAACATTTCTATTAATCGGTTGAACACAAATGTATATATCATATAATGTGAAAAATTATGGATTTAGTGTTTCTTAGGTTTTTTTATATGAATTATATTTGAAGGCCAGTACTCGTAATGAGTTTTGAATGTCTGTCAACATCAGAGATATTGCACTAACATTGATGTTGATTGTAATGCTTATGTATGAGCTATGGGTGCTCTCTTAAGGCAGAGAATCGTTGAGAATATAAGAGAGAACTTAATTCTGTTGTCGGTTGACGTCAGAGCTCTGTTACCCGAACTACCGGAGCCTCAATTGAGTGTAATAGGAGAGAGCATCAGACCGTTGTACTCCAGTTTATAGCAGATTCTGATCGATAATAAAGTGACTCTATTTTATATATTATATAGATTTTAGTGTTTAGAGGAAACATCTCTTTTCTATACAATATGGTTAATATGTTTGCCAATACAATGGTTGACTATAATTTTAAATAGTGATTTTATTTAATAAATAAATAAAACATTTATTTTTATTAAGGAATTCATAATCGATTCCTTAAAAATAAATTTTAGTGACCACTCTTAGTGGAGCCTATCTGTCGGGTGTCATGTTTCAGTGCCGGCCAAACATATGTACAATCGGTACCAATCGTAATGGCAAACGACTAGTCATACGGTCATTAAGTGTTGTCTTTGGTTTGATTATCTTCTGTATCGCTAATATAACTATAACTCATTGTTCGCCACAAGTCTTCACCAATACTTTTTTGGTTAGACTTAAACGCGATTCAGACCAACATATTGCTCATCAAATTGCTAAACGAAATGGTTTTATTAATTTAGGCGCCGTATGTATCAATCAATTTTTATTTATCATTTACATTATCTTTTTTATTAGTATTCAATTATCATATATTCTATTTTATATTTATATTAAGTAATAATATAAATAAAGAATATTCTGTTATTTAATACATTTATTGTACACTATAATCATAATATATCAGATTATATATAATCAAAGTGTATGATCTAAAAAATGGTAATCTAATTATTTTTAATATCTATTAACAACATTATTATAATTAGTTTTTATTATAATGTTATAATAAAACACAATATTAATTAACTAAAAAGAATATACTATATTATATTTACAATTTTATCAATAATTAAAGTAATTTTTATCTAATTTATAATTGTTTAAATAATTTATAATTTATATTAACATATGACCATAAATTTATATTTATTATAATATAGATAATAACATAATAATTATTTATTATATTAGAAATACTATGATATAAAAGTATAAAATATTGATAATAGGTATTAGGATCGAGCAATGAATACAATTTTATGCACCGCGCGATACCACACGCCAGAAGCAAACGAAGCATATCTCACCATAGATTACTCAAATCGGATCCATCGGTAAGTCATTATTATTATTGATATTTACAAACCATTTACAGATTATTATAATATTTTTTATTTCATTAAACTTTTTAATTTTTTAATAATATTTATGTTAATATAAATTTAGATAAATACTTATTAGACAAATATTGACATTACTATTTTCTGTTTATCTGTAAACATAATATTAGATATATTGAATATAAAATAAATAATAAATTATAATTAGATTAAAAGCTTATTTTAATTTTTTAAAGTATTTTTTTAAATATATGATTTAAAAATCTAATTTATAAGTTATTTTCAAATTTTCAAATTATATATCTTATCTAATATCAAGTTAATGTATTAAAAATATATTAAGTTTATGTAATATTAAATTTTACATTAAAATAAATAACAGCTGTATAAAATATTAATTATTAATTTGTTATTAACTATTATTTTCTACATATTTTTAAACGTAGTTAGTTTGTTTTGTATTGTTTTATCAAGAACAATTTATTTTGCAATATTTAGATTTTTTGTTTTATTTAAAATTAATAATTAAATACTGTATTTGTATGATAATTTCAGTAAATATAATTTACTGCTATTTACAAACACATTAACATTTATGATACAATATTTAACTATTTATTAAATTTATAAATTTTATTTAAACATTTATATACTATATTCAATACAACACAATGAAACCTTATAAAGATAAATATTGTAATTAATAAAATAAAATCATCAATGTACAGTATAATACACAAAAAAAATTTTGTTTTGTTTTATTTTAATTTTTTATTTAAAAGTAAATTTAGTATTTTTAATTTAAATTCAGTTACTCGATTATATTTATTTATAATTTCATATTAATTCAAAATAAATTTTATATTTGCAATTTATATTATTAATTTATTATTAAACTCAATTTATTAAAGTCAATTTTTCACTTATAAATATTTAATTAGATATGAGTTAAGATAAAACCAGTTGAGAATGCTAGAAAGCATTTCCATACGAACTCCTAATCCAAATTAAAAATTAAATTAAAATCGAATGATTAAGTATGACATGGATGTGGACTCCACATTGTGGAGTAACAAATCACTCAGTATCACAGAATAAACTCAACTTTAGTAATATGGGGTATCAAATGACTCAGTATGACAAAATAAACTCAACAATTCATATAGGTTATCTAATGACTGTATGCAAAAAATAAACAACCTTAGTTATGTGGAGTATCAAATGATTCAGTATAAAAAAATAAACTTTACTATAGCCATGTAGGGTATCAAATAACTCATTATGACAGAATAATCTAAACTTTAGTCATGTGGGGTATCATATGATTCAGTATAAAAAAATAAACAACAATTCATATAGAGTATCAAATGACTAAATATGCAAAAAATAAATTCAACCTTAGTAATGTGGGGTATCAAATGACAGTAGGACAAAATAAACTCAAACAATTCATAGAGAGTATCAAATAACTAAAATATATTATTATTTTTACTATAAATATAACTTAAATTTAAAGAGTATTAACTCAAGCTTTATTTTATCTATTTTATTTAAGATATAAAAATTTGTTTGCTAATTTCATATAACTTATTTTTAATGTTTAATTCCAATCTAAGTATTAAATATTAATTTTAAAATTTTTGTACTTTGGCCGCCATTTTATATACGTTCTTAAAGATATTCCTTTCAGGAGTTCGTGATTACATAACTTAACTTATTATATTTAACTAAATATTTAAAATTTTATTCTTATTAAAATAAAATCTTAGTTTTGCACTTTTAAAATTTTTTTTTATTACACAAAACAAATTAATATAATTTTTTTATTAATATTACATTATTGTAATTTCTGTTCACTAATGTTCACATTTCATTAAAATGAAATTAACTGAAATTTTCTTAAAATTACAACTCTATTTATACTATTTTTAAAATTTTATTAGCCAATAAGATTCATTTTAAAATTTTAATAATGACTGTTTTTTCTTAATTATGACCATCTTTTTTGTTCTTTTTCATAATTTCTGAATATTTATTGCTGTATGTATTACTCATATATTATTGTTCTTTTCTATAACCTCTGAATATTTAGTGCTGTATGTATTACTCATATATTTTTTTTCTTTTCTATAACCTCTGAATATTTAATGCTGTATGTATTACTCATATATTATTGTTCTTTTCTATAACCTCTGAATATTTAGTGCTGTATGTATTACTCATATATTATTGTTCTTTTCTATAACCTCTGAATATTTAATGCTGTATGTATTACTCATATATTTTTTTTCTTTTCTATAACCTCTGAATATTTAATGCTGTATGTATTACTCATATATTATTGTTCTTTTCTATAACCTCTGAATATTTAGTGCTGTATGTATTACTCATATATTATTGTTCTTTTCTATAACCTCTGAATATTTAATGCTGTATGCAGTCATGAGGAGCAATTGAACATAATCCAATCATAGAGTTGAATTTTTTATTTTAATAAATAAATATTGTTATGGTAATAAATAATTATATACTAAATGTTACTATTTGGAATAAATTTTTTTATTAAATCAATGTCACTGTCAAGTTATGTCTCAACAATATTTTTTTTAAATAAAAATTCACAAATTCACCTTTACATATTTAGCACTAATATGATCTGTGGCGTGTCAATTGCTCCTCATGACTGGCTGTATGTATTACTTATATATTTTTGTTCTTTTCTATAATCTCTGAATATTTAGTACTGTTTGTATTACTCATATATTTTTTGACTTTTCTAAACTTTTTTTATAATCTCAATATATTTTTTTTGTTACTTATATTTTATGGATTTTCTAAAACCTCTGATTATATATCAAAATTTTAATACTGATATTCTTTACCTATTTTTATGCTCTATTCAAATTTTTACTTTCAAATTTAATTTCTTTTTTTTGTACTTTTGCGGCCATGTTCCCGAAGAGATATCAAAATTTTAAACCATATTTTTTATGCTTGTTTTTGATGCTTTATTCAAATCTATACTCAAAAATTTTTACCTAAATTTTTCACTTTGGCCGCCATTTTCTCTATGTTCCCAATGAGATATCAAAATTTTAATGCTGATCCCCTATACCTTATTTTTGATGCTTAATTCAAATCTGAAGTCAAAATTTAAAAATTCAATAAAAAGCGGACGGACGGAAGGACGGAAGGACATATAGAATTCAGATACGTACTCCTTTCAGGAGTTCGTGAAAAATAATTAATAATAAGTTAGATAAATTATTTTTAAATATAATAACCTAATATTGTTTTTATAATTTTTTTATTATATAACTTGTACTATTAAGCAACAATATATGCTGCAAAATATAATATGATATTTTTATATTATGAATTTGTCTAAACATATTATTATAAATTTTAAAATATTTATTATTAATATTCATATAATATTTATTATAAAATGATTGATCGATATTTTTTATTATTAAATAATAATAATTACCTTACATATGATAGATTGCATTTGCAACACAACAAATAGGATTTAAACGATCAAAAAGAGGTTATAATAAGCTAAGACTCGGTCCCGAAGACTTGTCGCTTAACAAAGAGCCAAATGATCCATATTTTCAATATCAATGGTATTTAGTAAGTATTGAAATTTAATTAAATATTTTGTGACACATTTATTATTAAAAAACTATTTATATTTTTAATTATTTCAATAGAAAAATGTTGGACAAAATGGGGGCAAAAAGAGACTTGATTTAAATGTGGAAGCTGGTTTGTCTTTTAATTATTACTTTTAATTATTGTATTATTATTATTATATTAAAATATTATATTATAGATAATTTTAATTAATTTATCAAATTTCAATAGCATGGGCGCAGGGAATTACCGGCAAAAATGTTACCACAGCTATTATGGACGATGGTATGATTGTATTCATATATATATATTTATCATTTATATTAATGATTGATAAACAAAATTTTCTTTATTTTTAATTTTAGGCGTTGATTATATGCATCCAGATATAAGAGAAAACTATGTATGTATTATACTATACATTGTATACCTTTATATGCTTTTTTAATTTTCTAAATTACAATTGAAAATTGACATTATTTTCAATTCAATTAACAGAATGCCAGAGCCAGCTATGACTTTAGCAGTAATGATCCGTTTCCTTATCCCAGATATACTGATGACTGGTTTAATAGGTATTTATAATGAGTGTTTGACGTCAATGACTTTATTTGATAAAAACAATATAAATATATAATTTTAAAGTCATGGCACCCGATGTGCTGGAGAAGTGGCAGCTAAAAGGGATAACGGTATTTGCGGAGTCGGTGTTGCATACGATTCAAAGGTAGCGGGAATCCGGATGTTAGACCAGCCGTATATGACTGATTTGATTGAAGCCAACTCAATGGGTCACGAACCGGATCTTATAGATATATATAGTGCCAGTTGGGGCCCAACTGATGACGGAAAGACAGTGGACGGACCAAGAAATGCAACGATGAGAGCTATCGTTCGAGGAGTCAATGAGGTTATAATCAATGCATTGAATTATCTATTTTTTAATTAATTTATTTATATTAAATCAAATGTAGGGTCGAAGAGGTTTGGGTAATATATATGTTTGGGCTTCTGGTGATGGAGGAGAAGATGACGATTGTAACTGTGATGGATATGCGGCCTCAATGTGGACAATATCGATAAATTCGGCCATAAATGATGGACAGAATGCACACTATGACGAGTCGTGTTCAAGTACTCTGGCCTCGACTTTTAGTAACGGAGCTAAAGACCCACACACTGGAGTGGTTGGTTGACTCTTATATTGAATTTTGATTTCTATTGATATTAATATTTACTATTAAAAAAATTTAGGCTACAACTGATTTATATGGAAAATGTACAAAAACACATTCGGGTACATCAGCCGCTGCTCCCGAAGCGGCCGGAGTTTTTGCACTGGCATTAGAAGCCAAGTATGAAATGAGAAATATATTAATTGTATTTAAATTAATAATTGAATTATTTAAATGATACCCACAGTCCTAACCTCACGTGGAGAGATATACAACATTTATCAGTATTGACATCAAAACGAAATTCATTATATGATAGCAAAAGACGATTTAAATGGAATATGAATGGAGTGGGACTTGAGTTTAACCATCTTTTTGGTTACGGTGTTCTCGATGCCGGAGCTATGGTTGCTTTGGCTAAGCTATGGAAGTCAGTCCCCCCGCGTTTTCACTGCGAGGGCGGATCTATCAACAGAATGGTTGCAATTCCATCAAATCAGAGTCTTTTCTTTACCATTGATACAAATGCCTGTAAGGGTACCGATTATGAAGTCAATTACAATGAACACATTCAGTCTGTTATCACATTAAACTCTACTCGAAGAGGTGATGTCACCTTATATTTGATATCACCGATGGGAACCAGGTTTGCTAATATATATATATATATTTTAATTAATACTAACATTAATTATATTATATTAGATCAATGATTTTAAGCCGACGACCCAATGATGATGAACGACACGACGGGTTTACTAAATGGCCATTTATGACAACTCACACTTGGGGTGAAAATCCGCGCGGAATCTGGAAATTGGAGGTTAGATTTGAGAGCGAAACTCCACAAATGGGATTCATTAAGGAATGGACTCTTATGATTCACGGAACTAAAGAACAGCCCTATAAGGACCTACCGGTTTCAGACCACAACTCAAAATTAGCAATTGTTAAAAAAGCACACGAAGACAGAAACAAACATTAAATTATACAAACAAAAGGCCAATCGATTAATATGTTGACAAAAAATATGCTATTATTTTTAAGTTGCTTTTTATTATTCACTAAATTTATAAAATTTATTTATTTATATATATATCTATATATCTATAATTACAATATTTGTGTTACATTTTTCAAAAATATTTTTTTTTGTATTGCTTTTCCAATATATATATATGTTTTATTGCTTAAGTTAATCAAATTCCATAATTATGGAAATATGTTTGATTGTATTTTGACATTTTAACAAATAAACATATTTCTATAATTTCATTATTTCTAATCAATTATTTTATTTTCTATTATTTGTGTATTTATATCAGTAATAAATGTTTCCAAAATAATTGATACAGAATTTATGAATTATAATTTAATAACACTGGATAATAGTTTTTTTGATATATAAATTTTCATAAAATTCATACAAATCGTATGCTAAAAAATTATTTATATATTAGTTTTTAAAGAAAACAACTTAAAGAGTACACAATGATTGTTAAATTTTTTAAAGATTTAATTGCTTAATGTATGTCATCCAGTGTTTACCTTTGTATAATTCATAATTAATTATAAATATATATTTATTGTAATTTGATTTATATATTATACAGATTAATTGTATTGTACAATAAGATTGCTAAAATTATATAATATAAATATTGTTTATTTTTAAATGTGTAAAAAATATCAATATATTGTGATTAATCCACCGAAACAAAAATAATTGAATTAATCTAAACACAAACTAATGTCTAAATTATAAATACTTTATCTATTTATCTTATTTAATATAAAAAATCTTTTTTATTTGTTTAAATTGTTAAATTAAATGTTGAAATAATTTTGTATACAAATTAGATTGCCACAAATGTTTTAGTCTATCAATTTGTTAAATTATATTTTTAAATATATATATATATATATTATTATTATTATTATTATTTAAAATTACGTGTTAAGTGATTTGTGAAATAAAGTTTGTGTTGTTTTTCTTAATGCATTTGTTTTCAAGTTGTTATATATTAATATTTGTTTTTAGTCTATATAATTAACTAATTAAATGAATCAAAAAATACATATAACCTATTAAATACATTGTATAAAACTTTATTTTCTATTCAATAGATTTTTAACAATTTAAAAAAATAAATTTAAGTACAAATACTCTTTAGACAATGTATAGTCTAATAGAGAATATTAACTACAGTACATATACACTAAACTTAGTACTAATAAGCAATAATAATGAAAATTAATTTCTTATTTTCTAAAATATTAATGTATATGAAATATATCAGGAAATTATCTAAAAAATTTCACAATTATTAGCAAATCTTATTTTAAGCCAACACTGGTATACATTATACCATACATATTACTATTATCCATGGGTCTCGTTCAAAATACCCAAAATCATAATATCTAATTCAAAATACCCAAAATCATAATATCTAATTCAAAATACCCAAAATCATAATATCTAATTCAAAATACCCAAAATCATAATATCTAATTCAAAATACCCAAAATCATAATATCTAATTCAAAATACCCAAAATCATAATATCTAATTCAAAATACCCAAAATCATAATATCTAATTCAAAATACCCAAAATCATAATATCTAATTCAAAATACCCAAAATCATAATATCTAATTCAAAATACCCAAAATCATAATATCTAATTCAAAATACCCAAAATCATAATATCTAATTCAAAATACCCAAAATCATAATATCTAATTCAAAATACCCAAAATCATAATATCTAATTCAAAATACCCAAAATCATAATATCTAATTCAAAATACCCAAAATCATAATATCTAATTCAAAATACCCAAAATCATAATATCTAATTCAAAATACCCAAAATCATAATATCTAATTCAAAATACCCAAAATCATAATATCTAATTCAAAATACCCAAAATCATAATATCTAATTCAAAATACCCAAAATCATAATATCTAATTCAAAATACCCAAAATCATAATATCTAATTCAAAATACCCAAAATCATAATATCTAATTCAAAATACCCAAAATCATAATATCTAATTCAAAATACCCAAAATCATAATATCTAATTCAAAATACCCAAAATCATAATATCTAATTCAAAATACCCAAAATCATAATATCTAATTCAAAATACCCAAAATCATAATATCTAATTCAAAATACCCAAAATCATAATATCTAATTCAAAATACCCAAAATCATAATATCTAATTCAAAATACCCAAAATCATAATATCTAATTCAAAATACCCAAAATCATAATATCTAATTCAAAATACCCAAAATCATAATATCTAATTCAAAATACCCAAAATCATAATATCTAATTCAAAATACCCAAAATCATAATATCTAATTCAAAATACCCAAAATCATAATATCTAATTCAAAATACCCAAAATCATAATATCTAATTCAAAATACCCAAAATCATAATATCTAATTCAAAATACCCAAAATCATAATATCTAATTCAAAATACCCAAAATCATAATATCTAATTCAAAATACCCAAAATCATAATATCTAATTCAAAATACCCAAAATCATAATATCTAATTCAAAATACCCAAAATCATAATATCTAATTCAAAATACCCAAAATCATAATATCTAATTCAAAATACCCAAAATCATAATATCTAATTCAAAATACCCAAAATCATAATATCTAATTCAAAATACCCAAAATCATAATATCTAATTCAAAATACCCAAAATCATAATATCTAATTCAAAATACCCAAAATCATAATATCTAATTCAAAATACCCAAAATCATAATATCTAATTCAAAATACCCAAAATCATAATATCTAATTCAAAATACCCAAAATCATAATATCTAATTCAAAATACCCAAAATCATAATATCTAATTCAAAATACCCAAAATCATAATATCTAATTCAAAATACCCAAAATCATAATATCTAATTCAAAATACCCAAAATCATAATATCTAATTCAAAATACCCAAAATCATAATATCTAATTCAAAATACCCAAAATCATAATATCTAATTCAAAATACCCAAAATTAAAATCTTCAAAATAATAATATCTAAACTTATAACATCAAAAAGCATTTGATCCAATTCAATTGATCCAATTCAATTGATCCAATTCAATTGATCCAATTCAATTGATCCAATTCAATTGATCCAATTCAATTGATCCAATTCAATTGATCCAATTCAATTGATCCAACTTAAATAATTCTAATAAAAATATCCAAAATTATTTTATATAAATCAAAATATATTTATTTCCAATAAATATTTTTAATAATAGGTAAAATTATTACTGTAAATTGTAATTACACTAATTTTGGATATTTTTATTTAAATTAATTTAGTTGTATCAAATGTATTTTGATATTATAAGTTTGGATATTTTGATTTTGGATATTTTGGATGCGACCGATTATCCATAGTATCGGTAATGCATTTATAGTACTGTACTGTACAGTATTTACGTACACTATTAGCTTTTAAGCCATAAAACCCACATTTATGTGTCAAAATTGTAATTGTAATATAACAGTAATAAAACTAAAAACTTTTTGTAGATAATATTTGAAATAAAGTTATAAAAAAAATTAATTATCATAAGTAGTAATGCAGTAATTTATAAGTACATAATAGTAGTAATTAATACATTAGTAATTTATTTATCAATTGAATTTTGACTCCAATATGTTATACTGTATTTGATTGAATGTATTAGAGTGTCATCTATTGACTAATTGTTTGTATAATTGTTGAGATGTCTGTCTGTTTGTGAATCATTGATAAGACAGACACGCCTTCACTAATGTATGTAATGTTGTAATGTATTGCATGTAATGGCTATAAAAGCATACAATCATTATTACAAACAACATATTAATTCTTGTAATACTAATCAATGTATTTATGAATACAAAAGTGTTTACTAAAAAAACTACTGTATTATTGAATTACATTACATTTGATTGAACAGTGCGTTGAGTCCAACAATCAGTTATAATATAATTGTTGTTTGTTTTGTCAATCGTTTTGATTAACCATTAATTGACACACTTTTGTACTTTTTGTATGAAATTGATGTCAAAAACTGATTGACTCAACACTAGAGTCCAATTGAATTGAATGATCATTTGATTGAAATGTATTTATATATAATTTATATATAATTTATATTAATATAATTTGCATTTAATAAAAATGATTTGTTTTAATGAATTGATTTAATGTCCGATATTTATAGATAACATATATATTAGCCATCGTTTGTAGCGATTCCTCCTGACTTTCAGAAGATGAAGTGATAGTCCAGTTGTGATATTGATTTGTTTACTATTTGTAGTAGTGATCAATAAGTGAGATCAATGTCAAAGACTATAATGTCCTCCAATAAAGTCGGCTTTTGGGCCTCAGAGAAGAAGTGCCTAAAGATCAATGTCTCCGAATTGGACAAGAATTTTGCGGCGAAGGGCTTTGAGTTGGTTAAGATGAATCTGAATGAACCGATTGAAACTCAGGGACCCTTCGCTGCAATTATCCATAAGTTGGCTGATGTTATGGTTAGGGCCCAACAGGACGACCCTTTGGCTCGCAAACAGATTCAACTCTTTGAGGTAATTATTAACTAATTTTTGTCATTTGTTTGTTAGTAGATCTGTCTTTCAATCACTTAAATCGATGATATGATGAAAGCAATAATAGTGTTAATAACTGAGTTATAATTGAATCAAATTGTATTGATTTAACAATTAAATATGATATACATTATAACATAATTATATTATAATTGAATTTTTGAAATTTAAAAAAATTATCAAAATATTAAAAACTTGTTTACATAAAATCTATAATACAGTATTATTTTAATATTTGTTTTAATTATTTTAAATGCAATGAAAAATTTATTACGTGACTAATATCTTATGATAAAATTTCTAATTTAGTCATATATTTAATTTGTCTATAATTTTATTTGAATATCATATATTAATTATCAAATTTAAGTAATACAATATTGTTTTTAAAAATTATTATTTGATTATATAATATCTTTAAATTACAAGTACCGATACATGAAATTAATTAACATTTACTATTAAAATACCAAATGTGTATTATTTATGAATTATTTATATAAATAATTTTAGTTTTATTTGTTTGTCTAAATTGATATCTATCTAAAAGTCGCCTAAATTAATATCTTGTTATATAAAAATCTATATATTTACTCTAATATCATATTAAATTTTGATAAAACTAAACTAATAGTACTGTAAATTTTGCAGTGTTTGAAATACTGTATTTTATTTTTATGTCATTTTATAACAATGCTATCATATCATAAATAATATAGACATTTATAAATAAATTTTTAAATGTTTATAATCATTGATGTCATTCAAGTTAATAACTAGTATATGATAAGCTAATAAAAGGACTAATTTATTAAATATAATTGATATCCAAGTTAATGATTAAATTAAAATTTGTTTTTATTTTTAAAAAAGTTATAGTTATATGTTTAAATCCATATAAATTATATAATCATTTAATTATTTAATCAAATTATTGTTTATTTAATTTTGTTTATTATATATTATAGGACTATATTAACAATCACCCAGAAGTGGTAATATTAGATCCATTAGATAATGTCCGCAAACTATTGGATAGATACCGACAATACAAACTGATTGATGACAGTGAACTGGCCCGTGAAGGTTAGCTTTTAATCAATAATTTTATTTATTAAACATTTTATTGATTAGTATTTTCCGACAAATAGATGGTGTGTTTACCCCAACATTTGTTGAGTTGACATCAAACGATGTAAATGAAAATCTAAATAAATTGAAGGCAGCGGTCGTTAGTTTTCCGTTTGGTTTGTGAATATTAATTGATTAAATTATATATCATTTAAATTAAGTTTTGCTATAGTTTGCAAACCACTTGTGGCACATGGATCCACTTACGCCCATCAGGTAATAATTGTACATCAAGTGGACTACACTTGTTGTTAAATATTTGTTTTTCGATAATATGATATGATTTTTCATTTAACTATTTTGATAGATGTCTATAATATTTGGCAAATCAGGGCTCAAAACAATAAGTCCTCACTGTGTCGCCCAATCATTTATCAATCATAATGCGCGACTCTTTAAGCTATTTCTTATCAAAGATAAATACTATGTTATTGAGAGGCCGTCACTCAAGAACTTTAAGCGCGGAGGTCTGTCTAACAATGAATTTATATTAATTTTATTATCATATTATGAATTGTTGTTATTTGTCATTAGATACCGATTGCGAGACTGTTTTCTTTGACAGTCACGACATTTCTAAACCTGACTCGTGCTGTGCTCTAACAGAATTAGATCCAACAGACCAGTCATGTCAACCAATACGTGATCCTGAAATGGAAAGACTCGACAGAATTGTTAAAGTTGTTTCACAGAAAGTGGGTCTAACTTTGTTGGGCATTGATGTCATCATTGACAATATGACTGGTCGTTATGCTATTATCGATATGAATGCATTTCCAGGTCTGAGTTCACAGTAATTAATGTTTAGTTGAGTTAAAGATTTCATAATTTTTAATTTTAAAATTTAAAATTAAGGTTATGACGGCGTTGACTGTTTTCTTCAAACATTGTGTGATATCACTGTTGAAGAAATAGAGAAAAAGAGGCAATCATTGGGTTTAACGAACATAATTAACGAATTAAGTGCCAGAAATGAGAGAAATGATTATTTAGAGACACAAACAAAGACTCAGTGCCTTTCATTACAATCTAATAGCGATAAGGACTGCAATAATACACAATTGAAATCTCCAATGATTGACAACAAATCAATTGATGAAAGAATAAGTTTAGTTAAGACATCATCGGTTGAGAAGAATGATAAGACTGTGATCACAAAGACGGCACAAAATGGCAATGATTTTGATTCAGGAATTGATACGTCAGACTCTTGCGATGAAAAGAAATATAAGAAGCAATCGCAGGTCAAAGTTGTCCGCAGACAACACTCCCGAAGTTTGACTAATTCCTCAAATGTCAGAATCGATGAAATAAATTCCATTTAAAGCTCTTTTTTATTGATTATATATATATATTGTATTATTTTTATTCCGAGTAATTATATATAAATATATATCTTTTTAATAGAATATAATTTTTCATTATATTTATATTGAGTGTAATTTATAAAATAAATTTTAATATATATAAATTTATATTATATATGATTTCCATATAATGTTTGTAATATTATTATATATAAAAAATGAAAAACAAATGATTTATCAAATTGGATAAAAGGAATAAATTTTATTAACTTTTTAAAATGATATTATTTTTATCATATTTTAACGCAAATTTATAGATGTAAAAAATATTTAAAATGTAAGTGAATGTTAAAATATTTAAAATTAAAGTTATTTAACAAATGTTAATTAATAAAGTATAAAACTTATTTTTAGTTTAATAAAAACAAATCTATGAAAGATTATTTAAAAGATTATTTAAGAAAAACACTTAAAAGAAATTAGTTATAAGTATTTTCATTATAAACTAAAAAACAATATCTAATTTATTATAATCATATAAATAGATAATTTGTTTTTATTAAAAATAAACATGTTGAAATGTATAAAGTTAATAATAAATTAAGTTGAATAATTTTTTCATTGTTATGATTATAAATTTATAATACTGTATTTAATTAAATTTAAAATTAAATTATGATAGTTAAACATTGCGATTACTTTTAGCAATTTATAATTTATCTCATATGTAGTTTTAATTCAAACATTTCTAAACATTGTACGAGTAATTAATTTTCAAATTATAATATACAGTATAGTACTAATATAATTATTATAATTATTATAATTATTATGTGAATATATATTTATAATTTACAAAATCACATATAAGTTATATGATATAACTGTATAAATATATTATATAAATTAAGTCTAAAATTTAATGACTAATCATATTTAAATAAATGCTCAAAAATAGGCGTTTCTATAATAACTGGTATTTAAAATTTAAATCCCTGTCCACTGTATTAAGTGTAATGTATAGTGTTTTCAAAATTTAAAAACTATTGTATTTGTTGTAAAAACAAATTTCCCAAAACAAACAAAATATTAGAAATTTTTTTGACAAAAAAAGTGTTATAAAGTATTTATCAAAATTTTCATATAATTTCACAATTAATTTATACAACAAATTTGAATCAAATTTAATTTAACAATATTTGACATTTTCTTACACATTATAAATGTATTTCAAAAATATTATATATTTTAAAATTTAAATCAAAAGCATTACTAATCAATGGTAACAATGAAATCAATTATCATATAGTTATTAATGACATTAAAATAGATATTTAATTGTAATATTTATAAAACAATATATGACCATGGGTATTTATATTTAATTGATTAATTCATCATGCTTATTCTATAATTATCATTATTTTCATATTATTTTTAATTTATTTGTTTTTAAATTGTGTTTAAATTAATTAAATAATTATTTGTTGTTAATTACAATTGAAATGTGAATCCAATAGTAAAACAATAGTAAAATAAAAAGTATTTCAATAATTATTGATAGCATTGATAGACAAACACTTGTATTAAATACTGTATAATAGAAATGCATTTAAATGTATATTAAATACAATGTAATAGTTATTCACATGAAGTCATGCTTTCATTTCATTCACACATTTAGTCATTCATTCGAATGCAATGTTTTCGAGAGTTTTCCAGAAACTTCTCGACTGTGTGTCTCATAACGCTATTTCCTACGTTTTCCGGAAAATAGTTCCAACTTTACATTTAATTAAAATAATTAAATCAATGATAAATTTATTGGAATTTTTGATTTTTATATATTAAATGAATGATATCTATAGTAATATATATGAAAAATAATTAATAAATAATCGGAAAACTAATGATTGATTAGACGACCGGCTTATGTGTTACACGTAATGTAATATTGCGCTCAATTCTGGAACATTCGTAGTCTTTATATAAGCCGAGGGTTTGAATGCATTGAAAAGCATTACAAGTATTGAAGCGATCGTTGAATACACGACTCAAGCATTCATTCATTCAATCGATTCATTGATTCAAAGCATTGATTCCTTTCTATTCTTTGAATTCATTAATTGATTCATTGATTTAATTATTTATCATTTGATTTGATTTGTGTCTCAACTTATTTGACACGAAATGCCGGAAAACACCGAAACCGAGACCTTTGCCTTTCAGGCAGAGATCGCACAACTCATGTCTTTGATTATCAACACTTTCTACAGCAATAAAGAGATCTTCTTAAGAGAACTGATCTCCAACTCGTCTGATGTAAGTATTAGTGGTATTATTGACTAATGTTTGGTGACTATAATAGTGGTAATGATTTTAATAACTAATTGTATTGTATTAATAGGCGTTGGATAAGATCAGATACGAGTCATTGACTGATTCAACCAAATTGGACGCTCAGAAGGAGCTGTTCATTAAGATTATTCCCAATAAGAATGAGAAGACATTGACAATCATCGACACCGGTATTGGTATGACTAAAGCCGATCTCATCAATAACTTGGGAACTATTGCTAAGTCGGGCACCAAAGCCTTTATGGAGGCTCTTCAGGCCGGAGCTGACATCTCTATGATCGGTCAGTTTGGTGTGGGTTTCTATTCGGCGTATTTAATCGCCGACAAAGTGACGGTTTACTCGAAACACAATGACGACGAACAGTACGTCTGGGAATCGTCTGCCGGCGGTTCGTTCACTATAACTCCCGATCCCGGAGAACCACTCGGCAGAGGAACCAAAATTGTCTTAAATCTTAAAGAAGATCAATTGGAGTACTCTGAAGAGCGACGCATTAAAGAGATCGTCAAAAAGCACTCGCAATTCATCGGTTATCCAATCAAACTGTTGGTTGAAAAGGAAAGAGACAAAGAAGTGAGTGATGATGAAGAGGAAGAAGAGAAAAAGGAAGAGAAGAGTGAAGAAGAAAAGAAAGAGGGCGGAGATGAAGACGAACCTAAAGTAGAAGACGTCGAGGATTCAGATGAGAAAAAAGATAAGAAGAAGACAAAGAAAATCAAGGAAAAGTATGTCGAAGACGAGGAATTAAACAAAACTAAACCACTTTGGATGAGAAATCCCGATGACATCACTCAAGAAGAATATGGCGAATTCTATAAGAGTCTGACTAACGATTGGGAGGACCACTTGGCTGTCAAACATTTCTCAGTCGAGGGACAGCTAGAGTTTAGAGCACTTATATTTATCCCAAAGAGAGCGCCATTTGATCTCTTCGAGAACAAGAAGCAAAAGAACAACATTAAGCTTTATGTCCGCCGAGTATTCATTATGGAAAACTGTGAAGAATTGATTCCCGAGTACTTGAACTTTGTTAAGGGTGTCGTTGATAGCGAAGATCTTCCACTAAATATTTCACGAGAAATGCTTCAACAAAATAAAATTTTGAAAGTAATTCGCAAAAATCTGGTTAAGAAATGTCTTGAAATGTTCGAAGAAATCGCAGAAGACAAAGAAAATTATAAGAAGCTTTACGAACAGTTCAGCAAAAATCTGAAGCTCGGTATTCACGAAGACGCCCAAAACAGAAAGAAATTGGGAGATCTCTTGAGATACTATACTTCGGCTTCTGGTGATGAGGTTTGCTCTCTTAAAGATTACGTTTCGAGAATGAAGGAAAATCAGAAAAGTATTTACTTCATTACCGGCGAATCGCGCGAAACGGTTGCCAATTCTGCTTTTGTCGAAAGAGTACGAAAACGTGGTTTCGAAGTCGTCTATATGGTTGAGCCCATCGATGAATACTGTGTGCAACAACTCAAAGAATACGACGGAAAGACTTTGGTTTCGGTTACCAAAGAGGGACTCGAATTGCCCGAAGACGAGGAAGAGAAGAAGAAACAGGAGGAAGACAAGAAGAAATTCGAGTCATTGTGTAAAGTAATGAAAGATATTTTGGACAAAAAAGTGGAGAAAGTAATCGTTTCTAACCGATTGGTGTCGAGTCCCTGTTGTATAGTCACGAGTCAGTACGGATGGACCGCTAATATGGAGCGTATTATGAAAGCCCAAGCATTGAGAGATTCGTCGACTATGGGTTATATGGCGGCTAAAAAACATTTGGAGATCAATCCGGACCACTCAATCATCGAGACATTGCGCCAGAAGGCAGAGGCCGACAAAAATGACAAATCAGTCAAAGACTTAGTTATGCTTCTCTATGAAACTTCTCTCCTGACTTCCGGCTTCAGTCTGGAGGACCCGCAAACACACGCCTCCCGTATTCACCGAATGATCAAATTGGGTCTCGGAATAGAGGACGACGACATTCCAATGGCCGAATCGAGTGCTGCCGCAGTCGCTGATGACATCCCACCGCTTGAAGGCGACGACAAAGACGACACGTCGCGTATGGAAGAAGTGGACTAAAAAACTATTCGCAACTCATTTTAATTACTTAATTGCTTTCAAATTCAATTAATTATTATTATTCTAATGTGTATTATTATTATTCATATTTGTTTGCAATAATTTAATTCATTATTTATATGTAATAACAAAATTCATTCAAAATATTTAGTAAATAAAAGTTTTTATTATTAATCGAATTCTTTTTATTTTTTTATATAATTGTCTCATTTGAAAGACAACAATAGTAACAAATTTAGTGCCTATTTATACAAATTAACTCTAATTTTATTTAACAAAAAGAACTTTTGCTTCATTATTATTATCACAAGTTTTGTAAATCACTTCAACACTAAATTTTTTTTAAAACATTTGTTTTACAAAAATTATATATTTTGAGTCAATTTCATGTTTATACAGTATATATGATATATTTGCATAATTTATGACAAAATAATCGTTTGATTAATTAATTGACAATTGACTAGCAAATGATTTCATTTAAATCAAACTAAATTATAAAAATAATACTAAATATAAATTATTTTTTATTTAATATAGCATTTGATTTTTGTTGTCTTTATATTTTATAATTAATAATCAATTGCTAATAACTTAGTTGTATTTAAATCTTTACAATTATTATGATTTTTACTGATTTAGTGATGAAAGTGACAACAAATTGGAATTCATTTCAAAATCAATTCAAAAGAAATCTAAGAAAAATATATATAATTTCCGTCAAAACGATAGGTAAAGTAAATTAATTAAAATAAATGTATTAATTAAAAGACTTAATTAACTCATCGATAAAATGAGTAAATATTTATGTGACAAATGTCCCACTAATTGTATTGTCAAAATTGGACAGTTTATGAGTCACACATACAAAGACTAGCAATTAAAAAATAATAACTAATTATAATTATATTAATAGATATATTAAATTTTTGTTTAAAAAATCAATTAACTTTTTTACGGCAATTGACAGTAATAAATGTTTTTTCCATATATATGATGTCATAACAGGAACAATAATCGATAATATAGTTCAACACAATTTATAAATTGTAATTTTAACTATAATTATGAATTGTAAGGTCAGACTACAGTACTGCTTCCATCGTCAAGCATTTCATTAACTTCGGCGCCTATACTTGGACTGGGACTCGATATCAATTGCATATTACCCTAAATTGAGAAATAATTAATTATCAAATTAGCAATTAATAATAATAAACACAACAATAAATGCAAACTAACCCATTTGCCCGGTCGAGCCCATGTGCATACATATCCCTCCTGACAAGCCGTAACAAAGCAGTCATCTCTAAAGACAAGTGATGTGAGTCTCTCGTGAGCTATCTTTTTACAGATAAGTGGCTCCAAGAGTGGCACTTCATCGAGTCGGGGACATATGGGTGTCCCTAATAGACGGTTTGGGTCGTCTATCAGTTTATTTGTATGACTTGTTTTATTAACACTATTTTTATCACTATTACGCGAACCTAAACTGAAATTTCTTTTGTGTTCCTTCTTATCATTTGTTTTGATGACATGATTTGTTAATAATATATTTGAGTCTGTGGTGACACTGTTTTCTTTGGGCACACAATTAGTTGTCTGCAAATTATTTACTTTCGGTGTGAGGTATGTATTTGTAGCCGACATCGACGATAACTGAGTTGACGGACTGTGCAATAAAATACTAGTCCGCGAACGACCCACAGGTTGTTTGAGCACATCATCACTTAAATCCCACAAACATATGTGAGTGTCCTGTCCTACAGATCCTAATCTATAGGCCGTAATGTTTTGTGAAAATGTCGATCTGTTTAATCTGTTTAAACTCCCCGACTCTGATCTCGATGTACTCGCAGACCTACTGTTAACTCCTGAATACATATTTGAAGAATTAGTTGTTCTGTTGGACTCATTGTTCAAAACACTAGTTGGTTGTAGTTGTTGGGAGTTGTCCTCTTCACTACCACTTAAATCAAAGTTTTCGCTATAACTAGTAGTAAAAGGATCAAACGTCACAACACTAACCCATGATTTATGTCCCTGACCTCTGGCCACTACTCTTTTTTCAGTAAATGACCAAATAGTCACTAAGTCATCCTCACCACCGGTAACAACAAATTTGTTATCAGGACTCCAACAAACACAAAGAAGGCCTCCGAAGTAACTTCTCATTCGACCAATTAGTTCCATTGTGTCGTAATTAAAGACTCTAAGAAAGCCGTCCTGACTAACGGTTGCTAAGTATTTACTACACGGACTAAAAGCAAATTCGTTGAGCGATCCTTCGCCGATAATCCAGCGAAATATCGGATTTCTAGTGCTCTTTGTTTTGCACGTATAAACAGAGAAGCCATCGCCCTGTTTGAAGATCTGGTAATGCGGTGGTGTTGTACCACACGGTAGGTCTTCCTTATAAACATACATTTGTCCGCTACTGTGCGATACTATGAAAAAATTGGGCGAATTTGGTAACCATTTAAGACATGTTACTTTTGTTTTGTCAATTAAACGCTAAAAACAAATACATAAACAATAATATTATAAGAAATGTGTCACTAATTTAAATCATTTAATAAATAATTACTTCTTCGTTATATAATTTAGACATTTCCTTCTTAATCGGATCAATCAGTTGTATTTGTCCGGCACTGAAACCAACCAATAAATAAACTGAATCCGAGCTAATGTTTGATGAATTAAAGTCATGACACGTCGGATACGTTCCCTTATATACGCGTTTGTCCACTGGTTTTGTCAAATCTGCGGCCTATTCGGTGATAAAAAAATCAAGTGATTCAGTCATTAATTACAATAATTTGATTCAAAACAAGACAAATACCTTTTTAACGCCTTTATAACTATAGACATACAGCTCTCGGCCAACATTAAAACAGATACGATCGGTGGTCGTTGTGGTGATGTTGGATGTGTTGGAAGTGTTAGAGTTGTTTGAGCTGTTGGTGTCATTGTTGCTACTATTAGATGTAATTTGGGTGACAAACGATACTTTTACGGCAGTATTATTGGTTTGTGTGGCGTAACCCAAACGATTGGGTCGCGAATACTCGGCTGAAGTCATCAGTTTGTAATATCCTTCGCGAGTAACAAACTGTGTCTTAATATCGTTATTATGAACTGATTCGCAGCCAATTGAAGCCATGTTTTGGTCAAACAAATTGGTCGATGTGTTGGTTCAACATCACTAACAGTTGAACCGTTATTATGAGACATGAGTCGTGTCACCAATCAATCTATGGCCACAACAATCCATTGGTTAACCAAATAATTTGCGGATCAATTAAATTAACCAATAATTTTGTCCCAATTTTTTGTTACAAATTTTTCCAATTAATTGTCGCCTAAAAACCTCTTATCGGATCTTTTGATGCAAATAATGTGTTAAATGTTTAACACAATCATTGAAATCAATAGATTAGTTAAGATATAACTGTAGACACAAATCAATCAAAAAAGTGTAAACAATGTCTCAAATGATAAACTCATTGACAGTCATAACAGGCAAACACTCGACTCATTCAATGAGAGAAACACTTGTATTGACTCCTATTGTGACCAAACAGTTGACAACACATTGACTACAATATTAAGAGCAATGATTGACCACTGATTTCAGTTAAACAATAGACTCAACAATTGTCATGTCTTTGACAACACTGTAGTCACTAATTGACTGAATATGTGGTCATATATGTGAACCCATCAATTGATAACACATATAATGCCTGTCCTCTAGTTTTACAAAAACATTGTTTACATTAGCAATAGATGTCACCAACGAGTCTACAGTTAAATGCATTTTACAAACATTTACAACACGTGCTAAACATGACATCCAAGAAAAGTTGATTTGAATATCACTTAAATGGATCAGTTGGACAGTCAAGACAATGTACAGCAATCACTTAAAAGAAAGGCTCATCACTTGGTTGATGACAGCAATCTTGAAGTGTTTCCATCAAAACAATTGCTAACCGATGATAATGAAGACATATTTTTGGTAATATCTTCAATAAGTTTTGCTTAAGATGTGATATAATTGTGTGATTTATGTATTCCTCAAAATAGGACAATGAAGATGATGTCGATGAAGATGTTGAATCGCCAACTGACCCTTTTGTCACACATTTCGATACCATTTTAGATCCAAAAGATGTCAAAGAATTTAGCGAACAACCGAAGAAAGTGATTAAAGAAGACGATTGGATGGAAATGAAAAAATTTATTGAAATCAATAATGAAAACCCGAAACTCAATTCAATATCATTGACTCGGAAACAAAATTTAAAACAATTTTGTTTGAAAAACACATTAATTGAAAACATAAGCAAAGCTGTCATTACTTCAGACACAAATCAAACAACGAATGGATTGAATTCATTTCAATACGAGTTGTTCTCTATTGTCAGTCAATATAAGGACTTATTGTTTACAGAAAGAAATGGACAAAATGCAGAACAGATTCGTCTCATATATTGTATTCACGCACTAAATCATGTCCTCAAAACCCGTTCCCGAATACTAAACCATAACAGCAAAATTGTCAGACATGTGTCCACTGATGATGAATATCGAGATCAAGGCTTAACTCGAACTAAAGTTTTAATATTAGTGCCGTTTAGAGATAGTGTGTTAAGGATTGTCCAAATTCTTATTAGTCTAATGTTTGGTGATATCAAAGATAAAGATGAAAAGAAGTTCAACATAATGAATGGCAAACGATTTTTTGAAGAATTTACTGTTGAAAACGAAATGCCAAAACTTCATAAAAAACCCGAAGATTATGAACAGATATTTACTGGAAATATTGATGACTCGTTTCGTATCGGTCTTTCAGTTACTAAAAAAAGTCTTAAACTATATTCAGATTTTTATTCGGCGGATATAATTATTGCTTCACCACTCGGTCTTCGAATGATAATCGGTTCTGAAGGTGATGCCGAACGAGAGTTTGATTTTTTAAGTTCAATTGAAATGCTAGTTATGGATCAAACAGATATTTTTCTAATGCAAAACTGGGAACACGTTCTTCATATTATGAAACACTTGCATTTGACTCCAGCAGAGAATCGCGGGATTGACTTCTCTCGAGTAAGAATGTGGGCACTCGAAGGTTGGACTAAATATTACACACAATTAGTTATAGTATCATCGATAACGGTTCCAATGATAACATCTTTATTTAATAAACATTCAAACAATTATTCGGGAAAAGTTATGACCAAAAATGAAATCTTTTCAACAAAAGCTGCCGTCAGTAGTGTTATCATTCAATGTCCGCAAGTATTTCATCGGTTTGACTGTAAATCTATGGTTTTGGCATCAGACGAAAGGTTCAAGTTTTTTGTGACAACGATTTTACCGAAATTTAAAGACAAACTAATGAAACGAACAATGATTTACATTCAATCATATTTTGATTTCGTCCGAATCAGAAATTACTTTCGAAAAGAAGAGATCAATTTTACACAGATATGCGAGTATACGGCTGACGGCAAAGTAGCCAAATCCAGAAGTATGTTCTTTAACGGCGGCCGACACTTCCTATTATATACGGAACGCTTTCATTTCTATCGACGATATAAAATCAAAGGCATCCGACACCTCATCTTCTATGAGTTACCCAATTATCCAAACTTTTACAGTGAACTCATCAACTTTATGCACCTATCAATGCAGGGAAAGAAATTTGTCGGCGATTACAGTTCAATGTCCTGTACGGCCATATATAACAAGTTTGATGCCTTGCAGTTAACCGCTATTGTTGGCCATAAAAAGGCCACTCAAATGCTTCAATCGTCCACTTCTGTACACATGTTTGTCACTGAAAATTAAGTTTATATTACATTATGCTGTAGTGTATATATATAAATTTATATATATGTATTGAATTTTTAGAGATTTAATAAATTTGAATATTTTTTTTAATAAATAAAAATAATTTTATTTTATAATATTTTTTTCAATAATTACAATAATTAATTAAATTTATGAATTTACTAACAAATTATACGGTAAGTGTTTTTGCAATTACATGAAAACCCCCGTCAAAGCATTGCAAACATGTGTTTGATTTAAATGAATGATTAATACAAACATTGATTTCAATTGATAACCAGTGAAGATGTCGACGACWGAAGAAATTCAATTGAAAGTACACAGATGTCGGTTCTATGGACCAGAGTTGTGGTCAATCAATAGTATGACATACAATGAAAAAGAAGAAAAGTTAGCAGTTTTGCGCCGTCGGGTTCGCAAATTCAAAACGGGACAATCGGACACTCAGAGTGTGGTACAGGTCTGGAACATGAAGTCGAAGGCGCCGTTTGTCGAGCAAACCATTTACGACAATCCCGATAATCCGGGTCTTCTCGAAGCACTTCAGTGGTTACCAGACGGTCGACTCTTCTCTTGCGGTCTCAACGCTTGTATCAATGAATACGATTTGAAGAACAGTAGCATTAAAAGTTCATACAATGGTAGATCTGGTCCCATATGGTGTATGGCGTTGGATGCGACCAATTCATTGATTGCCGTCGGCAGTGAAGACGCTATGATTTCTGTTTATCGTTTATTCGATGAATCTTTGAATTTTGAAAAAGTTTTGGACAGAAGTGATAACCGTATTCTTTGCATTAAATGGCATCAACCAGAAGACAATACACCGCCACTTATTGTTAGCGGTTCTATAGATTATATCAAAATATGGAACTATCAAACAGGAAGATGTATTGATAGTATACAAGTCGGTACCACTGGTGTTGTCATTTGGTGTCTCGTCGTTCTTAAAGACTTTACTATAGTTAGTGGTGACTCTAACGGCACAACCAGTTTCTGGGACGGGAAGGTCTGTACTTTGAATACAACATATAAGAGTCATAAAGGAGATGTACTGGCAATCAGTGTGGACAGTGAAGAGTCTAATTTATATTCATCGGGTGTCGACCCGACAATCGTTAAGTTTAGCAGAACTAAGTCCATGAAATATAACTCGTGGACAATGAATATCAAAAGAAATTTGAACACACATGATGTCAGAGCAATGATCTGCATTAAAACCAATTGGTTGATCAGCGGTGGTATTGATACCTATTTAACATTAAGCTGTTATCCACCAAATCTTAAAATAAGACATTTTGTTAATTATTCTCAAAACGTGACGATAATCAAAGACTATGCTTTAGTCCAATACGAGACATTTGTTTACATTTGGAAATTAGGAAAATCAGATGAAGATGTATTTCAAACAAGTACTCTGACCGGTGAGTGCATAGAGACTCTTCCACTCGCAGAAAGTGCTGTAAAATTAGCAAACATTAAATCTCGTAAACCTATAATATCTTCATCTTTTAACGACAAATTCATTGCTTATTCCAACTACGATAACCTCAAGATTAAGACTTGGAATGAGACGAGTGTTGCTAAAGTACCACTTCTTTACGAGCCTATTGTAAATGGAAATCATCTGACATTTTGCGGTCAAAATTATTTAGCTATTTCTTCGGGAACCACACTTAATGTGTTAAAGTTAGAAGTCTTGGGAGTTGTTCTCCACAAACGTAATGATTTAAAAAATAATATTTATTTAATGAGTGGTTCAAATCAATATTTGGCCGTTTCTACAATTGATCCCAAGAGAACTGTTACCGTATATTCTACTGATGATTGGTCTTTGATTTGTGATTTTGCCAATAATTTGTTGCCAACTGCTCTGCAAATTAATCCGTTTAGCAGTGAAGGAGATATATGGATGGCTTACGCCAATCGTAAACTTTATAATTATAATATCAATAGTAAATCAATTGTTAAATCAGTAGATATTAAAAATTATGTCAAAAGTCATGCTATAAATGAAGCCAATGATGAAGATTATTACTCTATAAAATCGATAGCATTTGCAAAAAACACTGTCATATTCAGTGATGACATGTTTCTCTACAAACTGGATATTAAAACTAATAAGACTAACAAACGGTCCGATTATAGACATATTATTAAATTAGGAAATGGAGATAAACTGAATGAATTGGTGATGTTTGAAGTGACACCACTCTCACTGTTTCATCGATTACCACAAACATTGGCTAAGAAAAGATTTGGCACTTAAATTCATTTTAAAGTTTATTATTATTCTTAAAATTCGTTACATATATTTAAAACATTTTTTAATAACAATAATAGCATCAGTTGTCATATTATAGTAATAAATACGAATACTTTTCAAACTTAATTTATCAATAAATGGTAATATTTTGCTAATAAAATGTTGATAATTAGTTAACAAATAATTTATAAGATTAAAATTATGATATTTAATAGTTAGTGTGGTTAAACAAATTAGACAGTAAACTCAAGGTACCTGTCCAAATAGTAGGACAGGGATGGCATCGGACATTGACACTTAAAAAAGCTATACTGTAATGTATGTCTAGTACAGTACAAACTAGAGAGCGAAAAGTTTCGGACCCGTACCTGACCCGTACCTGATCTGATACCTAAAATCTCGGACTCGGACCTGACCTAACATAGGGTCCAAATTTAACTGACCTGACCTGACCTGACTATGTAGGTCCGAAAATAATTTTATCAAAAAACAATTTTATTCATTCTATACCCGCAACAAATATGTCTAAATTAACTTTAATTTCTCGGGATTAACGATAACTGATCGTAGATCTAACTTAGATACTAATAAAGTTAATATGTTATTATTTATTAGATCAAACCATTATCTTTTGTAATATTTTATCTTTAATTTATACAAATATTTCATAAATAATAATTTAATAAATTTTGTGTTTGATTGTCATATTTTGTAATAATTGTCGTTTAAATAATGAATAAAAAATTTTCGGACCTGACCTGACCTGACCAAAAAATTTTGGTGTTCGGACCCGTACCTGACCTGACCTGAGCCCTAACTTTTACCTGACCTGACCTGACCTGAAAAATCAGGTCAGTTTTCAGTCTCTAGTACAAACTACTGTATAAATCAATTGGTTTACTAATAATAGGTGTAATCTATAAATAAATTTATATTGTTTTACAATACTTTTAGTTATAAAAGTTTGAAAATTTGTTGAATAAGTGTATATGAGTTGAGAGCGCATGCGTTATATTTTTTCAACCAATTCATTGATTAGTCTAAGGGTTTGAAGCAATCGTTTGTTTATTTTAGTCGACAATTGGTTTCTCATTTGACTTCAAAACTATTTATTGGTTTTGTATTGAAAACGCTGTCATTTGAGACCAAATGTGACCATTAATTGCAATCATTGATTGATTTAGTGATTTACAGTCCAATCAATTGGTTTTGCATTTCTTAATGAATGTCAAATCATTGCCATTCACTGTCTATGTGTTTGTCATCCACTTAATCAACACATTAGTTAAACACTTGATTTCATTAATAAATTACAAGATTATGGATAACAACAACAGTGACCACAATATTGATGACCCATTGGTGATGAAGACATACGAACAACACAAGAAGGCTTTTGATATCATCTCAAAGGCTCTTAAAATTGATGAAAAGATTGACAACAAAAACATCGGTTTGTCTCACATTTTCACCATTTCATTGAATTGTATTTTTAATTAAACTAATATAATATTACAATAATTAATATTGATTAATATATAACAAAAATTGCAAATTTTATTGTTTGAAATAATAATTAATTGCTTTTTCAGTGATTTAATGAAAGCGTAGGCGATATTAGTGTTAAAATAGTTTTTCATTGAAATTTGATTAACACTCGTATAACCACTTGATTTGTGTTCAAACATATAAATTAGTATAACTTTTAAAGTCGTTTTAAATTACTTTTGGAAAACTTTTCACATAATTGATATCAATTTAATACTTGATTTCATTATTGTAAAAAAACTTTTATATATTAGTTATTTATAATTATGAAATGATATACTGATTAGATGTTTTATCAAATATAAGTTATATGATTATAATTTATAAATAATTATTCATATCATATATGAATATATTACGTTATATTTTAAATTTAAAACATATTTTATAAATTATAAATTGGTTATAAATGACAACTTTTTAAAAATTAGGATTAGTAGGAAAGGCTATATAATATGGGTTATTAAACTTTAAATAATATATAATTTTTAAATTATAAATACAGTATTGCCTATACTGTATATCATAGTAATAATAATTGTTAATAATTTTCTATAATTTAATAATACAAATTACAGACCAAAAACAAATAGTGATAGACATGTATTCACTCGGCATTAATGAGTTAATACAAGGTATTGAATTAGACTTGACTGACGTTACCGGAGAGGAAGGTCTAAGAGCACGAAAATTGCAACAAAAGATGGAAAACAATCTCGAGATGGTTCGCGACCGCAAACAAAGATTAGGTTTGATTTTACTATTTCTCTAATGTATTATTTTTTGCACTCTTTTATTGCTTATTTGATTTGCTTATCCTAATCACTGATATTGCGCTTATCCTATAGAGTGTATGTCCCAAATATATGGCCTCAGCTCTCATTTGCCGCTTTTTAAAGAAGGAGATGATGTCGTTGACAGTTCTCCACAAATATTACCTGAAAACAAAGCAATGCTTAGAAAGGGTGATCCCTCTCCTACTTATAATAAGACTCCCAAAACACAAAATATTAAAATTACAAATATTAAAGATCGGTTAACTAAACCTTTATATAAAACTCCAGGTATTTATTTTGTGTTTTACTTTTGTTTGCAAATATTTATACATTTATACTGTTATTTAAATTGAATAATTATTTTATTAAATTATTAAAATTTGTTTATTCAATAGTATCATCACTTACTTATACATCACTGTCTGTTGATAATAAATCATTAAATAATATTAAAAACTCATCAAAATTGATGAAACCTCGTCTAACAAATATGTCACCAAATGGTTCGACATCTCCCAAATCCTTAGTAAATCCGTTGTCCAATAAGCCATCACCCAATCCATTGTCATCTAAGTCTCGAACATCAAAAACTCCGACTAATCCATCTCCACGACCAACATCTCCGTTAACTCCGAACTCAATTTTACCAAAACTGTCGGCTAATTTTAAAGGTGTTGACAAAAAATTAGTTCAAAATATTTTGGATGAAATATATGACCGCAATTCAGATTCAATATCTTTCGATTCAATCGCCGGTCAAGATGTTGCAAAACAAGCCCTCAATGAGATGGTTATACTGCCGACAATACGTCCCGAAATATTTACTGGTCTGAGGGCACCTCCAAAAGGTTTATTATTGTTTGGTCCGCCCGGTAATGGAAAAACACTTTTGGTAAAAGATGACGATTGCAAATGTTTTTTAATTATATGTCAGTTAATGATTGTTTAATTAATTTTTAGGCAAAAGCTGTGGCCACTGAAGCAAAAGCCAAGTTTTTGAGTATATCTGCATCCAGTTTGACCTCTAAATGGTTAGGAGAGGGAGAAAAATTAGTGAGAGCTTTGTTTGCTGTGGCCCGTGAACTCCAACCAACCATTATTTTTATTGGTAATTACCATAATATTAGATTAAATATTATAATATATTGTGATTTTTAAAAATAAATGTATAATTATTATATAAAAACAGATGAAGTCGACTCTTTATTAACCGAACGAAGAGAGAATGAACACGAAGCCAGTCGACGACTTAAAACTGAATTCTTTATCGAATTCGATGGAATACATTCTACAAATGAAGAAAGGATTCTTGTGATGGCAGCCACTAATAGACCACAAGAGTTGGACGATGCGGCCCTCAGGTTTGATTTTTTTCTTTGCAATAACCGATTCATAAAAATAATTAATTWATTTTTTTTTAATTTAGGAGATTTACAAAACGTATTTATATAACACTACCTAATTATAAGACGCGAATCACACTTCTCGAAAAATTGATGCAAAAGCAGAACAATCCGCTTTCGATGAAAGATTTGCAATTATTGGCCGCAGAAACTGAGGGATACAGTGGTAGTGATTTAACTGCTTTGGCAAAAGATGCGGCTCTCGGACCGATTCGGGAGTTGGATAACGAACAAGTGAAACGGTGCAATCCTAATAAGATGCGGTCAATCAATRTTAACGATTTCAAACAGTCATTAAAAAAGATTAGAAAAAGTGTGGCCGAAAGTACTCTTCAACAGTACCACAATTGGAACCAACAATTCGGTGACATTTCACTGTGATTAACAAATCAACTGTATATTGTTTTTATTAAATTTGATATTTTTAAAGTATATTATTTAACTGTTGAAATCATGCATTTATGAGTTTTAAAGTTTTTATTAATTTGAGAGCACAATAAAAATGTATTTAATAATTATTGTTTTAATTAATCACTTAATTAGAGGTAACATTTAAATCCGTTTCTTCAATCTTGTCTAAAAATATACTCAATAATTAAAATCTAAAATTATTTTATATGTTTGTAAAATCAGATATTAAGATATGCCTGTCCTTCAAGATATTGTTTGTAAGGCTGTAATACTGGAGTCACTTCTTGTTGAATGAACTCAAGGACTTGATTAGGAGCTCTACCGATAAATGTTTTCGGATCCATAAGTGTATCGATTTGATCTTTAATTGGTCTGAAATATGGCTCGTTTTTGATGCGATCAATCAAATCATTATTCTTTCCGTATCTCTTGACCTGTTCGGCGGCCTCTTGAGACAGAACTCTTATCTTTTCGTGACAAACCTGTCGATTACCACCAGATTTAACCATAGCTACAATTATGTTCTCAGTGGCCATAAATGGCAATTCCTGTTAAGATTTTAAAAAATAAACTCTAATATCAATTACAATTAATAACTTAATAATACCTCTCGAATATGTTTGTTAATAATAGCCGGATAAACAACAATGCCTTCGGTAACATTCTGTAAGGTATTTAATACGATATCTAATATTTTTTTTTAGAAATTTAATTATCAAAAATTTGATCAATTGATTATTAATTTGTAATCAAAATACCGGCGGTCAAGAATGCTTCGGGAAGTGATATACGACGATTGGCGCTGTCATCCAAAGTCCTTTCGAGCCATTGAGTCGATGCTGTATTGAGAGCATCGGTTACTAAAGTCATGAGATGTCTGGCCAAAGAACAACATCTTTCGCTTCGCATTGGATTTCTCTTATAAGGCATAGCAGAGGAACCGATTTGTGTGCTTTCAAATGGTTCTTCAATTTCTTTCCTATTGGCCAACAGTCGGATATCAGTGCATATCTTATGAACTCCAGCTCCAAGAAGTGACAAACTTGTCAGTACTTCCGCGTCAACTAATCGCGAATAAGTTTGACCGGTCACGGGATAAGACTTTTTAAATCCTGCCATTTCGGTCACCAACTGATCTAATTGTTTAACTTTAGACTCGTCGCTGTTGAATATTTGCAGAAACGACGCCTGAGTACCAGTGGTTCCCTTACAACCTCTAAAGGCCAAACTATCCTTCGCTTTCTCCATATTTCTCATTGCAATAATTAAGTCATAAATCCAAAGAGTGGCTCTTTTTCCAACAGTAGTCATCTGCGCCGGTTGGAAGTGAGTGAAGCCAAGAGTAGGCAAATAGTTGTACTGTTGGGCAAAGTTTGACAATCGATGGATACAACGACTTAATTTAGGAAGAATTATAGAGAAAGCATCTCTCATGAGAATGAGGTCAGTGTTGTCACCGACGAAACAACTGGTGGCTCCCAAATGGATAATCTTAGCCGCGTTGGGACACTTAGAGGCAAATTCATTGAGATGTGCCATAACATCGTGTCGAGTCTTCTTCTCTTCTTCGGCTACAAACTCAAAGTCAATGTTCTCACAGTTTTGTTCCATCTCTTTGATCTGTTGTTCGGTGATATCAATACCCAGCTCTTTCTGTGCCTTCGCTAGTATTATCCATAACTTCCTCCACGTCGAGAACTTCTTGAAATCGCTGAAGTTATAGTTCATCTCTTCGGACGCATATCTGGACGAAAGCGGTGACTCGTATTTATGATGAGACATGTCTTCAACTGAATCGTCGAGATCTTCACTGACTGTATGGCTGTTGTCTAACGTTGTTGTCATCAATCGTGAGACCATTTGCTATGAAATCAAAATCAATCAATGGTTTAAAAAGTAATTTCAAATAAGGCATACATTGAGTGATGATTGCATTTGACGACAATTATCTCAGTTTTTATCTCAATGTTTGTCTCTTATCTGCAAAATTTGTGGTGAATTTCAAGGTCTCGACAATAGAGTCGACTGTCGTATCAATTATGAGACGATTTGTTTGAATCAATCAAATGATGTTTATTTCACAACTAATCMAATCATTTGCTCTAAAATTACAACACATTTACAGTTAAGTATCGTTTGTTGTTATTTAAGCGCCAAATGTGGGGATTGTTTGATAATTTCCATCAATTTTATCCAATTATAGCACACTATTTGGCAATAGGTTTGCATTCAAAAAATTTCACTTAAATTTTGATTATTTTTAGTTTTTGAATCCAAATTTAATTRAAATTATATTTATTAAACTAACTATAAGTAACACAATAATTGTAATTAAAATGTGAATCAAATTGTTAAGTCATTAGTTTTTTTTCAATTTAATACAATTAATACAATGACTTTATAAAACAAATTTAGTGTAGAGAAAGTTGTTTCTTCAATAAGATAATTATTAATTAACCATGCTAACTTAAGTTAATTAACTATAATTAATCTATAATTAATMTATATATATATATATATATATATATATATAACTTAATTGTAAAAAGCATTATTATTAATATAATATTACAGTTGATTGCAATAAAAATTAATTTTTAAATAGAGATTTCTATCATAATAAAGTTTTTTTTATTAACGTTTAATAAAATAAATTATAAAATTATTTTTAAAAATATTTAATGGCCTAACTCCTATATTATCAAATTTATAAATTTTTATTGACTTGATTGTAATTAACTGTTAAATTTTTTTTATTAACTTTTTGATTATTTTTTATCTTTTAAGGTTAACTATTTTAAGTTATTAACACCTAAAATGATCATGTATAATAATAAAAAATGATAATGTATATAATAGTAATACAATAAAAATTAATGTCAAATTTTTGTAATAATTAATTCAATTTATCACAAACTACTTGATATTTKCTATATAATGTTATTTAACATAATTATTAAGTTTCAATTAAATACTAAGTATATGATAGTCATAGCTATTGAATGACATAATTCGCATGTTTTATAAGTAGAGTATCCAAAAATACATAATATATTTTAATTATGTTTGATAAGAGATATAAAAATAGACTAAATATAATAAACAACAACAAAAGTTGATAAATTATTAAATTATTTTATGTTGAATAAATATATTTTAACAAACATTTTTATAGTATATTACATGTAACTTATTTCTTATGTTAGATTAAAACTTATATTTAACAAACAGTTTTTATTAATAGTAAAATATGTACACATTATTTGCTTCCGTAGAAACAGAATTAATAAAATAATTTATAATAATTTTAGTTTAAATTTAATAAAATTTTATTTGAGAGATGATTACATTTAGATTACTATAGATAACATTACAAATGTAGACTTAGATTATTAAATTACTAACATTATAATAGATTCTTTTTATAAATATATTAAAAGCAAAAATTAATTTTAAAAATATTGATTTTTACATATCCCTAATTTTAATATTATATAACATTAAAATATTAAGCGTTMTAATGCTTTATGTTATCAATTAAATGTAAAAACAGTTTAATTAATAAACACATCAATTAAATTGATAATATTTAATATCAGATAAATGAAATAAAATTTCTTATAATTATAAATGATTTATTTACGCATTTGGATTGACTTTATTTTTATTAATGTTACTTATAAATAATATTATTAAATACTAAAATAATAATATTTTTGTGATAATGTATGAAATATTATATGATAACAAAATAACACAAATATAATATACAATAGAAATATTATAAAATTTATCAGATGTCTTAAATAGGGATCATTTGCTTTAAAAAATTACATGTTTTTATAGTTTCAAAAATTGTTTACAAAATATGAGATGATTTAATCTTGATATTCAATTAAAGATTTTGTTTAAATTAATAATCGAAAAATTAGATATTCACTAATTTTTATAAAATATACTAAAGAAAACTAAATATTTTTAATAAATTTCAGGAAATTTTCTAGATTTGAGAACTTTTCTCATTTGGAATTTTGCCTAATTTTTAATCAAGACTTGTTGACTATAAATAATATACATGTATTCATTAGATGTATAAATATATATTCTTAACTAATATAATATACAGTAATTGTTTATTTAATGTTAATTAATTGAAGATTACACTAAAATACTGTCTATTCTAACCATAAATATATCCACAAAAAATATATACCAATAATGGTAAATAATTAATCAACTATTAAAATTTCAGCAACAAAAWTTTTTATATAATTATTATTATTATTATTATTCTATTGTATTGTATAATGTAATAATAGTACCCATAAGCTTATATAATAGAATATTAGTCACAAATTGTTATATCATAATTTAATAATTAAAATTATTAATCAAAATAATTTAAAATTAATAGATAATTATTAACTATCTGTAAATAATAATTATAATTTAAAATGTAGAGTAAATATTTAACTATTATAGAAATAAACATATTTTAATCAATAACAGGAAAATAACATAAGTTATAATTTGATTTTTTATTAGTTTAATTAGTTGTAAAAAATTGATAATTTGTATCATTTATGCTTATTTTTAAATAACTTTGTAGATTAGTTGATATTTTTAAAATAATTTTCCCATTAATAAAAGTTTCAAATAAAATAAAAAATTATTTGAAATTACAAATTGATTAAACGTTATATTTAATTGGATTTTCGTTGTAAAGCATTTGGAAAATATCCAAAAATATAAATAAAATATAATGTTTTTATAAATATTGTCAAAATGGCATATCTGGCGAAATGCCTCTAAAATTGAATGCATTTATCTGGGAAGTGATGTCTCTTTTCTTTCAATGTATTTTTATTAGCCTTTTTCTCAAATTATTACAATTATTTTAAACAAAACAAATGTCACAACAATTTTTTAATGTTTTGTAAATAAACGATAAACTTTGTCTTTATTTCAAATAAATCACTTTCAAATAATTTTGTTAAATACTAATTATTTTACAGTAATGTTTAGATAGTAAACATATTTTATGTAAATGATAGACATATAATTGTTGTTAACTATAAAAATAAAATATTTAATTAGTTAATCAAATAAAAATATTATATTATAATAGAGTAAATCATAATTTGATGATATATGAGAAAACAGTGCAATGCATACAAATCATAGAGCAATGAAGTCCTGGAGTGGACTCCGGCAGTGATGGCAGTGATGGCAGTGATCACAGAGTCTGAGAGGGACTGAGGCTGAGGTCTGAGTCGGTGCGCAAAACATCTTATAGTGAAATCAACTTTAATAGCATCTCAAGAGTGAGACCTGTATTTACCTCTTGAGAAGACTTTCTCAAAATATTTTTTTTAGATTTACTCTTAACTTATTTTTTTTTGAGAGACTTTCAAATTAATTTAATTTTATACCAAATGCCTTGTGATCATCAAATTATAAATACTTTTTTTTGTATAACTACTATATTTTATTTTTAATACAATTGTGCGTCAAAATAAATTTATATTTTTGTATCGAAAATAATAAGTGTTAATTAAACTTTTTAATAACAAGAAAAAACAATTATAAATTTGAAGACTATTATAATAAAATTCATTCAACAATTATAAAAATTATATATTAATATATATTTATTGAAAATTTAAGGTATGTTCTAGTAAACGATTTTTTCTGTATATAAATTTTATATTATAAGTTGTTTCAACACTAATTTGTTTTTATAATTACACTCATAATATAACACATTATTTTTAACTAATAAAACTTTTTGAGAGATGCTRAACATCTGTATATTTTAAATGAATGCTTGAATATAATTTTTTGTTGTAATTTATTATTATTTATATAAATTAACTTACAAGTTAGTACCACAATTGATGTATTAGTAATTTATATAATGATGGCATAAAATATAATTTATTTGCCATCAATTGGTCTCCAGAATATATATCATAAATGATAGTTATTTTGAGGCACAGTTGTCCCTGAACTTTATGTAGCGTTTAGTATTCAAGCAAAACGTGTCGATTATACTGAATATACTGTAGGATAGAGAGCATCGAGAGAAATGTGTTTCGCTTTTCAATAGGATTCGGGTTATTCTCTATTCAATGTTTAGTTTAAGCAAATCTTGAGAGAGAGAGTGAGAGTGAGAGTGAGTGAGAGAGAGAGAGAGAGTGAGTGAGTGAGTGAGTGAGTGAGTGAGTGAGTGAGTGAGTGAGTGAGTGAGTGAGTGAGTGAGTGAGTGAGTGAGTGAGTGAGTGAGTGAGTGAGTGAGAGAGAGAGAGAGAGAGAGAGAGAGAGAGAGAGAGAGAGAGAGAGAGAGAGAGAGAGAGAGATAGGGAGAGAAAAAAAAGTTGATGTGAAAAATTTAATGAAAGAGTTGAAGAGTGGATCGCGAGGACGGTTATCCTTGAAATGTTACTTAAAGTATGAGAAGTAAATGAATGGCAACCCTTCCCATCAGTTTTTATACTGAATTGCTTTTTATATAATATATTCACTCGTATTTCCCTTACTTTCTCATAATACCTGAGCAACATATGATGGGCCAGGGATTCGGGTGCAAAATGACATGTTATATAAAAAATATTCTACTCTTACTTCTAATCTATTCATATCTCAATATAAAGGCTTAGAAAAATACATCTTATATTTAATGACGTGAAAAATATCCGTCTTTCTGATGAAAATCCATTACTCTTTTGATAACCTATTCTTCATCTATAAACCGGTAAACCATTCTTTTCCCACATACTTATGATATGTTCATAAAGGCATAGACACTGAAAACTTCACCGATAGCTAAATAAAGTTGTATTAATACTGTATTGTATTTTACTTTTATTATAAGTTAAAACCAAAACTGTCTCTACAATACACAATCCCTATCAATGCTACAGTATTACTGTATTGTGTTAATACTGTTGTATTTGCATTGAAAACGTTTTAAGTGATAACATTACATATACAGTGCATTTGATAACTTAAATTTACTTTTTCTATACATCCGATAACATATGTTTTGCATTTTTACTTTTTAACAAATATATTGAGTTTTTAACGACTATTACTATCATATTCTGTTATCTGTCATATAATATACAGCAATATTTAGCTATCATATACAGTATAGTGTGTATAATTTATACGTTATAAATTTATAGCATATTATATATAAATCAAATATAACACCTGATGAACAAAAAAAATGTTTAATTAGTAAAAATAAAACTATAAAATAAACAAATATTTTTGTAATAGTTTAATTATAGTTATGGATTGTGAGAAAAAAATAGTTAAAAATAAATTGAATAAAAAACTTTCTATAAATTGAATGATAGGCGGCAACAATGGGGTGGTAACCAACACAACAGCACTTATTCAATATTATATTCAATAATATTCAACTCACATAAATTTATATAATACTGTGTAGTACACCATATAGTTATGCCTTTAGCACCGGGAGTTTAAAAAGATTTTTTGTTGTTGAAAAAATCAAGTTCAAGGCCATCCACTTTCTACTATTACACCACTTATATATATATATATATATATATATATATATATATATATATATATATATATATATATATATATTGTATAAAATAGATTTTGGTAGTTATGAATAAAAGTTATGCAATATTTGATATTATGAATGTATAACTTATTTTCAATTTTAACCATTCAAACATTGTATCAAATATACTGCTTATGTTATACAGTATCACAAACTGTTGTGCTTTTTATGATTTTAAAAAATAATTTATTTGGTTAGCACATAAATGTTTATTTTAAAAAATAAATATATACATACATATACATAATTCACTAGTTAATTAAATTTAATGATTTAAAAAATGCTTCACTATAATGCTAATTTTATAACTATTGTAATTTAATATAATATTTATATATATTATATATTAAATTATAATTAAATTTGATTAACTGTATATTCAGTATACTTAAGATATGTAAAACTGAATAATCAATAATTTATTTAATCAGACAAACCCCTAAACGACACTTCACTGTAAAAAATTATATTATTTTTTAATTACTGTTTTTATTAATTTATTGAAATATCAGTACATCTACAGTACAAACAACTACATGAATAAAACGTGTAATTTATAATAATAAGACATATAATGACAATATCGACAATAATACATACATTAATACAATAATCACCAAAACTATTGGTCACATCCGATGACATAAGTGTTAATTAATTTAGATTTTATTTAAGTTCATTCAGTCATCAATTCATGAAATACCGGTTTAACTGGCATTTAGTGCAAACCATTGCCAATCTTTGCATATATTCATTCACTAAACTATTTTTATAGTAACCATTATATAAATTTATACACTATTTACTACACATATATAAGTTGTATATTTAATATAAATTTAAGTTAGAATAATTATATTTGGTTTAATTTATAGTATTATCAAATTTTATAAATATTTACACATTAGAACTAGATTTACATTTACAAACACAAACATATAAATTATTAATTAAAAATATTACATAATATTACAAAAATTCTAATAATTTCTTAAAATTAAGTCATCGCATAAATTCAATATATAATAAAATTATTAATATTTGTTTTATTTTTCAATTAACTATTCTCTATAAACATATTCGGCAAACAATTTGTATATAAATAATTTGTAAAAATTAATAGTAAAGAGATTTTATTATTTATGTATATTATTATTATTAACATATGATGCGGTAATTTAAGTATTAAATAAATCTAATAATAGTTAAGCACTTGACTTCTCAATTATTATTGGATGCATTCATTCCACATATTAATACCATTTATAATACTTATTATTATAAACTAATCATCATTTCTATTATATTGTATATTCATATTCAGTTTACTCATTGAATTTAAGTTATCCTAAAACTTAGATTTTAATCTGCAATAATAAATCTGAAAAAATCCTAAATTATTTAATTAATTTGAAAAAATGAAATCTATTACCAACAAAAAAAACTATATATATATTATATTGTTGTAAAACAATAGTAAGAATAGTATGAAATGAATTGACAAATAATTGTGTAAAATATGTTTTCAAAAAAACCAGAACTGAATACAATGTTTAGTAATGTTTTGAATGAATGAATGAATTGGAAATGTTTTGCAATGTTTTTGTACATCAATTGAGTCGATAGTCAAGTGTTAGCCAGTCTTAGACTCGTTGGCCTTGAAGTGTGTGTTTTAAAGCATTGAATTTGTGTCCAAAAAATCAAATACCATCTCATTATCATTGAATACAAGACATACACACAAACATAACCATCATCTGAATGGCCAACACTTGATTTGATCCATAAATCTATAGATTTGATAACAAATGTTTTCACAACATACAGTCGGTGACAAAATTGGTGATCAAGGTTTTTTAAGTATAACTCAATAAATAGAACAAATTAAAAATAGATAATTTATATGATTGTATGGTATAATGGGACGGATATGATAATATAGGTGATTCCATAAGTTCGTAGCTTGATAATTTTTTAATCAAAAATTATTATATCTCAAAATCTATTATAGATATTTGATAAATTTAAATTGGAAATAATAAATAATAAAAAATAATTGGATACGTGTTTCAGGGTTTTTAAAAATATTTAATAGTTATTGAATAATAAATTTTTATATTTTATTATAAGTACCTGTAATTAAATAATAATTTTTTTATTTAATAATTATAATCTTATTTTTTTTATTTTAATTATTTTATAGTCAAAATAGACATAAAACATTAACAAATGTGATTGATAATAATATCTATAATATAATAAAATTAAAAATTATATTAGAATAAATAAATATTTATACTTTATATAACAAAAAATAAACGTAATGTATGAATGAGAATGAGTGAGTGCAAGCATTAATGTTGACTCAATTGTTTGTTTACATTCTCTGAGTAAATCTCTGTTTGTTTATAAAATTGTTTAACAATTGATTAAATATCATGTCTTTAACGCAAATATCACCTGAAACTGAGATCAAATTCCGAAAATTTGTTAGATTTCGTGCTGTTGGACATACAATGAATCGAATTATGCATCGGATTAGTAAGTAATTAAATAATATAATTAAAAATTAATAAATTTATTTTAGATATTAGTCTTTCAACATTCAAAAGATGGAAACAAATGGACGACAATGACATTCCACTACTCAAACCCATAGCATCTGGTCGTCCTCGTATCACAACTGTAGAAGACGATGAGTTGATTGCAGAAACAGCTCTTGAGCACAGATTTGAACCATTAACTGAATGGCGACAACAGGAGTTGTTGTCATTAAATGAAAGGATTTCATGTGCTTCTAATCGGACATTATATCGAAGACTTAATGAAAAAGGTATATAATTTGTAATATTATTTATATATTATAATTTTATTTTATTTAATAGGGATAAAGAGGTGTGTCGCGGCTGTTAAACAACGATTAACTGAGTATCACCGCAACAAAAGATTGAATTATGCAAACGATTTCATCAATTGGACATTCGATGACTGGTCTCGAGTGATATTTATAGATGAGTTTGGCATTGATACCAGTGATAACGGTAAAATCTATGTGTATCGACGTCGTGGACAGAGATTTTCCAATGATAACATCACTGTAACCACTCGTAATACACGACAGACATTTGGATTTATTGCTTCGTATGTATAATTATTAATGCTTATAAATATTGTTATAATATAAATCAATATTGTTATAGATTTTCATTTTATGGTTTGGGCCCTATTAAGCGCGTTGATAAGTTCAACAAAGAGGAATATGTGGAATATTTAGAGGAAAATTTGCTTCATTACATTAACGAGCACTTTGAAGAAGGAAATTTTCTTCTTCTTCATGATAATCATCCGGCGCACAACAGTAACTACGTTAAACAATGGATACAAGAAAGTGGTTTGGGTAATCCTGAAGATCTTGTGATGCCACACCCTCCATGTTCACCAGGTAATTAAAAGTAATTTATATTTAAAATTTTCATTTAGTATATACTTTTTATATTTTAGATCTCAATCCAGTTGAACATGTTGGTGGTATGCTCAAACATATGGCACGAGCTGAAAAGCCAATGATTTGCAATAAGGATCAGCTCTGGACTGTATTGATGAATGCACATCTAACCTTATCAGAGAATCGTCAGTATTTTATTAGACTCATCAATTCGATGCCAAATAGATTAAGACAAGTCATTGAAAACGAAGGCGGTCATACTAAATATTGATTTACTGACATTTCTCATTATAATTAATTAAATATTTATAGTTTCGTTTAAAAAATTTAATAATTATATCAACATAAATAGTAAGTTTTTGTATAAATATCAAATTATAATCAATATGTTATCAATTATTAATACTAATAATAAAATATAAAATTTCTTTATCACAATTGTTAATGTTTTATTTCTATTTTGACTATAAAATAATTAAAATAAAAAAATAAGATTATAATTATTATTAAATAAAAAAATTATTACTTAATTACAGGTACTTATAATAAAATATAAAAATTTATTATTCAATAACTATTAAATATTTTTAAAAACCCTGAAACACGTATCCAATTATTTTTTATTATTTATTATTTCCAATTTAAATTTATCAAATATCTATAATAGATTTTGAGATATAATAATTTTTGATTAAAAAATTATCAAGCTACGAACTTATGGAATCACCTATATTATCATATCCGTCCCATTATACCATACAATCATATAAATTATCTATTTTTAATTTGTTCTATTTATTGAGTTATACTTAAAAAACCTTGATCACCAATTTTGTCACCGACTGTATGTGTTGTCAACAAAAATAGCGATCAAATAATTGATGGATGTGTTTACAATTTAAATGATAACTAAATGAATTGTCCAATTGATCCAATTTATTGATAATAGTGTACAAATCATAAGTAATGACAAAATGCATTGAATTTAAGGTACAAATTGGTGATTGTGTGATATGATGTCCACAAATGGAGCTATTCTTCCCAAAAATGGCAACTCTGACATCAAATCCGAGTTAAATGACATTAATTTAGAAGAAGATTGTCTTATAAAGAGTAATCTTCAGTTTAAGACTATCAATACTCCTGCAAATGCATCGCTTATGATATTTAGTGGCCAAAAGACACGGCACCGAAACAATTCAGTCTCATCTATGTCTGCCATCAGTACAACCAATTCATGCAAAATTGAAGTCAACAATTGTCTGGTTTGTCTTATCATTACATTCATTGATTTGATAAATTTAATGACCATTTGTGTCCTTTGATTGGTTTAGGATATGTATTCGAGTTCACAATCGGCAGAACCGTCGGAGCCGTCGGAATCATCTCCGCTGAGCGCCAGTGAAACTCAGGCACAGGATATGTTCTGTTCGAGCACTATGTCTGGTGACTGTTCCAGTAATACCAGTGATATTATTGATGTCAAGACCAGTGATAACTCTCCAAAACGTCTCTGTTTAGTCTGTGGTGATACAGCATCTGGATTTCATTATGGAGTGGCCTGTAATTGATAATTAAATTATAATTAAATCCCTAATTGTTTTATCTAATATTTATTTTTATTTTTTTTCTTAAAGCTTGTGAGGCATGTAAAGCATTCTTTAAGAGAACCATTCAGGGTATTAGTCGTTAAGACTTATTATTTTATTGATTTAATTATCGGTAATATTTACTATTTGTCATAATATTAGGAAACATTGAGTACACGTGTCCGGCGGCCAATGATTGCGAAATTAATAAAAGAAGACGAAAGGCATGTCAGGCCTGTCGGTTCCAGAAGTGTTTAAGAATGGGAATGCTTAAGGAAGGCGTGCGTTTAGATCGGGTTAGAGGAGGTCGACAAAAGTATAGACGGAGTCCAGACAATCCCTATCCTATACAAAATGTTATGCCAATTAAAAAGGCTAATATTGAAGGTATAAGAGAAACGATTATTTTTTTAAATAGTAAATATTTTTATTAATTTTAATTTCAGAAAATAAGATAATATCGGCATTGATTAGCTGTGAACCGGAGCCATTGTTAGCAACCAATTGCCAAAATTCTTCGACATCAACATCGGCTCAATATAAAAGCATTTGTTTATTGAGTGATTTAGTTGATAGAGAACTGGTCGCTACAATCGGATGGTAAGAATAGTATAAAAGTTTTTATGTAACAAATCTAATATTTATTGTAAATTTAAGGGCCAAACAAATTCCCGGTTTCACTGATTTGATTCTTAACGATCAAATGAGACTCTTGCAGACCACTTGGGCTGAAGTATTATCACTATCATTGGCTTTTAGGTATGTTTTTACAATCCGATACTATTTATAGGTGTTTAGGTTATATCATAAGCATTCAAATTGTTTAAACATTATGATAATTTTGTATAATTTGTAATAAATTATAGTAAACTAGTTAAATATCATATATTAAATATACAAATATAACAATTTAATTTTTACGATTATTTTATTACCGTTAATTAGATTTCATTTTGATAGCTATAAAGCTAAACTTACTTTTTAACTATAAATATTTTTTGTAAATGTCAAATATATTTATTCTATAATAATTTTAAATTTATAATAAATTTTTAAATTAATTATTTAGATCTCATCAGTTTTACATACAATCACTTGAATCTGGAAACAGTGGCACTACTGCTTCACCTACTAAACTAATATTTGCCACCGATTTAATTATGGATACGGAACAGGCAGCTCAGTGTAGAGCTGATGAACTATTTAACCATTCAATACAATTAGTTAAAAGACTTAATTTAATTAAGATTGCAAAAGAAGAATATTTAATATTAAAAGCAATTCTTCTAACAAATGCCGGTATAATTCGTTTATAAAACATTTGCATTAATTTTATAATATTTTAATTAAATATAAGATTTATGTATTTAAGTAATTTGTGTTTATTTTAGATAAATATTAAGTTATGAGCTTTTTTTATTATTTAAAAAATTAAAGTATTGGATTAAAATAATACATTATATATATATTTGATTACCTCCATTGATTAGACATAATATTAGATTACTTTTGCTTTACGGTAATATTTCATACAGTATAGTAATTTTTATATATTAAAAAAATAATGAAATTAAGAAAATATATGCATTAAATAATTATTATGACATCTAAATGTATCCGTATATTCTTTGATCATAACAATTATTATTACCGGTATATTAAAATAAAAATAAGAAAATTTCACTCAAAAATACAAATAATTAAACACAATTACTTAAATAAGTATAATGTAATTAAAGCTAAAATAGCCAAATATTTTTATGCATTTAATCATTATATGATAATCTCCCTGGTTTTATTGACTAGGTTACTTTTAGTTGTATTTTTTAATACTATTTTTTACTTAATTATTATACATAATATTAACTTTTTGATAATTATATTGATTTTTGTAACAGATATTCAATTAGAGGACTCGCAAACAGTTTATAAATTAAGAGAGACGTTAATGGCAACACTTCAAGAATGTGTGTCAGCATTACAACCGCCCACCACTTGTGTCCATCATTTGAGTCAATTGTTATTATGTATGCCTTTATTGAGACAATTAGATGGAGTGACCCGACGGTACTGGAATACTGTCCGACGAGAGAGCAATGTTCCGATGAATAAGTTATTCATCGAAATGCTTGAATCTAATATAACTATGCGTTGATTAGAAACACAATTTTTAATTGATTGAAAACTTTAATTATGTATTGGTTTGTTTGCCAACAAATTAAGTTAATATATATAACTATGTTATATATTTTGGAAAAACAATATTATTTAAAACAGGGTATTATTTGAGGGATAACCTAATGACTATCTGTTTGCAAACGTATTGCACAATAAGTTAGTTTGGGTTTGACTTTTGTTAAAAAGATTTCCGATGTTTAGTGTCTCTAAAAAATTATAAGTTAATAATGCTTTGCTATTTTTGACAATTATTTATTAAATAATTACAATAGTTATGCTTCCTTTCGGTTGATATATATATATATAAATCTATATACAGTATGTATTATTACATATGTAAAGCTCAACTATAAATTTTTACTTTTGATTAGTTCAATTATTTCAGTTATTAAATTGACAATTTTATTGAAATATTATTATAAATATTACAATTAACACAATTATGCAAATTTACAAACACAAATAAAGCACTGCCGCTATAATTATAGAGACTACCTACTATAATCTAGGTACTAATATATTGTAATATACCGTATATACATATACAGTATACTTCCACAATAGTTAGCTTATTAATAGTAAATTGCTTAAATGCATTTAGGTTTTGATTATATACAAATGTTTTATCGATATATGAAAATAATATAATGAATTGTAATGTTACGGTAATTGAAAAAGTATTATAAATAGATAAACCGTAATATTTAGAGAGTAGTAATTGAAATTTATAATTTGTTTAGGTCACCAATATTAAGATTACGCACAAATGCTATTTTGTAATTAGCAATCATTTAATTTGTAGGGTTTATTAGCATCACTTGAAAAATGAATTGATATGGATATGGATTGTTGCGATACTCGAAGTTTTTTTTATCGCTTCTATTGTTATAAAATATTATTAGTGTTGTGTTAATAAACTTATTGAATGAATTTAATATCAAATTGATTGGTTGGTTAGTTGAAGAAAAATAATTCATAACTTTTTAGTTAAATTGTTTATTGTTCTCATTTTATTATGTCTCGACACTCATATGACCGTCCAGTGATATTATTAATTGTTATTATTTATCTATTAATTAAATTTGACTATTGTTTCAAATTATTTTCAACAAACACTTAATATAAGTTGAAATATTAAAAATAAATTCACAAATTATTATGTTTGACCAAATCTATTGAGATTTTGATAACTGAAAACATATATATTTATTTTTGCTTGCATTCATTTTTTTAAAGTACAATATATTTAATACAATATTATCTAAATATTAAAAATGTTTTATTAATGTATAAAATTATATAAAAATTATTATATTTAATCAATATTTCAGTGCTCTTCAGTAAACATCGACTAATTATTTAGGCAATTATTATAATCTAATTATTTCAATCAACAGAGAGAGAGAGAGAGAGAGAGAGTAATACCGTAAATACCTTACGTTATCATAAATCAYAAATAATCACTTTAAACTAAATAAATATAATTATTATATTAAATTTACTTAATTTTGAAATAAGTCTCGATGCAAATTTTTATTGTTAATATTATGAGACTTAAATTAGAGCTATTTTTATAAAAATTTTATTTTAGTGGTTTTTTTAGTTAATAATTATTGTAAAAGTTTTAGTTATATATAAATTTATTTACATTATAAAATTTATATATTATTATTATCATTATATGTACAAGAATTATTATAATTATAAATATAATTTTTGATGTAAAATTAAATAGAAAATAACCGAAAATATGGAAAAAATGTATTTAAAAGAAGTTACAAAAATTGTTTCTTTAATTTCACTCAGTTTTCTTCAACAAAACAAAAAATAAAATAAAAAGATATTTTTGATGCAATTATTTATGTTTCCGTTTTTTTAAAACTAATTTTCAATTTCACCAAAAAAATCATGGGATTAGCAGTGGATTGAATGAGTTTCTCTTTCTCTTTAAATTATTGATGTCTGTATGTGTCTGCATGTGTCTCATTACAAGGACATCCCTGTGTTTTGGTACACATATTGTCTGCGCCCAGTTAGCAGACAATTGCATACGATTTATGATCCGACAGTTTTTTCAGTTATATTTAGACACCAGTAATGAATGGATCGATAAGAATAGATATCTCTGCTAAAGTGTGTGTGTGTGTGTGTGTGTGTGTGTGTGTGAGAGAGAGAGAGAGAGAGAGAGAGAGAGAGAGAGAGAGAGAGTCTTCTTCATCTCAATGTTAACCAATATTTTGCGACAAATTGATAACATAAATGAATATTTGAAGCAAAAAATTTAGCAAAAAATTTTGCAAACATTTAATGATTAGATATTTGTTTAAATAAAACACAAAAAATAATAAAAGACTACTCGGTTTCACACGAGTCTCAATTTGATTATAAAACAATTTTTGTGTTCAAACTAAAAATGTTTGACTGATTTAATCACTTTCCAGTCCTAACTATAATCTGAGTAAAAATCGATAAAATAGGGAAACCTTGAACTCCTGAATAAACTCTTCAATCGATTGGTCTCTTCACTACTTTATACAGTACTATACATACTCTATAAGTACTGTATATATACTATATATACAAAACCATTAAAATCATGTCTACATTTCATTTCAATACATTTTCAATGACATAATTCTCTGGCATTAAATCACTATATATACGACTATTAAATCATTTTTTTAAAGTTGTGCAAAAAATGAATATATTATAAATTCACTTTATTTTATGATTTTTTAAAAAAAACTTGCATTAATTAAAAATAGTGTCTATAATTTTGTTTTGAATTATTTATATAAATATTTTTCCAAACATTTTGAAATTATGTAGACTCTCTTTCCAACCTAATATGTTTTCACTAAACCCATGCAATTGATATTTTTTTCGACAATAAAAGTTATAAAATATGTGCTACAGTTTTGAAAACACAAAAAAAGTTATACAATATATTAATACAAAAAAATGAAAAACATCTGCAAATGGGATATTTAATGATTTACCTATAATGTGATTATATAGATATATCATAATATGAATAATATTGATTACAATTTTTTACGCCGAAAAAAATATCACTCGCAACTAAACTTTGGATTTTTAAACTAATTCAACAAAAAAAAATCTTTGAATGCATTTTTAAAAATTAGTTTTTGAAAAATATTAGTAAATTTTGAAAAAATAATAATAATTATAAAGCAGACAAAGGAAACAAAACAATAATTTAAGGCAACATTTTCTATATAATTATTAAATAGTATGCTTTTGATTGTATACCTAAGCCTAAGATCTTTGTTGCCATTGAGGAGCACCTGCTCTGAGCCACTGTTGCCTAACCTGTGCTGTAGTGGTTGAGCTGTTCATTGAGTCATTCAGTCATACATTGCCTTCATTTATGTGACTGTTATTTGCAAAAATCATTTTCTGTTAGCTTAGAGAGTATTGAATAAGAAATCAGTTGTTTTGCATTTTTCTGTCGCTTATATTCAAAGAGAGACCCTCTCATCAACAGATAGGCTGAGAGGGGGACAGATAGGCAACAGTTGTGTGGTTATAGTATAGATATTGACTAAGCATTTGTATATATATTGAATATTTGAGACAACAATAAATGGGTCCCAATTGTGACTGAATGGATAAATTGTGAACCAAAGCGTTAAAAAATGTTTCGCACAAATGTACTTATATTTTATATATTAAAAGTATATATATATATTAAATGTATTCCTATATATACTATCTCTATATATATATATATATATATATATATATATATATACCTGAATTGTATTATATATTATATAATGAATAGACAGACATAGGTGTTGTAGGAATGCAAGTGTTGTTACTTTTATTTTAAGTTTCAAATATCGTATGAATTATATATATATATATATATATATATATATATATTATGGTATACTATAGCGTTATTTGGTCTCATTGAGTAAAATATTTCATTATAAACTTTTTTATCACATGTTTAATATTAAATTACCTGCAATTTTATTTAAACACATTTTTTATGATATTATAGCTAATTATAGAATTATTATTATTATTATTTTATTAATTTAGAATTAACTGAAATATAACTAATGATAAAACATATTAAATTATAAAAGTTTTATATGAAAACTAAAAAATATGGTGAAATTAAAGTCACATTTATTTATGTCTACTTAAAATATCATTAAATTGTTATCATTATATTATATTGTTAAGAAAATTAGTGACCAAAACCAAAATGATTCAAAAAGAGTAAATTATATGAACAATAATTAGTAATAAATTGTCTATTAAATTGTGTTTTCTGTCATTTTAATTGATTTCAACTCAAACCCGTGAGAAACATCCAGTTATTATATAAAATAATGTTTATTTATGAGATTAAAATAATAATAATAATCTAAACTTAATTTTTAATTAACTAAGTGTTAACCAAATTTCATTGCTTGTTATAATATATATTCATAACTGAAACTATAATCATCAATAATAATATTACACTAAATTTATCAATACTTTTTACTAATAAAAAGCAATAATCTTTTATAAATTAACATTACCGGTATATTACGTGGCAATTTAAAGTTATATTGTGTATAAACTTAATATAAACAAGGAAAACTAAGTAACTGAGTCAATTAAAATTATAATAAATATTGTGTTTTAACTAAAAAATAAAAAATAAAATTTTATTATTTATTTTATTATATGCAGAATTTTTATGAGCTTAAGGAAAACTTTTAATTAAAATATATTAAAATAATAATAATAATAAAAAACAAAAACTTTATTTAAATCTTATTAAATTCATAATAAAATTATCTAAAAAAATTATATCAATATATCCTTATTAATTTACAAGTTAAATAGTATTACCAAAAATAAAATATCTTAATGTTAAATATTAAATTACTTAGATAAAATATTTAAAAAATTAAAAAATAAGGGAGTTTGTTGTGACATTGAAAACAAATATGTGTTGGGGTTCGCGTCCCATGTGAAAATGATTCAGCTTTTTTAATAAAAAATTAATTTAACCATGATAATGCTAATTTTGAATATATTATAAACTTTGAATATGTCTATATTATCAACGGTTAACTAAAACTAATCTATCCTGGAAACTATTTTTATGTTATGTTATT